TGGAAGTTTGTCGAGGAGAACAGAAGGGTCCTTGAGAGTTAAGCGTTGTACTTTTATCGGAAATTTAGGCCCGGTGCCATTCGCTTCTTTAAGATTACAGTACAGTTTATATTATATAGACATATGTATTGGTTTTTATATATATGTTTATTGTTATAATGGATCTATAATGTAAAACTAACTCGTGCCCGTGATTTTAAATGCTCTCGCCTGTTGACCCTGGCACTTAGCCAGGCTTACCAGCTGAGAGAGCTGTGAGGCTTGGTGTCCAGGTGTCCAGGTGTTAAGAATATTCGTACAATACTATACCGACAGGGATATAGTTCAAATGATAGAGCTATTTAATTTGATAAGCTAGAAATGTAATAGATATTTTGTTTATAATCTTAGCTATTTAGTGGTAGCACTTACGAGCATATTTGATGTAGAGAGAGAAGAATGTTTGCCAATTATTCTGAAAAGTTCATAATTTAAATTTTGTGATATAAAATAAAGATGATATTTTTTTGTTGACCAAATAATCGATTTATTACTTTCTAATATAATATGATCTAACTCACTTAATTATTTATCAGTGAACTACTGAGTATTTATAATGTTAATAACCTTCAGCTAAAACCGTCTAATTAGCATAATTTATGGGCAGATATCAGACGTTTTTAAAGAGCTCCATAAGCTCTGGATTGAGATTCTAAAAATCGTGCATCAAGTAACATCAGTACACCACACCTGAAGATGCAGTCTCTATGTAGTGTAAACCATGTTATGTTACAAGTTGGCGTACGTGAAATAAGTAACATATTGAGCTCTATTGATATGAAATGAAGAATAAACCATCTACGCCTTCAAGGCGTCACGAACGACGATACCCGCTTTCAATGCATCCTCTTCAGTGTAACGTCTACCAGCCAATGTCAAACCGACTGGCAACCCATCTGCTTTATCAGCATCGTACAACCCATACTCATAAGCTTCATATTCATTTCTTGGCTGTATCTCTTCAGGGGTATCCAACTCTTTTGAGGCAAAGACACCGGAAGGAAAGGTAACACATGTGTAATCCAACAAGTTCCACAAGGCAGTGTAACCCCAGTATTTAACAGTAGATGGCTTTGGTGCTACACCAACGTAAGTTGGGGCAAGCACGAAATCAACACCTCTTTTGTTGAATAATTCCAGGTACTCTTGACGAAGAACTTCTCTAGAATTGGTGTAGAACTGTTGTTCAACAGCGGTGAGACCTCTATCACCCTTACCCATACGCAAGAAGTAGTCTGTTAAAGGAGCAAGTGGCTCTCCAGAGACTGCCAATCTGTTAACTGCAGCGTAGTTACCATCAGCAGTGTATGCAGTGTAGGCAATTTCGACAGCTTCATAGACTCTATGTGGTTCCCAAGTGACAATGTTGACACCTGCAGCTCTTAACTTCTGTTCAACCTCTTTCAAGGCACGAAGCACGGGTGGATGTGGCTTCACGACACCATCATCGTAGCAAATACCAATGGTCAACTCCGAAGGCTTTGGGGTCTCTAGCTCTCTCCATTCAAGTGGAAGACATGCAACATCCTTTGTCCAAGGCTTCTTGGAAGCATAAGCAGACATGAATAACTCCAGGTCTTCAGGAGAGTTGGCCATTGGACCTAGAGAGCCACCGATAATTTCATTGTAGGTGTCCTCTGGTGCTGCAATCACACCATCAAGGGAAATGATTTTGTTAGAAGGCTTCAAGCCCCAAATACCATTGAAGGCAGATGGAGAGCGGATTGAACCACCAATATCTGAGCCAACACCCAATGGTGAACCCTTCATCCCAATCAATGCTCCTTCACCAGAGGATGATCCTCCAGGAGACATTGATATCTTGTAGGCATTTCTTGCGCGGCCAGTGATATTGTTGATCGAGTCCAGGTGCATCAAGCATTGCGGCTCTGAAGTTCTAATATAAAACACTGCACCGAGATCGTAAAGGATTTGGTTAGTTAGAGAGAACTCTGGAGACACGTTTCCAAGTAAAGAGACATATCCCGCGTGTGTGACACGGCCCTTATAATTGTAGTGCTCCTTTAATGATAATGGAATGCCGTGCAATGGACCAACCAATTGACCTGTTGTCTCGTAGTACGAATCGAGTTCCTGAGCTCTTTTCAGACCATCTTCAAAGAAGATATCCATGGCGCAATTGGTTAACTGATGTGCAATTGTTGCTCTCTTGATGAATGCTGTAAGAACTTGAACAGCACTGAGCTCCTTTTCCTTGATCTTCTTTGCGAGCTCAACAGCAGTGAGCTCAGTAATCGCCAAAGACTTTGGATCAAGGATCTTTGCAGGAACCTCTGTGGCATTGAAGTCAGCGGTGTCGAGATCACCTTCTGGTAAGAACTCCTCCGGCACGAGGTATTCTTTTGGAATAGCATCATCACGTGCCTTAATGTAGGAGTCGATCAATGGGACCCAATCCCTCTCGTAGCGTTCTTGATCTCCTTTATAGGCGGTAGGCTCTTTCGAGACCAGTTTCTCAGTTTTGTGATCGAATTGAACTTTAGAGGTTGTCATTTGAGCGAGGATGGGATAGTGATGCTCCAATATCATCAAAAGCTGGGGTACTGAGTCCGTTAGGGGATTTTGTTTGTATTTATACACCTCCTACAAGTGTTTATTTACGCCTTACGCGCGCTCCTAGAAGGTACTTGATTTGGAGCGCCTCAAGCCAAACGTTGTCGCATACTTGAGAAAGATTAGGAACCATACCGTTGGTTTGGTATTCTCATATCGGTGAGGTTTCCCTAGCCGAACTGGCTACGTTCTTATCAACCCGTTGGTGTTGGGCCTGTATGTAGCGCTGAGCTATCATTTTCTGTATCGGGTAATGCGCTTAAGCTTTGAGCTGCACTATCAATCTCCATGGTTTTGCAGCTGAATATGACATCACTGGCCGGAAATTATCAAGGAAAGAAGTAACAGCCATCACGAAAAAACATCCATGTGATATGTGGAATTGCGGATGGAAAGAGCCACGGCTCAGTGTCAATGGCAATGCTGTAGCTGCCACTGAGCACCTGTTGATATCGCTGTTCAACTCTGAGTCCTCTACTGCATCATTTGATTACCACAGCCATGCTTGTTAGAACTTCCCGATTCAGAGAGGTATGCTGGACGCAAAGGCGCGCATATCAACAAGATCACAGCCTGATTCTTTACATAAGCGATGGGTACACTGGGGTTTTCGTTTATAGAGCTGACTAGATGATAGGCCAGTGTAGTGAGCTAGCCTTCGAAACCAACAAGATGTTTGGATGTTTAACACCAACGCATATAGGCGCGAAATAAGGAGCCAAAGCGTATCAATGATGTAACCGGGGAGGGGTTGGCTTATCTGGTGATTGGGATCCTGGTCCGTCGCGCCCACTGGTGGCACTCAGTTGTGCACTCTGAATCCAAGAGGTCTCCTAGAGCCACCGTGACCACTATGATCACTGTGACCACTATGACCACTATGACCACTGTGACCACTGCGACCACTGTGACCACCACTCCACCAACTAGCCCTCCCTCTGCCGTCCGCCATCCCATCCCGCAAGTGAAACAGGCGCCATCTGTCTACACGCTGATTGACACCATACACCCGAACATTCACCATAAGTAGCCTGTACTGTACCGGGAATCGCACACCTTGCGGAACCGGAAACCGAGCAGTAATACGCGTATATAGTCATCCCATCACTCACAAGGTGCTGGGACCAGTGCCATGCTCTTATCAGCTTATCGCCCCCTGAACTGCCCATACTGTTGTTCCTCGATGCTAAGTCCTGGTTCTACCGACTATCACCGAGCTACAGCGCACTCCCCGAGTAACCGGTGGCCGGATTAACTGCTGGAGCACTCCCGGCGCACTCCCAGCGCACCCGTAGTGGCCTACGCTTTCGAGCTGTGAACCTACAGTCCATATACATGAGCGATGGCACGATCCGCGTTTCCAGCCCTGTACAGTGGTAGAAGAAGCTGTGTTCCACGCCCATGCGACGAGATTCATCGCCAGGGAAGAAGAAATTTGACGGCCAAGCTTTCCACGGTGGTGCCTCCAAGGTGACGGCGTCCCAGGGTATTTGTCAGCACACAACCACGCACACACCCACGCACACACCCACGGTATCCGTCGTATGGCACTTGGTACCCACGCATCACAAAATTCTTCCAGACACACCGTTGATGCAACCCTGCGCGTCTAAAAAACAGTGGGACACCGACAACACACGCCAAAAAGGGTCAAGAGACAAAATGTTCTCCCGAACAGCTACATTTTTGACACTGGCCAAAACCACGTTGTCCAAGCCGAATCACAGGGCTCACTGATCCACCTGTACACTGTTTGCAGACCAGATAGTGGGATATTACCCGTGGTGTTTTTATGCGCAGATAAGGTTGCGACAAGGCCAATAGATTAATACTGCTAAGGAGGGAGAAGCACACTGAGAGAAGAGGGAGAGATGACGTCTGCTCCTGACAAGACGTATATAAACTCTCTTGAAATTTGATAGGCCGGACCTCAAGGCAAAGACGAAAAGAACAGCGGTGAAGAGGTCGAGAAACGGATGCTTCAACTGTGAGTGCAGTGGCTCAGTTCTTATCGTGGAGTTTGTACTAACAAGGCGAACCAAAATGTAGGCCGCAAGCGGAAGAAGAAGTGCGACGAAGTTAGACCGTCGTGCTCTACTTGCACGGCGAGATGTATCGAATGTATCTGGCCGCAGGGCAAGGAGAAGCTACCCAAGGAGTATAAGATACCGCCGGCGAACCCAAAGCTCCGTAAGGAGAGGAAGGTGCCCTTCGAAGTGATACCATACAACGCCCCGAAGCCTTCAAAACACACTGAGCGTGAATCGCAGTGGTCGGAGACGCCGCTCTCTGATTTGCCGCTGTTGCTATCCACGGTGAAGTCACCGTCACCTGAAGAGTACGAATCACTCGACACCGAGACGTGTATGGTGGTTTCGAGAAATGGACCTGACCAGATAATAAACAACGTGATACAGACTCCGCCACTGACGTTGCGTCCATCACAGAGGCAACTATTTATAGATGTCTGTGTGAACGGATTCATCAAGTCGTTGGGACCTCAATATACCCACCCACTGTTAACAACAAGTGCGACTTTCACACCTCTGATATCTCGTAATAAAGTGATTGAGAACGTGGCTGAGGCCTGCGGTTGTGCCTTCCTCAGCTGGTCTAATCCAGATCTTACTGAGCTCAGTTTCAAGAAGTACAGGACTGCAGTGACAGTCTTGATGAAGTACGTGGATAGCAAGCCGATAGTTAAAGAAGATGAGATTTGGCTGGGTGCTGCTTTCCAAATGCTGTGTTTGGGTGCTAAGATCACTTGGAATTGTGACAACAAGATCTGTGTTACTAACTTGAAGAACTCTTACAAACTCATAAAGGCCAAATTACAAAGAAGACAGAGGAAGTTGCAACAGGAGAGGCTCCAAGGTCCCAAATTACCCAATGACGGTATGTTTCAGGACATCACGTCGGATAGCCTCAAACTGGAGGTGAGAAACACTTTGATTGGTTATGAAACTGCTCGGAAAAGTGCTCTTTTTGAAAAGCAATTCGAAAGAATGTTTGTAGAGAGCTTTATCTACAATTTTTCAGTCACGATTCTCACAACTGATGACATCATGGGTTTGCCTAACGTGTTTGAGGTATTTGACACGTTGAAATCATACGTCAAGACACCGCTATTCAGCTGTGATGTGGTTTGGATGAATAACCCAGTCCTGGGAGCAGCTTTTGATGCATTTGAGCTTGCTGCCAAGGCCTCGTACTTATTGAGAACTGAACGTACACCTTGGTCGGTAGCTTGTGCGATGAGACTGTTGGAAGTTACCAAAGTTCACAAACTACCGGTTATTCCGCCAGAAATCCGTTGTGATGAACAAAAATTCGCCAACTTGAATGACTCTGTTAATATTGCCGACATTGTTATTAGAACTGCGAAGATTGTGCTTCGTAAAGTCCTTGATCCTGCTCTATCTGAGTATGACCCTGAAGTTCAAAAGGATGTTGACCATGTTCTTTCATGCTTGTTGCATATACCGGCACACTCGCCGATATGGGTCATCTCAACTTGGCCCATGTTCATCACTGGACTGAGTACGATCGATCTGAACCAAAGGGAGTGTATAATGAATGTCTTGTTCAATGCCGCAGAGTTGATTCACGGACGGTGTATCAGTTCAATAATCGACCTATTGCACCTCAGTTGGGGCTTGGGAACTAGAACCAGTCTGAATAGTCCATTAACGGGACTCGATGTGTTGCTGGATCCTCAGCTTTTGTCCACAGTATTTCTATAACGATTGAATGACGTGTTGATTTAGGAGAAGAAGGTGTAGGTATCATATATCTCAATATGGAGCTAGAAAACAGAGTAGCGAGTAGCTAAAGGCACATTCAACACTACAACTCTCAGTAATTGAAGAGTAACTGCATGCAAAATCCTGTCAACTAGTTTTAGGCGCAAGCGACGAGAACGACCCAATTAATTATTGTACATTTCTTTAGATAGGCGACCGCTATGAGATAGGAGTCGATCTTCTGATCCATGGAGACAAAAAACACGCATTCATGAGATTCAGTATTGCAATTTTGATTTAACTCACATGGACGAAGTACTCTACATGGTGCTTGCGTGTCTCAAGAGTTCGGGAATCTATAGTCAAGATAACGGCTGAGAGTGTCGGCAGCCGATAGTCATTTGGCAAGGCATCAACAAAAGGAGAGATTTTAGCCGATCAAACACCAACATTCCTATGTACATGTAGATGTGTAGAGGCAAGTGGTATGATTGATTTTGACCACTTTCATCGTTGATATGCAGTACGAGCTGGTATCCAAACGTCTAAAATAGTCAGAGATCAGTCGGCTATCTTTCGAAGATTAGATAAAGCCTTGTACTGAGCGTCAACACCGTCGTGACTACAATCACATGGTCCATCCACCTCCCAGAATCTACGTTCTCCAGGGCGTGCTAGGAAACTCTAGCACACAGGCCAGTGTTCTTACACCAGTAAAATGCCCATCTAAGCCAAAAGAGAAACGGATCAATGACACCAAGAGCCCGTGAATTCCTGTCTCACCACAGAGACCGAGTACGTGCTAATGCTGATAAGACGAAGCTTCCAAAAGCCAAGGAAATCAAACATCCCTGACAATAGATACACTGTAATGGGCCATGTAAATAGGCAAAATGCGCACCGCACACACATACATACGTACGTAGGTACATACAGAACCTACAGATCATTAATTGATACAGCTACCCATGCAAAACCCCAGATGCTTCCTTGAAACTCGCCACCACCCGCCGCTGGCCTGCTGCTGAACCACTCTTTCGCTCAAAATGGATAGTGCTTCCCAGTGCTCATCAACAACCAGGCCCACATACTACGGACTTTTATGGATTGCCGTGGTGAAAAGGAAAGCCTTTTCGCTAAAATAACCCCGGCTTATCGTGGGATTGCGGTGAATCGGCGTCACCCTAACAATTTTTTGCATTTTCCTTCTCTTGCTGCTTAACATGTTTAATCGCCTTTATCTTGCCTCAGCCTTACGGGTCAATTTATGCACTTTCTCGACGTGGAAGTGGAATTGTGATCATCATACAGGCGATTTCTTTATCAACAAGCTCATCTAGTACCAATACAAGTGTTATAAAAGAGTAGGCGATCCCATCCAGCTTGTCGCAATCATAATGACGATTATCGCAGAGAATTTTGTACGACCTAGCAACGAAATGACAGGCCAGACCATCAACTACGACGCTATACCGGGCAACACAAACCTTGTGGACCTCGACGGCAGCATGGCTGCCCGTCACTCGTCAGGGAACAAGAAGATTGTGCTGATTCCCACGCCATCTGACGACCCAGATGACCCGCTGAACTGGACTCCGCGCCGTAAGTGGATGTCGATGTTTTGTGTTGTTGTTTACACTTATGGTGTTGGTATCCCTTCTGCTGCTATCTACTCTGTTTTGACTAATATCTCAGCGAAGACCGGTATCTCACTTGGTGATTTGAACTCGGGTACCGGTTACATGTTCCTGTTCTTTGGCCTGGGTTGTATGATCTTCCAGCCTCTGGCCTTGCAGTATGGTAAGAGACCAGTGTACCTGTTCAGTGTTCTCGCCACCGCATTGGTGTGTATTTGGTCTCCATATTGTAAGACGAATGCCGAGTGGATTGGTTCTAAGATTCTCCAGGGATTTGTTGGTGCTCCAATTGAGTCCCTGTGTGAAATCTCTGTTTCAGACATCTTCTTTGAACATGAAAGGGCCACTGGTATGAGCATATATGGACTTGCCCTGCTTACATCAAACTACATCGCTCCGGTGGTGGCAGGCTTCATCACTAACGGCATGGAATGGGAGTGGGTGATGTATTTCTGTTCCATTTGGGGAGCAGTGGCGTTCATCTTTCTGTTTTTGTTCATGGAGGAGACCAACTACAACAGAAAAGTCAACCCTGTAAAGGTGCTTGAAGCTATAACTTCCATCGATATGGTTGCCGAAAGTGATATGAATGTCTCTTCAGATAACGAGAAAATAAATCCAGTTCTTTCAAACAAGACGGTGGAAGAAAGATTAGGGAATATCAACGAAAACTTTGACACCTCTGACGAAGTTGAATATCCGAAAACTTCTTCAAGAACCTGGGTAGAAAAAATGTCCTTTACGCATGGTCTTAAGAGCAAGTTCCTCCTACCTCATTATCTTCTTGGTCCATTCAAAATGCTTTTCTTTCCATCTGTCCTCTGGGCTGGGTTTGTTTATGGTTCCTCTTTGGTTTGGTTTAACCTGTTGAATGCTACTGCCGGTATGATTCTGACCGCTCCTCCATACAACTTTTCTCCATCTATGGTTGGTTTGTCCTACATTTCCCCAACAATCTTTTCATGTGTATTCTTCTTCCTCTCAGGTGCTTTGTCTGACTGGATGAAGGTGTTTTTCGCAAAGAGAAGACCTGATGGTCTCTCATACCCGGAAGATAGACTTTGGATTCTGATCATATACATGGTTCTAGGGTTCCTGGCTTCAATTGGTTGGGGTGTGGGTGCGTACTATGAGAAGCACTGGATGCTTCTTGTGATCTCCATGGGTGTGCTCGGTGGATGTGGTATATTTGGTGTTGCTGCTGGTGTCACGTACTGCTCTGATTCCTACCACGAACTTGATACAGAAGGTATGGTGGTTGTGATTGTTATCAGAAACCTGATGTCCTTTGCCTGTTCTTACGGTTTGACACACTGGGTCACAAACATGGGGTTGAAGAACGCATTCATCTCCTCTGCTTGCATCTTGTTGTTCTGTAACGGGACTTTCCTCATTATGAGATACACTGGTCCATACTGGAGAAATAAGACCAAGCACCTCTACTGGAAGTTTGTCGAGGAGAACAGGAAAATTCTTGAAGATTAAACGTATTTTATCGAAGGGCCCTGGTGGCAATTTTTAGAGCACAATAAAGTATTTATTTCACAGTACAAGCTAATTATTCGTTTGATGTATTCATTGGTGCTTGTTCGTACATAAGTAGCTGTAAAACCAGATCTCATCTCTGCCCAGCTGCTAAGTACTGATTGCATAAATCGGTGCAACCCTTACATCCAAACACCAGATGTAAAGAAAGGAGGGGTCGCCACAGATCAGGTGCCCCAACCAACATCCCAACACCACATTTGCCATTGCCCCTTGTCCCCCCCTTTACGCCATAGAAAATTGAGGCCGCCTCTCTGGGTCATCTCCAAGTGATGATAATGATGAGGAGAAGGCCTTGAACCAGCACTACAAGGATGCCTGATAACGACGTTGACATTTCTAAACTGACACCACAAGAACAGAAGCTTTATAAGCTGTATGGAAAACTCCCTTCAAGGACCGAATTAATCTCACACAAGCTACAGGAGCGCAAGTATTTTGACAGCGGAGATTATGCCCTTAACCAAGCTGGTGTGAAGGACATCAATTCCAGATTGAGCAATAGACACCTGAACCCAGAGATGATATCGAGGATCAATAGAAACTCTGTGAGTGGACAAGGCTCTGCTCCAAAGAGTTCGCTGGAGAACGAGGCGAAGCTGGATGACAAGTGAAGTGTCATACATATACGATATCAGAGGAGGGAAGACAATAGGTAAATTGGCACTGAAATTGAATAGTAGTTTTCAATCATCACAGCAACGCTCTTTTTCTATATATGTTAAATGACCTGATTAAATGAATTAAATGATCTTGTCCAGTTATGTAGGTATCATGATTACAAAATCCACTGTTCATTGAAGAGGTATCTTCCAACCTTACCAAAGATGATGACACCAAAGAAGTAGAAGTTTCCTAACCACAGCATAGTGGCGATGAATTCCAGGTCCTTGTAAAAGGCCACTGGGAGTCCCTCCACGACAGCCACTGAAATTGAAGCCAAGGATCCAATCAGCGTACCTGTAACGATACCAGCGGTTGTACCATCCAACAAGAACCAAAGGCACGGACTCAACATTGACCATGCCACCGCAGCTTGAATTGAAGAAGTCCATTCGATTTTTCTCACTGCAAACACAACACCTAGGAACGCGACAGCGGATGGGATGATGTTGGAGCTGTCAAGGACACCGTTACTCTTCGACGATGACTTGAAGACGTACTTGTCAAACACAGGCAACAACACTCCAAAGAATACACCTTCGATGGCGTAGAGCAGCGGTGTCGATGCCCTGCCACCAAGAATGCTGTTGATGATGTTATAGCCAATGTTCAAAGGCTTTGAGGCCAACTGCGGTACCAGAATGTGGTTGTCATGGATATGTTGGCCAACTTGGTTATACAAGAGACCTAATGATCCAAGCACTGTTAAGCTGAAGGCTATATGTAAAACACGGTACAAGCAGGATGTCTTCTTCCTGTGGATCAGCTCCGGCTCATCGTTGTGTTTACCCAGGTTGGCGGAGAGCTCCTCGTACAAGTCGGTGTAGCTCTCGTCGTTGCCATTCTCGTATATGGATGACAACCCTGGCGCTGTCAAATCAGTATCAGTGGATTGGTCCAATGCACTCATTCTCCCACCACTTCGTTCGTTGTTCGTATATATAAAGTCCTCAGGAGAAGATCAACAAGGCACTACCTATTTGTCCGAGTTTTTTCTGGGTTTTCCCAATAATGTTGCTTCTTCCTTCGTCTTCCAACGTCCGTTTGTACGAGCGTAAGGCTAAGGACTAAGACAAAAAAACACACGCACACAACACGTTAGGTTTTCTTCAACTGTGCGCGCTGTTACACCTTTGCTCTTAACGACACGCCAATCAAAACAATGCGAGCAACAGCGTTGGGGGGGGGGGACAGGATGGTAGTTACGTAATTGTTGTTGTCTATTCGTTTTATTAGCGATTCGGATAAGCGTTCTAGTCACTTTTAGCCTTATCCGTGCTATATAAGACTCTCTCCACGACGGCGTGGATGTATTCGTAGATATGGTAGAACGCCAACGCGAGGAGACCAACGGCTACAAAGATCTTCATTCTTTCGCTCTCTTCAACGTTGAGGAACGGATATGGGTAATGAGCCGGTGGCTTTACGAGCGCCTCCAGGATGAGCCAGTAAGCTCCTGTGAGCGTGCCAACCATGGATATGACAAACAGGAGCGGCAGTCTAAAGGCGTCGGTTCTGTTGAAGCAGTAGTCAGTTGACAGGTAGAAGACTGGGAACAGATGGATGGTGAGATCAACCTGTATAGGGATGAATTTGTCCTTGGTGACGTTCTCTGGCACGATAAGCGCCATGAAGAAGATCTTCAGCGTCCAATAGATCAGTGCAACAAGCGTTTCCAATACCAGCGAGCTTGCGTTTAGCGTGGCGTTTAGCTTCAGCGTCAGAGCGGTTGGCTTGAACAGAATCACAACGTAGTTGGAGATGATTGCAATCAACGACAATGCGAGTGACAGGTTCGTGAGGAACTGCCATGGACCACCCTCCGCCAGTTGTTCAGGTAAGGGACTCGAAGTTATGAACGAAAGACCCCACGACCCCAGTGCTAGAGCAAACGTATTCACAATGAAATAAACAGTAGATGGAAGCCTGTAATGTGCCGGCATCTTTCTTCACTCCCCGATGTTCCTTAAACCTGGCTCTTCAGTGTGCCGTTGTGCGTTGCCAACTGTTGGAGAAGCAAAGGAAAGTTTTTCCTTCTGTATTTTTGTTCTTGGTATAAAACTACAAGAAACTGTAGAGTGGATCGACCCGTTGGATGAGCTAAGCACAATTATAGGCAAGAGGAGTGGGCTCTCTCTAATTGGTATATATATAATTTGTGCTGCTGCACTCAGGTTAAACATCGAGGCACAGCGCGCACAATCTGATGTAAAATCCCCTTCGGACGTACCCATGTGGGTTTACCGAAGAACCCAAATCCGAGCGTACGAGGAGGAGGGGGGGGAGGTTAACGGCCTCATTGGTGGTATCGGACGCTACTGTTTGGAGGATTTACGTGTGGCTTCAGCTACCAGCAAGCCTCTGAATTGTGTACATCTGCAAGCACCTGGTCCAGCTTATATGGAAGCCCCGATATTGCTTCGAAGATCACATGCCCGAAGCACTGGTTTAAATGCTGGTGCCGTCTATGGCATGCAGTTAGGCAGACGAGCGATATTCCGAGAAATGACTTCTTACAGATCATATACATCAAAATCACACCTCAGAATGAATATGGGTCATTATATTTACAAAGCTTTTATCGTTAAACGTAGTCACGTGCGGTCTGGAGGTCATATACCGACCCTCTATGAATAATGTCCAGTGAGTCCTATGAGAGGAGCACAACAAAGATGATCATCAGCATTCCGAAGACAATAACAGGAGTGGGTGATAGATCCACATTTGGATCGAAATCGAACGAGGTGAAGATGGGTCCACCTATACCGACGGTGTTGGTGTTCCTGTTTATGAGCTTCTGTGTCCATGTCGGTATGTAGCTTAACAGACTTGTAGACGGGTGGTGCATCGACGATACCAGAACGCTATACGACATTAGAACAAAGAGCAGAAACCATAGCGAAAGCTTTAACCAGCTTCTGTCAAGATCAGGTATTGGTCTTATACTCTTGGGCTCTGTATGAGATATGCCATCGCGTTTCTGTTCGATGTTAGACATATCTATACCGCTTGTCTCCGTCTAAATGGTTCGCTCAAGGGTTTCTCTCCAGGATTTAAAGGGTCCCATCGATCGTCGCAAGGTTGGTGAAAATCAACCAAATGGGTGTTCGGATGGATTGGTGTTCGGATTGTCTGGTGTCCAGGTGTATTTCCCGCGAATTTCCCTTGAACCCAAAAGAACGAGGAAGGAAAAAAAGGGGAGCCAATGGAAACAATGTTGTTTGATATATTCACTCCAGTTTCAAACAAATAACAACCCTCAACAACTATTTAGAAGATGAGTGGTGGTCCTGTTCCTGTGTGGCAAGTGAGTACATTCTCCTTCTTTTTCTCCAACTGTTTGTTGAAAACGGATTAGCTAACTTTACCCTTAGAAATACACCACTGGCTCAAGGGGCATTTGGGAGAAGATTCGCCAACTGTTGGTTTTGGTTCCAAACAGATCCACTGGTAACCCACTTGTTGCTTTGTACCGTGAACCTCCTCCAGGTGCTGATCCAAACGCAAAGAGCTACAAAGATGCTGTGACTATTCCAGCCGGTGATATCAAGCAAAACAACTACTTCAAACGTGACCATCGTCGTAACTACCCAAGAATCTCCAGTTTTGACCAAACAAAGATCTCTGGATTGTTGACTCTAGGTTCAAAGCAGGCTTCAAGAGTTCTCATCGGTAACGAAGGCTATAAACAACTTGCAGTTTTCGACAAGGACAAGCATGTCTACCTGAGCTCTGTTCTCAAACAAGTTCCAGACACCGTTGTTAATGGTCAAATCCTTGGTTCTAATGGTGAACCTGTTGTTGCACCAAGTTTGAACAAAGGCTACTCATGGGACCTTGTTAAAGGTGATCATGGAATGTACACAGATGAGTACCCATGTAGACTCTTCAACACTTACAAGGCATAAGCCACCTTATATATTTATCTCTATTTATTCCATCAACCACTTATTTATATATTTTTATCGCTTTCTTTTATTTATTAAAGCATTATAAACAAAAGGATTCCCATTATATCGTACATGTACTCTTCTGTCATACTGATTGGTACTGTTGAACTTACCATAGCCATTTGCAGTACTGTGCAGTTGTTCACAACAATACCGGCCAACTGCAGCCTTTGAAACTTGAAACCATACCCATTTACCTATTACCATACATATCAGCCAAGGACAAAACAAACCTTGTCTTAACCCAATCTCATCCTCTTTGAGCCCATCGCATAACCCAAGCTAAAGCTTACAGTTACAAATATCCCAATAATAACCACTGATTGTACTGAAATTCCATCAGACAGCGTTATTGGATGGTTAGAGTTCCGATGTGAACGACTTCTCTTACCGCCACGGATGGACAACTCGATCGACGATGAATCGCTCAACTCTGTAAATGTCACTTTGGAATCGGCATGTTGTACGGTGTGCCGCCTCTGTAGTATTGTAGTTAGAGACGCAGACAAATGGTCATCATCTTCATGAGCTTGTTCATCAGCACAGACCGCCAGTAGCTCATCCATGATGCCATCTTGGTCGTGGTCGTGCTTCTCTTCGTCGTATGGATTGTTATGGAGGTCAATCCACGATTCTAGAAGGGTTCAGTTAGCACGCTAAGAGCACGAAAGGAGCGCCACATAGCGGTATTGAAACTCACCTTCAATCTTAGAGACAGAGGCAAACATCACAGAGTCATCCATCAAATTCCTAAAGTTTTCGCTCAAAGGAACCGAATCCCTCTCCACGTCCCTGTTCCACTTCTTTAGAGCAGCACTGTCGTAGCGTCTCATCACAGCCTGTTCGCAAATGTTTACCGCTGTGTCGTATATGCTGGATGTTTATTGTTCTCTGTTAGAACAATGGTGCGTTTGTCGTATTCTTTTTTGTGTGGGTGGGTGTTTGTGTATTTGTGTCATGTTTTTTGTTGCTCATCTCTGGGGGGGAATTTGTTGTTAGGAGCAGAAGTTCTTCAGCTGGCCATGGGCTCGGCCGTGGTACACCTTCAATTTAAGCGTGGGGGGGGGGGTAACATCACTTAGACGCTTTTATAACTGTAGAGATAATAGGCCAGTGCACCTGATAATGTGTTAATGCAGTGGTATGATAACCACAAGAGTAACAAGAAGGGTGCGATAGTTGGTAGTTTCCCCAATATTTGTGCCGGCTGCACCAACCACGTTAGATCAGTGGCCGTGATGAGCACATTGACAGGGTGGGCATTTGCCATAAATTGGGGATCTGATGAGAAACAGTGGTACTCAGCCTTCAGTCTAATCAGCGTAGCGTCATCTTGTTGGAGAACATCAAACTTTACAATGTCAATTGGGTCCTTCCTGTTGAGTTAGTAGCTGTTGGCGGAGAAAATAGGTCAGCATTACTCACAAGTGCACTCCAGCTAAGCTTGATATGGTTGATACTCCCCGGTGAAAGTCCTCGTACTTGATACAGTTGATCATATGCGCCATTGAAAGGGGGTGGGATATCCATAGTGATCAACTGTTTACGTTGTGTCTCGTTGAAATCCAGTGGAATTATGGAGTCGTTCAACAACAGACTCGTCCCGCTGGTCTGTGAAGGTACGATGAACACCGTGGATTCAAGATTGGCCAATACAGTAAGGGAATAGTAGAAAATGCATATCAAGTGGTACAACATCTCCTTTGCAATAGCTGAGGAGTAGAACGTGAAGTACGTGAACCCCTTACAAGTGATGACTTTATCCGTCTGCCTTGTCCTTAAATTTTCTTCTTCCCTCCGCTGCGCAAGCGTAGTTTTTGTCTCCTAGGAGGGCGCGTGCTAAGGCAGACAGGCAGCCCTCCGCCCACATCCAAACATGGGAACGAAGCACAAGGTAAAAAACAAACAACCACAGCCCACGCAACACCCCATCAAACGATAATGGGAAGCTTGTCAACCGAGCACTGAGGGGAATAGAGAGTGCCACTGATACAAAGATGCCGATATTCGACTATTTCCAAAGCACTGATCCATATGAGCTTGATGAGGAGGAGAGAACGCTGCTCGTACAACTGCTACAAGAAGCGGAGGAGAATGGCGGTCTTGAACCACAACTGAATAACTTGATGAACAATTACAGAGTACAGGGTCTCGAGGAAGAACGGGGGTCTGCTCAAAAGCTCATGGATGCTTTACTCTTTGCAATATTACCCGTGCTATTTGTTAAAATACTGTCGAATTTACTAAGCGCCGCAACGTACTCTAACGATATCTTTGAAGACATTGTAAGGTTCCAGTCCATTGGCATCACCGACTTGCCAAATCATACGGATGAATGCCTTATAAACTACTTTGCCACGGTATTTATAGAAGAATGCGGCTCTGCAATAGACCTTGTCAAATGGGAGGACATGTTCAAATGGGGGATCGTCGTTCTGTACCTTACCTATTCATTACTCGTTGCGAGCTATATGGTTTTCGCCTTTGTCTTCTATTTCATGTGCTTAGTGCTCACCACTTCGAGGAGATGGGGTGAGTTGCACAAGCTGGTTTTGAACGTACTCAGAGGTGAAAGCGGTGTTTTCTGATATATGGCTGCGTTTCACATGGCGTACTTCACACATTTCATATTCATAATGCAAATTTCATAAATACACACTGTTATATCTGTATACATATACCACCTTTCTTGAATTTATGACGGCATGACGTTTCAACTGGCGTATTTTACAACGCAAATTATGCACAGTGAACGTATACTCTATTGTAACTTGTAAGTAGTTGACATCTGCAGCATAACCACTCAGGATTGAAGGCACAACGAGGCTTCAACCATGGCAAAATGGCAAATTAACGCCGCAGTTCCGCTTTCCTCTAGTTGCATGGTGTATATGCCTTGTAATATCTTGATAAACAGTGGATTGGAGTAGACCCTCTACAGGTGTTAGCTGTCACACCTTCCTCTCGTCATCAATCTGAGGAAAAAGGTACCCGTACAAGGGACGACAAGAAAGACAAGTTATTTCCCAATGCGCACACATTCTACGACGTTGAGCTTTCTCAGCAACGTTCAACGGCCATCCTTCGCTTACACAATTAAACCGTCATCTTTGTCCGGCGCCGATGTGTATTACCATAACTGTGTGCATTATTGACATGGTTGCATTACTAATTCTTGAGAGACCAACGGTGGTGGGTGGGTATCTGGTGTTTGTATGCCTAGCGTTCACTGTGTAACGGTCCAGCCCTGGGCCTTGGTTGTTGCTGTGGCTTGCATTATCGAACAAAATCGTCACATTCTTGCGAAAATCTACCTGCATGTCCGGGCGTGTATACAGTATTTTCCCCTGTCACTAGCCTCCACAGTTCGGACCAATTTGGGAAATTCATAGGAGAGTGGCTAGTGAGCTCAGCACAGTAAAGGGACAAACGGACAGATAGAGTGAACTGTGGTTAGTTATTAGGATATTGTTCGTTGTGTAGTAAAGGCGGCGTTTCTTTTTACTCGCTGGTGGGCGCTGGACATATGTAAGTTACCATGTGTGAAGAGTACCACAATTGAAGCCACATATCAGCGACGAAAGCTAAATGAATACCCTCCTTACAGACAATGTACATAATAATAAATTGTCATTTCAAGAAGTGCTGTGAATATTTAACCCTTCGTCGGTCCTGTCGATTTCCTTTATAGTCCATTTGCAGTTTGTCCTTACCGGAACGTTAGGGGGGTGTTCTAATAACATATACACACAAATGTCAACGTCAAGAAAGTCCTTTAAGCATTCGAAGAGATTCGAAAGAACACAGAAGGGATGTCTGACGTGTCGTCAGAAGAAGAAGAAGTGTGACGGTGCTAAACCAGTATGCGAAAGCTGTTCCAAGAGAGGATTGGAGTGTAAATATCCAGAGAATATCAGGATCTTCAACGTCAAGTCGTTAAAAACATCATTGGGATCCTCGTTTATAGATTCGACTTCTTCATTCCAGATCAATATGGATGCAAATTCATCAAAGAGATCCAACTCATGTGATCACGGGGATCATTTACCGAAAGAAAGTGTTCGAGACTTCTCCGCCAGTAGTCGGTCGAATTCGACAGTGTCGACACAGTACACATCAGCCCAGTCCTCAGTATCACCACCAGAAACTTCGAAAGAACACATCCATCAACAAACACCTTCCAACCGTCGGGCGAGCATTGACTTCAACGAAGAAGAAGACAGAGAAAAGCTGAAAATGCTCTCAGAAATATCAGATGTGATCCAGTCAAACAACAGAACGACAAATAGTGCGCTGTCGTTGTCAAGAAATGGGGAGTCCATCAAGCAGATATTGGATAACATTGCAATAGACGTGATAAAGAGAAGTATAGAGTCACTAAAGTATATCGATTGGGAAAAAAATTCTTCATACACCAGCAGCATATCAAGGGAAGACAACAACATATCCAACATCCATTCTCATGGTGTGATTTCTGACATGATACAGCCATCGGTATTCGCATCAGAAGGTTCCAGTTCCGCTGCAAGCACAGACAAGGACTTTGATCAGAATAACGACGCAGATGGTTCTTTGTTGCAGAATTGGAGCGTTATAATGGAAGGGTTGAAGTTTAAGCCTGATGATACTGTGCCGTTACAGTCCCATGGCCAGTCATGGCTAACAGATGTTGACGATTTTTTGAAAGTGCAGGATCACAGTTCAATTTAATAATATACAACACTCATCTGTAACGTGGAGAAACTTTCAGCATACACGCGTAGACGGAGGAAGCTGTACACCGCCAGAGCGGAAAAACAAGCATAAAACAACAAACATAACGGAATATCTTGCCGTAGGTAATCTGTAATGTTCCGTCGGTGTCCAAGGAAAAATGTTTCTTGGAAAACTCCGACGAGCGTTGAGTGCCTTACATAAAACGGAACAACTTGCAGTTTCTTTTTCTTTCTTTTTGCTGTTGTTGGGGGGATTTAGATGGTACTTAAACGGAAAAACTTTTCAACCACATCTTTTCCTCTTCCTTTTACTTTTATTCCATTATATTTCATACTCAACCACTCAAATGTCTATTCACGAGTGCTCTCAGCAAATGGAATGCTTCCTGCGTGAACTTCCAAAGTGTGAGCACCACCTCCACTTAGAAGGGACGCTTGAGCCAGATCTCTTGTTTCCATTGGCCAGTAGAAACAACATTCAGCTCCCAGATAACTTCCCGAAGACTGTCGAAGAGTTGAATAAGAGATACAGCCAGTTTGCAGATCTCCAGGACTTTTTAGACTTTTACTACATTGGAACAAATGTGCTGGTTCAGGAAGACGACTTCTTCGATTTAGCATGGGCTTACTTCCAAAGGGCCAAGAGTGACGGGCTGTGGCACTGTGAGGTGTTCTTTGACCCACAATCACATACAGAAAGAGGGATCGATCTTGACGTCGTTGTGAAGGGATTTCAAAGGGCTTGTGACAAGGCTCAAAGTGAGCTGGGTATCACAACTCAGCTCATCATGTGTCTTTTGAGACACTTGCCTTCACAATCAGGCTTAGCCACTATTGAGTCTGCAAGGGAACATATAGCGAATGGTACAATTCATGCCTTGGGGTTGGACTCTGCAGAAAAACCATTCCCACCGCAGCTGTTCTGTGACTGTTATTCTAGGGTTAAGGAGATCAACCCAAGTATCCAATTGACTGCACACGCAGGTGAAGAAGGTGACGCAGATTTTGTGACAAATTCCCTTAATCTATTGAATGTCACTAGAATAGATCATGGGATCAACTCGGTCCATGACGATATACTTATTAAGAGATTGAGCGATAATCAGACTTTGCTCACAGTCTGTCCGCTCTCCAACGTCAAGTTACAAGTCGTCAAGGATGTTTCAGAGTTACCATTACAGAAGTTGCTCGATGCCAATGTTCCATTCAGTCTAAACTCTGACGATCCCGCATACTTTGGAGGTTACATCTTAGACAACTATGTAGCCGTACACACAAGATTCGGGTGGTCTATAGACACATGGGCTCAGGTTGCCGTGAATGCTATCAACGGTTCTTGGTGTCATCAAGACCGCAAGGATGAGATACTAAGGGAAATTGCCAACGTTGTTGAGAAGCATAGACCAATTATAGAGAAAATTAGTGCATGATTAGAATATATTAAAGGACAAAAGCGATAAATCATTTAGAGATCAACTCATCGTATTGACCACCATTCAACTCTTCAAAAAACTCTGTCGTAGCACTGCTGAATCTCTTGAGACCTTCAATTAGAGCGTCATTATCACTGACTGCAGCAATCGTGGTTCTAATAAAATTACCGTTTTTGATAGTGTTCTCAAAAGTTGGATCTGCAACCATCTTGTTACCAAACACAACATCAACACCATGTCTGATGTACTTGGTCTTGAGCTTGGCCAGGATCTTTTCATAATCGTGTGGATCTTGAACCTGAGATTCAATGTTGATGTAGACAATTATGAACATACCAGCATCTGGCTCAACAACAGTGATCTGACCTTGCTTATAAGGCTGTGATGAGTATATTTCTTTCAAAAAGATATCACGTCTATACGTGTAATGTTTGGCAACTTTTGAAGACCAAGTTAACCAACCGTCAACACCGCCCCACTGTTGAATGATGTTGTTCAACAACAACTGAGAAACACCAGATGGGTGTCTTGTTGAGAGTAGAGTATGGATAAAGATTCTTCTACGTAGGTAAGGGTTTGCAGTGATAAAACCCAATCTCAAACCCGGTGCAAATAGTTTGGAATAAGTATCCAGTCTGATGACACGGCCTGACGTATCAATAGTCAAGTAAGATGGAGTCAACAGCTTCTTGTATTCTGCAGGTGTGAAATCTGGCGACTCATAAACGTTTGGTGTACCGTATTTTGGTAACACTATGTATCCGTATGGATCGTCTTCAATGATGAGGAAGTTGTGCTTCTCTGCAAGAGCATATATCTTCTTTCTCAAGCTCAGGCTCTGTGTCAAGCCAGTTGGATTTTGACCAGTTGGGATGGTGTAAAGGGCAGTTGGTTTCTTCTTATCCTTATAAGGACCAGTGGACCAATTTGTGAGCAAGTCATCCAAGTATTCTGGGTCAATACCTGGCTCACTCCCGTCCTTTATGTTAAGTTTGACCGGGATAACAGCGGTATTGTGGTTTTCAGCAGAGTTGTTGAAAGGTGTGAATGTAAATTCCTCAACAAGTATGGAGCCGCCATCTTCACAAACCAAATCTGCAACTTTGAACAAACTATCACCTGAGCCGTTAGTGATGATTACATCGTAATCATCGTACGCAGGCTTATGCAAAGTTGTGATCAATTCCTTGGAGAATTTTTGCAGCTGTGGGAAACCATCACTGTTTGAGTATTGAAACCCCTTGTGAATAGAGATTTGATCATCATTCAAAGGGTAACGATAAGTATTGACCGCTGTGTGATCTCCGTTCAACTTGTGCACCTGTTCATCCGTGTTCTTGTCAAAAGAGTTTGTGCCCGGACCTTTCACTTCGTAGTCAAAGTGCTGGAAAGGTTGATCCACCAAGTTCACGTGGATGGATTCCACGGGGAAGAACCCTTCATTTGGGGTTCCACCTCCTAGCGGAATCGGGTTCGGATGAGCCAACGGATCAGGCTTTGCATCGAAATCGTAGAAGGTCTTGAAGAACCTTTTTCTGGATCTAGCCGAGATCAGCGGAGAGAACTGCGTTTCGTAGTCTGTTGTCATTACAATCTATAGGAGAAGAAGTATAGTTAGGAACAGGGCGCTGTTGATCTGGAATTGAGGCACTTGGGCCATTTATACCAGTTTGTGGAGAGTTGATATGTAAGCAAGTGTGTGCGCGCCTGATAGGGAAAGTGCCGTAGAAAGTCTTGAGCTTTTCGGCTCTCAGTACAAATCAGGAAATCGAGCCTTGACGGGGAAGATGTCGGACTTTGAAACATAGGCGAATGAACTCTTGTCAGACAAGCAATTCCAGAAACCCTAGACGTTCATGAGTGTTAGTACCAACACGTCGCCTACACCTGTATGTGGAGCTTGTAGGAAGTACCACAGATCATGCCGGCGTGGTTGACACGCAAGCCCTATGTATAAGGGGAGGGAAGAGACATCTCGTTTGGTACAAGTTTACAATCGTAATTCAGCTGCAAGGGAGGATGAATGATGCCCAACTGGTATTAGAAAGCTCGAAATCTGTACCGTCATAGCGTCATTCCAATGACAAGTATCATCATCTCCGAGTGGAAGACGTATGGCGTCTGGAGGCAACCCCTAACCGGCTTTCCACAGCGCCTCCACCGTTGTTTCGTCATCTCCGATCCTGGACAAAAGAGCGCGATGCACACTGCTTCACACAATTAAGTGTGGTTTTTTTTTTGAGGTGCGCCGTCAAAAATCACATCTATGGCCCTAACGGACATGGCAGTACAACCACACAGCTACTACTCATCTGTTATATTTTAATCTGTATTGTATATATGATAACTAGAAACCGGAACATGTGGACGGTGGAGTGTTATTGGAAAGGAAGTGAACCCACAGTGCACATAGGAGAGCCTGACAACAAGAGCTCTCCCTTTCTCTATCAAAGATCTTATCAAACGACTGTCCGTTACCACCCCAAGTTTGTAGTGATTTGTTGTAAGCATGTAGGTACCCGCCATCTACCTGAGAAAAAGCAAAGGGCCCAGCATCACACATCGATCTATAATGTAACAGTACCTTTAGGAACCAATAATCAACAACAATAACCATGAATGGTCCCTTTGTCTGCCCACCGAGTCTGCTATTCTGTTGAACTTCTCCAACGCAGGGGTATCGGACTCTCCTGAGGGAGGCATCTCACATAGCGAGCCAACTTCTGGATTCATAACGTTTATCGTATGCGCAATGAAGTTGTTGTTGTGTAACAGCGGGAAGAATGGTGGAAGTGACATGGCGTTACGTGCTGTATATCTCTATAAATTATATGTTCCGCTCCTTGTTATCTTAGTGTTTGATACTGAACGCACAGAGTAAACCCACGCGTTTGGCTGCAACAGTTCAGACTACCACCCAGTGAATAAAAGAGACTATGATCCTTTATATATGACAAATTCGGAACCCTGTCACTGTGCCGTTTTGTGTATACGTTCGTTTATCACCAGCAACTGATTGAACGTCTCTCTCTTCTCCTCTTTGGGATTTGTTGGTAAATTTCTGCTCTCGTTTAGCAGCTCTTGTCAATTTTTGACATAATTTTCCTCTCCTACAAAAGGGCAGAGCGACAGCAGCGGACATCACCTGAACGTGTACACAAACTATTGAGGAGAACCGAATTAGGAAATTGGTGAGGGGAATAGAAACGGACGGGGAAACACTCGTTTGTGATAATTGTGGCAGTATACACGGTAAACGGGGATAGAGGGGAGGGCGCAGAAGCGGTCGGCATTTGTGGTTTGTTTCGGGTTTCCAATTTCATAAGAGGCTCAATGGAGGCATCCGTATGAGTCAATTCATTATTTGCGTATTGCTGGGAATACTAGAGCTTTAGTAGACGTTAGGAGCTCTAGACACAACACTCCATACATTTCTTGATAATACTTAATGGGTTAGCACCCATGCCACTGCAGAATTATGAGGAGTAACTGGTATATACAAGGAGACCTGTTTAATCTACTGTTTCAACATTTCATGAAATGAGAAGATATGTACCGCAGAGCTTTGCTGTACTGCTGCGGTTGAGTAGTAACATCGGAGAAGCTGAGGTAGGAGAAGGTAGGCCACACATATAGTATTACCTACACGGTATGAAGTTCAGCAAATCATCTAAAGATGGGTCCTGTGGACAATAAACAACAGTTGCTTAAAGTACCATATGGTAAATTGCGGAAACTAAAACTTTCAAGATCTGTTCCTCGTGGCCCAATGGTCACGGCGTCTGGCTACGATTCAGTAGTTACTTCTGAAACCAGAAGATTCCAGGTTCGACTCCTGGCGGGGAAGATCTCTTTTTTTTTTTCAATTTTTGGCTCGCTAATCTTCTGGTAGGAACCACATTTATTCATTACGCTGTGCATGAACCTCTCTTATCGTTACATTCTTTGATTGTCATCAAGATATCATAAACAAGTGAAAGATCACATTTCTTAAATAGTGGAATAGGATTTTGACCAGAAAGGTTCATTATTGTTAGAATTTGGGACCATGAACGGACGGCCTGAGGTGTCTCAAGTCTTACGCGCTACGCTATTTGATAAGCACCCAACGTTAAGCATAGAGCGATTGAGAGGTATATCACTCAACAAACCACTTTGAATGAGCTTAAACCAGAAGAAATTTTGATGTCGAAAGTCAAGATCGCAGGTATTAGCTACAACTTTGAAGTGTATCTAATATGATACTGTGTAAATTGTCAATATACATGACGATACATTAGGATGGAATTTGACTCGATATTGAAATACGACGCAACCTCGCCTACAGGATACGTAAACATGAAGAGAAATACAGAAGAAAAAAACCATAGAATATACAATTAGCCAGTAATTAATATAGCATATTAAAAAGCATAATCATAGAGTGGAGAGATAGTAAAAAGAAAGGAAAAAGGAAAAAGTCCTTCAAAATAAACACACCTAAGGTTACAACGAGGGGTTTCTCAAGGAATGAAAATTTGAAGCTCGACACAACCATGTACGTCTCGTCAGTGGAACAAAGACATTCAAAGATCCTATCAAGCATGGACGTCCACAGCGGTGGATACACTTTCAACGGCTTCAGAAACTTGCTCAACAATCGGAGCTGTAACTTCGTTAACTGCTGATGTAACCTCAGCAATTGTTGAACTATTTGTATTTTTACCTTCAGTGATACCCAAGGACTTCAAGGTTTCATTGTACAGCTCATGAGATGTACCCAATACAGCCCTTGGAATGGACTTGTCATTAGTCTCCAAGTTTGAGTTGTAAATCTTTGAAACGTGGATCTGTAAATCAACTGGGTACTTCTTAACGTTTTCAATCTTGGAATCAATAATTGGAACAGCGCGTTTATAAGCGGTTGTGGTTAGCTTAATCAACTTGTCAATTTCATCAGGAGATGTAACCTCCGCTGTGGCAACATCAACCGTTGACACTGGTTTTGGAAGATAAGTATCGATGGCACTTTCAAACGTTGTGTTAACAGGAGAAAGGATCGGATTAACAGCGGCAACAACAGCGGGTTTCGTAGAGGCAAACAGCTCATTGTATTTGGAAACGATAGCCGCTTTCAGACTAGCTAACAGAGCACCTGGAGTCAAATCGCCCAAATGGACTTTTTTCAAAAATGGTAAAAACTTGTCCACAACACCAATGATCAAAGAGTTCAGGATAAACTCATCAACAGAGTAATAGACCTTATAGATACCTGGCGCGTACTTAACAATGGCATCGTCATACAACTTGAGCGCTGTTTGAGCAATGAACGTAGATACTTGGTTGATTAGTTGGAATCCCAAGATGAACTCCACAGTCTCTTGAACAAAAGGATAAGAGTTGTACGAGTGAGTAACACTTGGAGACAATCTGCGTAGACGTGTCAATGGCGACTCAACGTGGTTGACTAATCTCTCCACTTGGTCAGACATTGTGAAGCTGTATGTGTGTATCTTCTTTGTTATGATAAGTAAGAAAAAAGGGAGCGGGAAGAACCTCAAGTTTTATATATTTCCTTCAACGGCAAAAAGCAGGCGAAATATCCCTTAAATAATTTTAGTGCACCAAGTGATTGTGTCAAATTTTTTGTTTGACAAAAGGCTGCTGATAATTCCGAAGCGGGACGAGGGCACAGGGGCAGGTGACGGTACTATGTGCTCACTGAGATTTCAACAATCTCACAATTAACAGGACTAGTTTCACGACGTTTTACACGAGATGGAAAGGTAAGGTTAGGTAATTGTGGTGGACATGAATGTCCTTATATAGAGACAAACAAATTAAGCGAGAAAAAGATCCAGGAAGAATCCTGGCAGTGCCGAACGTAGCGGTGGACCGCAACAGGAAGTAACCTGAAGAGTCTCTTGGTGTTATCTTTGGCAGACCACCCATGTTTAGTTCGTGATCTCATGGGTCGTATCTACCATGGACTGAGGATGGGTACTTGCCTGCATGATAGCACATACTACAGGTTCGTGGTTGTAATGTTATGCGGTGTCATTCTGAGGTGACACGGACGTGCAAAAATATAAACAAAGGTGGCTTGGAATCCTCAAGCATTAGACTAACTGCCTGTATAATACAGTTTAATCAACTTCACATGGAGGAATGACGTGCTTATCAGGGGGCTCAGCACAACGACACTACCTGTGCATATTACAGGTTATTTTTTGGGAGTCATAAAGTGGAACCAGCTGGAACTTCGAAGGTCTTGTTTATCTGTATGCTAATGCTATAATTGCGAAGAATCCCTCTTGGGCCAAGACCTCTGTGTAAATTGACCCGTGGGTTTGAAACCTTGGACCATAAGACCCACTCTGGTGTGTGACTGCAACCCGGGATGGGGAGTGAACACAGATCAGCCTCTGTTCTTACTAACAACGACTTCAAAGGACTATTCTGAATAACGTGCTCTTATGTGCGCAACTGCATGTAAACCTTATGTGGAGCAACTCAAACTTTGAAGTTGTTCATCACAATAGAGGACGGAAAAGTGCCTGTGCAATAAACACGGAATTAGCAGTGCATCACTCACCAAAGTACAAATGGTGTGGGGGGAGAGAGGGTGATTAACCACAACCTGTATTGGAGGTGTATTGGTGCTACGCTTTTATTATTTGCATGTCACACTATAGGTGAGTACTAAGTACAGGATTGTTCAACGTCAATCGCTTTGTACTTTCAAATTTCACCAATGAATGCTGCTGTATCAATATCGACATGCTGAATTGTTTAAAGTGCTATGTTTGACAGGACTGTGTTGACGTAATTCAGGGAAGCGTCTCCAATGCCAATCTGCATACAGCTTTCCACGCTTACGTCAAGTACGAGAGCCCTGTTTAATACTCTTTACTGTAATGCGTACGAGACTAGCCAAGACGTTGTCTAATGGGACAGAGAAGGAGACAGAAGAAAACCACACCCTGTGGACTGGCGAGAAAGAACCACAGGCCTATTCAACAGTTTACCAACTGTCCTCTCTATACGCACAACAGCACGCACTGCTTGCCGTTACGCATGGGCCACTTGAACTGCGAACGGCTTGGAGAATCTCATCCGGTTAAGGACACACAACCAAAACATCCGAATGTGGAAATACGTCAAAAGGAGTAACCCAAGTGAAATTTTTTTTCTCCCAAGCCAAATATCTCCCGTGAAAAACGAAAAAAAAATTGAACGTCGACGACACACACATCACGGAGTTGTTTGAACGACCACGAAACCAAGTTTGCCTCTTTAACCCGGCACAGGAGGAAAAACAAACATTTGGAAAAAAGGGCATCAGAGATTAAATTGGTTGTAACAAACTGTTTAAATCATCACATCTGTTGCCGAAGAGAATAAAGAGCACCAAATAAGCTGACCCCATTTGAAAGCCCTTTTGCCCCTTGCTCCTTGTTTCCAATTGGCCCCCTTTTTTTCGCCACCCAGTTTGTTTATACTTTGTGTGTACTTTGTGTGCGCGTTGTTGTTTTGGTTGTGCCACTACCGCCAAACAAAACAAAGCAAAGCAAAGCAAAACAAACGAGCGCAGACACGGACAAAGATTTCGGTCGGTGGATCGAATCCCGTGGAGGACAAAAATTGTTTTTTCTTGTTTTTAGTGTCACGTCGTTGATAAGAGGGAACCACATCAAAGAACCCAGCAGACACGAACTCCCGCAGGTTCGGTGACACAGTGAAATTGCATACTTGTATTATAGTCAGATAGACAACACATATATTTTCGTTCTTTGTTCGTGCTCTTTTGGGTATTTTTATTTCGTTTTTATCGTCATTTTCAGTTTCAGTTGACCTCATCTCATCACACTACACATTTCCGTTTTCAACACCATGGCAGTTGCATCAGCAGCGGGCTCCGTCAAGGGAGGCGTTGCGAGTAACAGATTCAGACAGAGGAAAATCTCTACAAAGGCTGAACTGCAAATCTTGAAACAGAGTCAGATAAGCGATATCGATAATGCAGATCTACAACAGCGTGAACTACAAGAGATCGAAACCGGTGTGGATAAGAATGAGGAAGGTGAGGAGCATTTACAGAAGATTCTGAAAACGACTGGATTGTCAAACACAGCAAATACGTATATCCCAACTCCAGATGCCTCAAAGCTATGGCCAGAAGCTGAAAAGTACTATACGGGTACTTTCCATCATCCGGAGTCTTATATCAAATCTTCCTGTCAAGTGGAGGATTATTCTGGGTGTCTCTACAATATGGATGAATCAGATGAGGAGTTCTTGGTACAGTTAAACAAAGATCGTAAGAAGAATCCACTTACGGAGGACGAATTCGAAATTCTGATGTATAATTTTGAGAAAACTATCACGGAAAAACAACCTTTCCTAAGTACTGATCCCACCCAGATATTATCATTGGAGGAAATTACAGATTCTTTATTGAGGATTGATAAGTCATCAGTGGAAAATGTCACTGGAATGCTAGCAGAGGAGCTGAACATCCATCCATTTATTACAAACTTTGATGCGCATCTGCCCCAAAAACCTAGAGAGTTGAAGTATTTGGTTTCTCAGTATGGACTTGTAGTGTATGAACACTTCAAAAAGAGAAAGATCGAAAGAAATGGCCAAACAATCACCCCAATTCTTAAGTTCAATGGTGAAGATGACAACGATGCTTATATCTGTTTTAGACAACGTCAATTCAGACAACAAAGAAAGACAAGACGAGCAGATGTTCAGAGTTCCGAGAAGTTGGTGAAGTTGTACTTGGAGTTAAAGGCCACTAAAGAGCTATGTTTCTTAGTGGCAGAACGTGAAAAGCTTCGTTTGGAGGCGCTGGAAGCTGAACGTGAGATATTTGAACTTCGTTGCAAAGTTAAAAATGTTAAGCGTGAATTGGGTATCACAGACAGCGATGAAGATCTTGTTGCACACAAGAAAAAGAAACCAGTTCCACCTCCACCTCAAGCTGAACAACCTACTGATGTTAAAGATGAAAAGAAGAGAGTACTGTCAAAAACCGGTAACAATGCTAATATCGACAAGTCCAAGGTGGGTAGTTCATCTGATGGTATAGACTCTCAACAACAACAATTACAACAACAACAGCAACAGCAACAGTTCCAACCATATGTGAAGTTACCACCATCAAAGATTCCTGATATGGAACTGGAAACCGTTGATAGGTTACTCAACAACAAGAAGGATTCAATGGCCAAATTCGTTGAGGAGAAGTTGAAGAAGCGCAAATTAAGGGATGCTGGATTTATCAATTTAACAGATGACGCTTATAGTCCATTGCTTAACCTCACTTTGCCACATATCAAGATTGAAGATGCCTCTCATTTACCTTATTCTTCTATAACGTCATCATTCTTGGATCTGGAAAACTATGGATATGTTGAAGGAGTAGAGAAGTTCATATCCAAAGGTGTGTTACCAAAGGCTGAGGATGGGTTGGTTTTCAACACTCAAACTTCTAAATGGCAATCCAAAAGAATTTTACCCGAGAAGTATAATCCATTCCATGAGAAGAAGTCTCTTGTTAGCGGTCCACAACTGACATTGAGAAAAAGAATTGGAAGATTGGGTCAATTGTACATAGACACTAGGGACACCACAAGGAATGACGATATTGTCTTTGGCGAAGATGAGGAGGAAGATACCAAGGAGAGATTGCTTGATCAGTGGAAGTTTGACGATGATGGTTATAACCAACTCGACATACTAAGCGATGATCCTGCTAGACTGAATACCATTTCAAACGATACACAGGTGATTAGATTCGGTGGTATGTTGCTGTCGAAGGCTTATGATACATTGAAGGATGCAATGATACAACAAAGACAACAGCTGTACCTGCAACAATTACAGAAGATGCAAAAAGCTCAACAACAGAGACAACAGCAACAGCAACAGCAGCAGAAATCTCAAACACAACAATCAACACAGGCCCAGAAATTACAACAACAACAGCAACAACAACAATTACAACAGCAGCAGCAGTTACAACATCAAAAGCCCTCACATCAGCAACAGCAGAAGGGTTCTCCACTCGTTACCACTGCACCTCAACCACGTGTCCAAGTGAACAAATGAAGGGAATTTCTTCATAGTGTTCCATATTTAATGACTATCATGACTTTCAACTTTCAACTTATGTAGAAATAGAAGGTTGGCATCTCTCGACGTGGAGATGTGCTCTATCACGTCGAGACAAATTTTGCGGTGTGTTGCTGTAGTTACGTATAGTCAAAGCCAGTGAGATATTCCATCCTGAAAGACCAGTTTGATTATAACATTCCACACTAGCATTGTAATTCGTCTATGATGAACCATGTTTCCAATCGTCAACGTCGCCGTTCTAGTGGGCAGAGATCCTCACTTTCCTTCCTTGCTGCAAAGCTTCTGCAAGGAAACTAACCTACTTTTACCACACCATTTTGATCCAATTGCCTCAAATCTTACTATTTCAAAGCGCTCTGACCAAGTGGGATCTACAGTATCTGCATGACAACGCTGATATTCCAGTATACATCGTCATTACTCTCAATTCATTACCATTTAAATCTCCGTCCAAAGCGTGAAGACCACGCTAGCCACGGCATTACAGGCCCCTCAGCCTTTTGGAGGTGAAAACGCTTCTGCCTCATACGGGAAATTGAACTCTGATTGCTAACTCCGCCGCTATATTCAACTGCAGCCGGGGAAACAGCTGGAAAAGCCCGCTACAACGGACTAGGGGACTCTCAGCACGATACGACGCTTTAAACTGTTAAGTCGTAAGCCAATTTTTAGATCAAGTGATATTTGATACTGGGGCGACTCGTGGCTCAATTGCTACATTTGCCAAGAAACAACTAACTATATAGCGATGTAAGATGTCTCAATTCATGCAATTCCACTACTGACCAGAGCTAAGGGTTGGACTTGCGCATTGGCTCGTTATTGAACTGCTAAACATTCCCCGTCTACATGTGCTCAGCACCCAATGCATCACCTAGAGAGCTACACCAGAGTCTTTTTCACATGGGCATTTCTCAGCAAAGGAGAGAGAATGCAATTTGCTAATCAATGAAACCTCATACACGTGGCTTCACAGTTTCAGTGTGGTTTACAGCACGCATTCGGGGTTAACTTGTGCTAATTTGTGTGGATTGGCTGGTGTCCTGTTGTTTCTTTGCTGCCCGCAAATCTTTAAAAGCCTCCGTTGCCATAGCAATCGACATATTTCACCCGCAGTGACTTTTTTTTTTTCTTTTGATGAGTGCGATGAGTAGCACTGGGACAGAACTTGGAGAACGGTCCCATTTCTTCCTTCCTTCCTCCCATAGATAAATTGGATTTTTTTTACATTTTAGACGGAAAGGTGGCTGTTGCCTCGACACTCTGTACTTGGTGGACAAATAGTATGCTTTGATAATGAAGTTTGGTAAGACGTTTGAGAAAGAACTGGAGGAGGATGAAATCCCCGAGGAATGGATTGAAAAGTCCATCCACTACAAACCTTTGAAGAAGAGTATTAATAGGGTTGTTGATGAGATGGAAAGAATTGGACTGTCCAAACATGTTGCAGCTGACCCAGAGCATTGCCACTTATACTATGAGTTTGAAAGACACGGCGACTCCTTGGAGGCGCGTTTGAAGTTCGAAGGAAACAGTGACGATGAGACGGAGAGCATACGGTCAGAGAGGTTGAAACTTGCTAGTGACCACGAATTCTTTGACGACTTGTATCACCAGTATACGGAGCTGGAGCAGTTTAACCAATCTCACGAGGAAGAGCTCTTGACAAAGATTCAACTTTTGAGCTCAATGATTAAACAACTTACAGATGGGAACAATAAACACAAGAGTGATATGTACCTGTGGAGAGAGATTTTCAACCAATATGTTGATTTCAAACTGGATTTGAAGACCCATTTCAACAGAAAGACGTTCAACCAGTTCGTTCAGCACATCACAGAGTTGAAGCTGATCAAATCGTTCAAGCATACAAAGCAGAATGAGAAGTTCTTCAACAAATTCTGCGACCTGAACTTGGAGTTGATACAGTTTTTGAAATTCGAAAAGCTGAATGCCATTGCAGTGAAGAAGATCATCAAAAAATTCGACAAGCATACGATGCTTCAATCAAGGAAGAACCTGACGAAGATGGTCACCTTTCACGAGTCCAAATTGTCCACACAGTCCATGGAACAGATCATCTGTACGGACATCGTTAGAGTGATTCCACAGTTAGACGACTACCTCTGTCCTATTTGCTTTGCCATTGCGTATAAACCAGTGAGACTCTCGTGCGATCATTTCTTCTGCTTGAGATGCATGATCAAATTACAGCGTCGTGGTGAAAAGAAATGTCCAATGTGTAGGGACACCGTTGTTATGGATGCTACAGAACAGAACATTGATTATCAATTGATGGAGCTCATGAAGCATCAGTTCCCTGATGAAGTTAAGAGTAAGAAGAAACTTAACGATCGTGAAGTTACAGAGGAATCATTACAGGCATTGTACGGTGGTGGTCAATGCACAATAGTTTAATTTCTAAAATCCTGAAAGATACATTATATAAAACCTTTATATTCCATATTGACTCATAGCTTAAGTGCGGTATAATTCTTTAAAGCTGCGGGCAGGCAGTGCCTACGCACACGCGATAGCGCGGGATTCTCCAGGACAACTCTCCTTCAACTGTTTACATAAAAGTGCGAGAAGAGACATAATAAGTAGAGAACCAAAGGCAGGAGGGAGCTATAATGATGAAGAGACATGGACTATCAGCGTTCGATAATAACAGCCAACAGTTCACAGAACTGGGACAATCCCTTATAAGGAGGAAGTCCAAGGAGCTATCTACACAATTGCAACTGTTTAAGCAGATTCTCATGAATTTCTTGGACGAACACAACGACGAACTAACAGAGGACCTGCAACTCCGTAACGAATTCGTCAAGACCTGTTCACTCGTTGGTATCGACCCCTTGAAGATATATGGCAAGCATACCAAGATGAACGAGTTCTATTACGAGCTTTGTTGCAGAATCATTGAATACTGTAACTCCACAAGGGATATCAATGGTGGGATGATAAAGGTCTCACAGCTACTGGCTCAACTGAAAGAGAGCGGTGTTGTCAAGGAGGATATCCATCGATGTGTATCCATGATGCAGATGCTGAACGAAGAGCTACAAATCGTCACCATCGGACACCATGAGTATTTGAAAAACGTTCATATTGGGCTCACAAAGGACCAAACCATGGTCTTCGATATTGTGAACCAAATAGGATCGATCACCTCAAGAATGCTCTGCGATAATCTACAGTGGGACTACATCAAGTGCGAACAGTTGCTACAGTCTATGGTTAGCGATGGGTACCTATGGGTTGACGTGTATAAAGGGAAGGTCCACTATTGGGACCCATCGTGGTCCGTCTAGCCTTACCAGCTGAGTACCATGACAAACCAACATTTGGAAGAGTACATAAACGATGATTTAGACGTAACTGGGCTCTCAAACCGTAGTGCGATGGTGTTCTCGGTTAGCGTCTCCCAGTGCTTGTTGTTTCTCTTTAGAACACCCGAACACCAAACACGAAATTTACCCTTTTGTGGTTTTCAAAACCTTCAACCACAAAACAACAACTACAACAACAATGACAACCACAGCAACCGGAGGAGCCACCTCAACATCCTTCTAAAGAGACTACACAAGATGTCGTACGACCCAGAGAAGTGGACTGTATCCTCAAACGACGTGCTGTCGATATCCATTGCCGACGATGATGGCTATACCTCCTTCAAACCGGCTTTCACGTATCCAATTTTTGGTGATTCAGAGCAGATCTTTGGATATAAAGATTTGAAGATCAACCTTGCCTTCCACTATACAACATTTCTACCATTCTTGAAAGTGACGTATTCTGAGAAGCTGAACGATGAAGTTGACGACGTGAAGGACAAGATGCTAGAGTTTTTGCCTGCAAGCACTGTTGTTGACGACGAACAGCTGTGGGTGGAGACTTTCAAGAAGGAGAAAGTGGAACGCGGCGAATTGATTGCCAAACTTGATGAGTATGCCGTTTATAAATATGGCTTTGACAATGAGTTTGCTGTTGAGTTGAACAAGAGATTACAGATACTGGTGCTGATGTTTATCGAAGCTGGGTCTTACATTGATACCTCTGATTCTCTTTGGAGCTTGTTTGTGATGCGTAAGGATGATACCATCATTGGATTCACCACGTCGTACTCTTACTTCAAGTATAACGGTGGAGAAGAGTTTGATTCAAACAAGGCTATCAAGAGAAGAAACAAGATTTCGCAGTTCGTTATTCTTCCAAATCATCAGAATGGTCTCCACGGTTCTCAGCTTTACCAAGCGGTGATAAACTACTGGTTAGCGGATCCTGAGGTCCAGGAGATCTGTGTTGAAGACCCCAACGAGAAGTTTGACGACTTGAGATATAGAAACGACTTTAAGAGGTTGTTTGAAGAAGGCGTACTCTCCAATTTACCCTCATCCATTTCCAAGTTGGATGAAGCCTGGTTTGTATCCAACGCTGCAAGCCACAAGCTAGAGCTGAACCAATTCAAGAAGCTTGTTGAAATGGGGTATCTATACAACGAGAACGTGAAATTGGCCAGACTTGTCATAAAGAAACGCCTGTACATTAAAAACAGAGACGGACTATCAGAATTGGACAAAGCCTTGAGAAATGACAAGCTACAAACCGCTTATGAGGGCATCAGACAGGAATACACCAGAATACTCGATGCCCTCAGGTTACATCATGATGAGAGACAGGCTAAAAGGGTCAAAGTATAGCTATTTCCCTGTGTAATAGTGCATTGTCCCTTAACTCACAATGACGTAGCAGGAAGCATATGTACGCTATCAAGTTCCGAATTAGGAAACTTTCGTTAGCCCAATCGGGAATATCTCTATTTGTTCAAGTATGCGCCGCACGCACGAGCAATCTACAAAGGCTGAAAATGGCGAAAAATTTATCCGGGCAAATCATATAAAAAGGGGGTTTTTCTTGCTTTTCTTTCCAGTCCAGGGGTTTTCCTGTGAGGTTTCTCTTCAATTGTACGTATTTAACAGATAAAATGCACAGAACATACTCTTTGAGAAACACTAGAGCGCCAACGGCTTCTCAATTGCAATCGCCACCACCTCCAACTTCTACCACCAAGTCTAAGTTCTTTGGTAAAGCTGGTATCGCTTCTACTTTCAGAAAGAACGCTGCAGCCAACTTTGGTCCTGAATTGGCCAGAAAGTTGTCCGCTTTGATCAAGTTGGAGAAGAATGTGTTGAGATCCATTGAATTGGTTGCAAGAGAGCGTCGTGAGGTTGCCAAGCAGTTGTCCGTCTGGGGTGAGGATAACGATGACGACGTTTCAGACGTGACTGATAAACTCGGTGTGTTGATCTATGAGATTGGTGAGCTTGAGGATCAATACATTGATAAGTATGATCAGTACAGACTCACGTTGAAGTCCATCAGAGACATTGAGGGCTCTGTCCAACCAACAAGAGAACGCAAGCAAAAAATTACCGATGAAATTGCGCGTTTGAAGTACAAGGACCCACAGTCCCCAAAGATTGCTGTTTTGGAGCAAGAATTGGTGCGTGCCGAGGCCGAATCCTTGGTTGCTGAGGCACAATTGTCAAACATTACCAGAGAAAAGTTCAAAGCTGGATTCAACTACCAGTTCGACGCTACAAGAGAACTCTCTGAGAAGTTGGCCTTGATCGCTGGTTACGGTAAGGCCCTTTTGGAGTTGCTTGATGATGCCCCAGTCACCCCTGGTGAGACCAGACCAGCTTATGACGGTTACGAAGCTTCTAAGCAAATCATCATTGATGCTGAAAATGCTTTGGCCGCCTGGACTTTGGACCAAGCTGCTGTCAAGCCTGCTCTCTCATTGCACCAAACTGCTGATGACGTCTATGACGAGGAGGCTGATGAACAAGAGGCTGCTGAGGCTGAAGCTGAATGGGCTGAAGATGAGGATCAACAACCAACTCAAATCAACTGAGTTGTTCCTCCAGGTACTTGAATGATTTGCTATGATCGATCCTTATGGAGCCGTTCTTTCACTAGCTGATCCCTTTTTTATGTGTTATACTTTAATCGACTGGTGGGTTTCCACACTAAACTCGTTTGCATGATTAATTACTATGATTGCTTTAAAAATTATGTAGCTTGCTGTTGTTGTAGCAATTGATGTGAGTCCAAAGTTAAACTTGCACTGCATGGCATCGTTGTTTCGGAGACATCCGCATGACATTGTATAATTAGCACATGAAGTATACAATGTATAACGGTTAGAATTGCAAATTGTAAGTCATAGACTGTATAGCTGGGAAGACTTCGAAATAGGTGAATGAATCCGCTATGGTGTCATGCAAGACGAATGGACAGTTCAGAAGCGGACATCAAGCCAAAATCACCAATACTTTGGCCAACAGATACCTTTATCCCGTTGAGAGTTGCCAATTGTAGAACCTCATAGAATGACTTTACAACTATCGATCTGTCAGTCTCGTAATCGATTAGTTTTTCAAAACTCAACTCTTCACAGTTCTCCTCCTCAAATCTCGACTGTAGAAACGCCAAAAACTTCAACATGGTTCCATGCCCATGCCCTGATCTCAACGTGTTACCGGTCCCCGAGACCGATTCCTTGTCTCTTGAAGCATCATGGCGTTCCTCTTGCAATTCTGGAAGCCTTAGAAGGGAGCTTGACCTCTTCTTCGAAGAGCCGGAAGTGGTTGAATGATCCTCCAAGCTTAGCGGGAATTCATCCAATTCGTTTCGGTAATCAAAGTCGTGATCAGCATCGGCCAGTGGTGCGTTTTCCCAGGGTAAGTCGATAGCAGCTAAGCTTGCACGCGAATGGCGTCTTGATGATACAGAGACGTGTCTTCCAGATTCTATGGAGCTTACAGATGATCTTCTATGACGATTTAGGCTATCGACAAAGTCACCATCTTCACGATGTAATTGGCGACCACGCTCAATGGTGTCAACTGCCACAACTGGAAGGAAATCTGGAAGAAGTGGGTCTTTCAAGGTAAAATCCAAGTAATTATTATACTTGGGTTTCTTAGCCTTTGACTTCATCACGGAAACATAGTTATCTCTGAAATTGCGTAAATCTTCAGTACATATACTAATGGCCATGTCCACGACAATCTGCGACGTATCTGTTCTCATACGCTTCTTGGAACAAACCTTAGGTGGTGCTGCTTGTGCATGATCTTGATTCTGCCCAACGCGAGGTTCCTCAACCTCCTCCAAGATCTGATCCATTTCACGAATGTGATCTTCAGCAGGTTGCGGATCGACATCGAATGCCAAATTGAATGAACCATCACCTAATTGATAATCAGTGTCAGGACGAATATCGTCCTGAACAATATCTACTATGAATCCGTCATCGTTGAATGCAAATTCAGGATTCAAGCCTTGCAATCCATCTTCTTCCACGAAATGAGTTCCAGATTCACGTAGATTCAACTGATCAACAGGCAAGGAAATCACATTGTTCTCCTGGTCCACTTGTTGAATCCCTCTTTTTTGAAGATCATCATGGGCGTTGGAGGTCTGCAAGAAGTCTAACCCAGCTAGCGGTGGTAACAACCCGCCATCTATGTTGAACGAGGGGTCATCTCTAAGAACGACTTGTTTTGCTAAGCGTTGCAGCACATCAGCCTCCGACGCCATGGGCATCAATATCTTGGAGGCGTGTCCCTTGAGAGGATTCAAGCCTCTTTGGATCCTGGTACGGACGTTTGACACGTCGCTGTTCAAGTAATCAGTCTTTTGCTTGTACACCAAAGCAACACCATACAACAACGAGGACTTGATACGGAGAGTCAACGCATTATCCGGTTTCTTGATCTCGTCACAAGTTTGAGGGATCGATACTGACTGGATCTCCTTTCTCGTTATCCTCCTGTGCGCCGATCTCAATCCCAACGTCGATAATAGCCTGCGTGATATGTGTTAGCATGGTGACATCAAAAGCACCAGAAAGATGTACACTCTTGCTTACCAAACCGTGGTGACACCGGCATGCTTCTGAATCAACGAATCCTGATCTAACTTCGTGTTCCCAGCGTTAACCGCCATGTTGTTTGTCGTGCTTGGGCTTCACGTTTGTATATGCTTTTATTGTTGATTCTATTTATCTTTTTGTTTACATATATGTCCATGTAACATGATAAGGCCAGTTTCACACTAACGCCACCGCAGTGGTTCCACAAACCGCCAAAATGACACTGATGATGATGGATATTACCGTGGCAGTGATCTTCCAGACGGACAGTTCGTCGTAGTAAATGATCAGGTAGAAGGTCAGAGGGTAAATGATACAGATGGCGAAGCAAATGGCGCTTCCAAGGAACGACATGATGCGTCCAAAGTCAGTGAAGACGAGGGAGGTGATGAAGAAGATGAGAACAATGACAAACCTGTTAATGGCGCGGATGACGCTCGAAGGGAGCTTGTTATACGTGGTCTTGGATGAGGTGTATTGGTCGAGCATCGTGATGATTGGACGTGTGATGAGTGGCCCCTTTGACACTGGGAGTATTCCCATCAAGGCACATATGACAACGTTTATCCACTGAGGGAAGCCCGGTGTAACCATGATCGATTTGGTGATTTCATCGAGGACGGCCTCACCAAACATCAGATAGCCAAGGCCAGCCATGGCGAAGTCGACACTCCATGTGAATCCAAAGATTGTGGATACGGATCTGTTATATTTCTTTGGATGCACCATATCTCTGTACAGCTCAGGGAATATGGCATGGCCACCAAACGGTGACATGAAGATACCGAGACTGAGGAACAGATTCTGTGCATCCTGTGGCCATAGTGACGTTGGTGAAGGGTGTAGCAAGGACCCTGGGCCGTCTGTTTTGAACAGACCGCAGATTATGACAGAGAACACGATGAGCGTGGTGCATAGGATTCCAAGGAGACTTAGATGTGACAGTATATCCAGTCTCAAGAAGCTGAACAGGAAGAAGAGGAAAGAGATGATGATCTTGAAGACCAGCTTATCCACTCCTGTCAGTGCATTGAACGAGTCTGCAAATATCACAATCATTGATATGCCTGCACTTAAAAGGTCAACGGTGAAGGTAGCAACGATGATGAAATGTGCAACGTTCCCCAAACAGTATTGGGCAATATCACCATAGGTCATAAGTTCATCGTTCTTTTGGAGGCACTTGGCAAGCAACTTCGCCGTGTATTGGGTGCTCAGTGCACAAGCCAGTAAGATGACACTACCTGGAATCCAACCAGCGTAGCGCATTCCCAGAGGCAAAGATAAGATACCAATTCCTATTAGTGTGTTGATACCGTTAAATATCGTCTGGGGAGCAGTGGAATTCCCAGTATTCTTGAGTGCAGCTGTTCGTACACTTCTCGCATCTGTCTCTTCTTCAATGGCATTATAGGAGAAAGTTGGATGAAGCGAATCCTCGATCAGTGGTCTCTCTTCAGAGCCCACCGTCGCCATGCTCAACCTCTTTGGCCGTTGACCAACGTCAAAATCAGCCTGGAGGAAGTTGGCACTTCTCGAGTACGAAGACGCAAAGTTGTTCAGCGAGTTGCGACCCCCAGTATTGAGCATCTCTTGGAACGAGTTATAGCCCGAGAATCGACGCGGTGAGTCCTCTTCACCTTCCAGATGCGAATCAGGCGACATATCTCTATTTGTTCGATTGTTTCCTTGTTGGTGTTATAAGTACTGATGAGCAACTCAACAGCAGTATATGAATGGTGAGTGCACCAGTGCAGAATGAAATTTAGACAGAGAGAGACCACACACGTTACACGTACAGCAAGACTGGATGCCTGTTTTCTATCTCACAGTTTATGTTACGAAAAGAGTCAACAGCCTCTGAGTATGAACAGGTTAAAACAGCTGAGGTATTCGTATCATCGCAAGCCAATTCCGTTCGATGCACGGTCGTTGACCTGGTTGCAAGATGCTTTTTTTCACTGTCTGTGCTCTTCCAGATTTAAGGTTCCGATGCAGCGCCTCAGGGCTGTGTCGGAATTTGTGTCGGAATTTTCTTTCGCTTGCGTTTTGAGCCCTGGTGGTTGCTGTTGTATGTCCGGGTGTGTGAGTGAGGCTAATGGGGTACTTTCCCATGATGTTGTTTTACACTGGGGTCTTTTGTTTAGACGATTGACTTCTCTAGTGTTACAAGCCGAGCGAGATGGACAGAGAGGAGAAGTACGATCGTCAATTACGGCTGTGGGAAAACCAGGGGCAACAATTGCTTGAATCCGCACGAGTGCTGGTGGTGCAACCGACAGTCACCTCGCTGGAGTTGGTAAAGAACTTGGTGTTACCAGGCGTAGGGTCCTTCACGTTGCTGGATGAGCCCCAGACGGTACAGAGCGAGGACCTTGTATCGTTCTACCTGAGTCCTGATGATGTGGGCTCCGAGAGGATGTCGTCCCTGGTGAAGAACTTGAATGAGTTGAACGAGGACGTTGCTGGTGATTTCCACCATGTTGAAGATGTGAATGTTTGGTTACAAACAGTTCAACCAACCGATTTTTGGAACCAATATGACCTTGTTGTACTCAACTGGGAGTACCCATTGGTGCTGGAACAACTGTCAAAGCTGAAGATACCGGTGATTGTAACGAATACCCTGGGATTTTACGGTATCCTTAGAATATTCAAACCTTCAGTTGAAGTTGTCGAAACTCATACCCAGGGCGTTGCAGATCTCAGGATTGTAAACCCCTGGGATGAATTACTGCAATATAGCGATTCCATTGATCTTGAGTCACTTGATGTCGAGGAACATGCGCAGATACCGTATCTCATAATACAATTGAAGGCCGTGCAGGCCTGGAGAAAGGCTCATACCCAGCTACCTAAAACCAGTCAGGAGAAGAAGGGGTTCAAAAAGATGATCATGGACTGGAAGAAAGACTACCAAGAGCTGAACTTTGACGAAGCCGTGGAAAATAGTCATATGATTATGAGCTCAACGGGCGTTCCTCACAGTATTCAAGAGCTGTTACAACAGGTGGATACACGTCTTGAAGAGGAGAACAGTAGAAGCTTATTCTGGATCCTGGTGAAGGCCCTGAAAGCATTTGTCACACGGACAGGTGTACTGCCTCTGACAGGTGCATTACCAGATATGACCTCATCTACAGGGAACTACCTAGCTTTGAAAAAGATATATCAAGGCAAAGCAGATGCGGATCGAGCACTATTCACTCAAAAGTTGGATAAAATATTGGAGACGATGCATTGGAACCACGCTGTCGACCCACAGACTGTACAGACCTTTCTGAAGAACTCAAGACATCTCTACTTCTCACAAAGCTCTTGTCAACCTCTGAACTATGTGAATACGAAAATTGCAACAGAACACGAAGATTCAAAGAGTAATCTGGTACTCATCGGAATCTTCCTCGTTCAGCAGTATATCCTAGCACATAACGCACTCCCAACATTGGACCACCTTGATGACCTCTTCTCTCAAAGGAAGTCACTCACAGCCTCCCACGAGCTGTACGATGTTCTCAGAGAGATTTTGAGAGCACAGGGACAGCAGCTGAACAACATTTGTTCCGTGATGGGTGGAATCGCAGGCCAGGAAGCCATCAAGTTAGTGACCAATCAGTACATTCCAGTGGACAACACCCTCATCTTTGATGGACTGAGAAGTGTCACAGAGAGATGGAAAGTCTGAGGGCTCATCATCATATAAAACAGATACTCAATTCTTTATAGAAACAAGCACCATTAGACGATGTAGAGCTTTGCCAGCCGATGTATATTCGACCTCGGGGGTAGACCCACCCCCTGGGCCAAAAAATCCAAAAAACACGTCAGGGTTAAACAATCATGACAGCCTTTCACGCCATTCTCAATCCTCCCTAGTGCTCTGAACTCATCCTCAGACTGGTAGAATCTATAATGCCCACTCTGTCGTATACACTTAAGATGTTTGCCGCAGCTTTGGCTTCAGTCAGTGTTGTATCGCTCGCTGCGCTGTACCGTTTCCAGCTGAAGTTGATCTATCCAAACACGCTGAACGATGCCCGGTTGAAGACGGACACGCCGGATGAATATGACATGCCATACGAGAATATGTTCCTGGAGACCCCGGATGGAGAGAAGATCCACACGTTCCTACTGCTACACGACAGAACACTGCCTGGTTATAAGAACAAGACCATCATTGTCCTGTGTCCTAATGCCGGGAACATTGGAAACTCCCTTCCAATAGTACAGCTCCTCTACAAGGAAATGGGCTATAATGTCCTGATCTTCTCCTACAGAGGCTATGGCGAGTCTACTGGAACTTCCACTGAGGATGGAATAAAGACTGATGCTGATACCGTCATGAAATTTGTCATGGAACATGATCAGTTGAGCAACTCTTCCGTTGTTCTGTATGGAAGATCACTAGGTGGTGCTGTGGCCATCTACATCGCCTCCAAGAACTATGTTCCAGTGAAGGCCGTCGTGCTAGAGAATACATTCTTGAGTATACGCAAGGCGATTCCTCATATCTTCCCCTTCTTGAGGAATTTTACATTTCTTTGTCACCAGGTATGGGACTCGGAGCACGACATCTTGAAAGTATCTCCAGAGGTTGAGATGATCTTTCTATGCGCAGAGAAGGACGAGATCGTGCCTCCAGACCACATGGCGAGACTCTACGAACTTTCACCTGCTACAGTTAAATCTCGCACGGTGTTTGACGGAGCTCACCATAACGATACAGTTGTATATCCTTCGTACTGGAACATTGTTCATGATTTCATAAAGAGTATCCCACCAGTCGAGCACTAACAGCCACCGGGACAGCAGCTCATTCCTTCGTCGAACATCCATGATTTGAAGCATCCAAAATGACCATTGTGTCCACATTTCAGCCTGAAGATGTTAAGTCCCTTCAATGGCTCGTTACAATAGATACACTTACTTCTGCATCCACATTGCTCGCAGAACCACGCACCAAAGTTCACCTGATCGTCCTTCAGATATTTCTCTTTAGTCTTTTCATTGACAACCAAGACACCACATTTAGAACAGAAACGCCGTACCGTTGTTGAATTAGATGACATTTGTTTGAACTCATCGTACTCTGTGATCTGTAGGATGTTAGCCAATGGTACCCAAAACGTCATCCTTTGTAAGAATTGTAAATATTCAAATAGGCTATTCTTCATCATCACTTCTGGAAGAATCTTGTATCTATCGTTAAAGAGAAGTAACAGAGTACAACTCATGATCAAATCACCTTGGCCAGAGCTGAACTCGACTGATTTGCGGATCATTTGACGAGGCACGAAAGGTGGAAGCAACCTACCACCTACAGTCACCTTCTCATGATCTGTCTTTTGGCCTGTGAGTTGCTTGGTGAGTTCTGACATATGTGAATTCTGCTTACTCAGAGATTGCTTACTCAGGATAGGAGCCAATGGTGCATTTAGTGGCTTAATGGAAGCTGCACTCATAGATGACATCAAAGAGTAGGTTGGCGAGCGAGATTGGGCAGAGTTAGAGTCAGCAATATCCAACATAGACTCTCTTATAGACCTTTTACGATGATGTAACGCAACAGGTTTGGTAGCAGCCTCTGTAAATTCCACCGCAACTTCATTCTCATCCTTGTTTAGTGTATCATCGCCAGATGCTGCTGTATCAGATGGCTTCGTTTTGAGCGTATCAGCCCATCTCAGAACATCCTCTCTGGTGACCGTCTTGCCATGATCCGGGTCCTCAGACTCGGACTCTTGGATATCTGTTATTGAAGACTTACTCTTGATACTTTTGATTATTGATAAGCGATGCTCTCTTGTAACGAAATGGTGTTCTTTCGAGTTCAGTGAGTTGAACTCTGAGAGATCAGAGAGACTTGGACTCTTACCATAATTCGTCGATGCTGATGTTGAGTACTGATACTTCTCACTTGTGAGATCAGAGTGTAGACTTTCACCATCACCATGGACTACTTCAGGCACATCGTATATCAATTCCTGATCAAGTTGTCTTTCCCAAAGCAAGCTTTCTTTGATGACATTCCACGTCTGGGCATCTCTGTAATTTCCAACTTCACTAGCAGTTGCTGCATTTTTAACACAACTGGCAACGAGATCCTCACTAGGGTCAATCACGTAATTCTCTGCGAGATATTTCAAAGCGTCCTTGTTCTTCATAATAGGCAATGTCACAGGAATAGCAGTAGGGTTCATCACAGGAGTCGTATGGTGAAGGTTTAAGTTCCCACTTTGTCCACGGATTAGCGATGGTCTTACACTACTGCTCCGTGACATTCCTGGTCTCGGTGATGTGTTGTACGACATATAAGGTGTGTTGGTCAGTGCTGATGGATTCGAAGAAGGTGATGTTGAAGGCTGAGGGTATGAAACTCCTGATTGTTGAGTATCCGACTCCCTATCAGTTTCGAATTTCTTCTTCTGTTGATCTATGAACATGATATCATTATTAGGAGTCCAAGATACCGATGTCAGAGATAAGTTATCGATTGTATGTGGGTACAAGGCCAGATCTTCCTTGCAAAAGAACTTGTCCTTTGAACATGTCATGAGAAATCTCTCATCCTTAAACGAAAGTCCAGTTATCTGAGCAGTGTGTGATTCAATGGTGTACAGTGGGATATACTTCCGTTTCAAAGAGTAGATTTGGACAGCCATATCATTATTCAGGAAACTCATTGCAACTTCTGCGCCTGTTATGCTATTGGATACCGTTGGTCTCCAGGTGACCTTGCTGACCGGGTTCGCAGAGTAAATGACATGTTCTGGGACTCTGGTATCACTGTTCATGTTCCAAATTTGAACTTGCTTATCCCTGCCGGCACTCACGAGGTAATCAAACTCAGGATGCCATTCTATACATAAGCCAGGTCCTGTATGGGCATTTAACTTCTTTTCAAATTGTGTTGGCAACCTCAGGTCCCATTTCAGGATAACACCGGAATCAGATATTGCAGCAAACTTCTTGTTATGGAATGGTGAGAACTGTATTGATCTAACGGCATCAGAACCTGGCTGTATGGTGAGGGTTGGTTTGCCCTTTGAGGCACGCAAGTCCCAAAGCTTCACTGCACCGTCTTGCGATCCCGACAATAGCAGATGGGGGTCCAACTGGGAGAATGACAGTGTATTGATCGCCCTAGTTTGATCCGAGTACTTGAATAGCAGCTTGTTACTCTTTGCAGTGGTGTTGAAGATGAGAATGCTTCCAGTTGTCGTACTTGCTGCGACGTACTTGTTATAGTTACGATGCCCGCACTTAACGTCCAGTATGGTACCAAACGCTTTCTTATTCTTCATGTAGAAGCTGTTGGTCAACAGTTCATCAATTGGCACGACGGTGGTGCCAACCCTGTAGATCTGAAGCGTAGTCTTACCAGCCATTACCACATGATCAGAGTCCGTGTTCAGCTTACAGAGGCCAATGAGCTCAGAGTTCGACTTGTACCTAACAGTGGTGATGTCATTGGCACCGACGTCATACACAGGCGAGACACCTTTAGGGGGCGTGGCGTTTGGAGGCGACGACTGCCGGTTATGGTAGGACGGAGTCCTCGAGATGCCCGATGGTGTTGTTCCACCAGACGTTCCATAGATGTTGAACGCCAGTCTTGCCAGCGAATTGGATGGCCTCCCTGTATAAGGAGACACCTGCTGATCTGTTCCTTTATCCCACGACATCAGAGTCAGATCCAGCGGTAGAAACAGGTGGTGAACGGGCCGTCAGCGAGTCGTGTGGTGTTGTACTGCCTCCATCAACTGTGCTGTAACGAAGGGTGAGCTGCAAGTGCTTACGTAGGCACAACACCCAGACACCTAGTCATCCAGACACCTAGTCACCCAGACACCGCTTCCGACCACCCTCGCGCCCCGGAAATAGAGTTCTGTCCCCATCTTGTCGTTGGACGAAAAATTTTCCCATTTCCGTCCAGAAAACGAAATCGGCGTAATATTAGGTTTTTTTTTCCAGTCCTTGTGGATTTTGATCAAATTTTGTTTACTTTTCCTTCTGTTTTCTATAACACATTTTTTTTTCGTTTCGTTTTGTACTTTATAACCCTTCCCTCATATCACGTCTCCCATTTGTTTTGTTTCCAAGCTCATCTGAAACACCCACACAGTAAACACGATCCACATGTCTGAAGAATTGGCCCAAGCAACAAAGGAGCTGTCCTTGGAATCGCAAACCGTCGTCGACAGCAAGACCGAGTTTGACGTCAAGCATCCGCTCAACTCGAGCTGGACACTATGGTATACGAAATCGCAGAGCAAGGACTCCAACGAGTCGTGGGCGGACCTGCTGAAGCCTGTGATCACCTTCTCCACCGTGGAGGAGTTCTGGGGAATCTTCAACTCCATCCCACAGCCAGGGGAGTTGCCACTAAAGGCTGATTATCACTTGTTCAGAGAGGGAATCAGACCGGAGTGGGAAGATGTCCAGAACTCCGAAGGTGGTAAGTTCACCTTCAGTTTCAACGAGAAATACAACGTCGACATCAACGACATCTGGCTCAAGACCTGCTTGGCGCTTATTGGTGAGATGTTGCAGGACGATGAGAACGAGGTGAACGGTATTGTGTTCAGTAACAGAAAGATGGTGTACAGAGTTGCCCTATGGACCAAGTCAACCAACAAGAAGAACTTGTTCAGCGTTGGTGAGAAGTTCAAGGAGGTGCTCAAGACGGACGATTTGATCGAGTTCTTCTCGCACAAGGGCGCTGACCAAAGAAACCCAAAGCCAATGATGATGATCTAATCCTTATATACGATTTGATTATGGGAATAGCTATGCTTTTTCGTACTCTCTTCTCTTTACCGCCCGTTTGTACTGTTGTAGATCTACGCAGTAGAAACCGAAACTGTTGTTTATGTATATAGATAAACCCGAACCAAAGAAAGAACAAAAGAAAAGCGCTTATAACAGCAACAACCCCAGTAACATCACAAGACTTGTTCCAATTGCACCTTGAACACCGTTTGTGATTGTTGTGTAGGCACTTGTTTTGACGATACCCACGGTTCCCGATAAGGTGCCTAGTCCAATGGATCCCTCTGAAGGCGTTGCGATAGTGGACCAGAAGGATGTGAATCTCTGTGAATATGTGGTTTGCACTGTAGCGACACCACCATCTGAATAGGTAACAGTGACCCAGATCGAGGTCCATGCAGATGATGTGATATAAGTTGTAGTTGCATCAGAATAGGTGTAAGTTGGGTTTGGAGCCGAACCTGTATCAGCGTTGGTTGTAAGTGCGGTGGTGGTACGTGTACCCAGTCCTGTTTTAGTTGTCGTACCAGTGGTGGTACCAGTGGCTGTGCCGGTGGTGGTACCAGTAGTTGTGCCAGTAGTTGTGCCAGTAGCAGTATCAGTAGCAGTAGTGATAGTCTCTGTTAGCGTCACAGTAACACCGTTGATGTTAGTCGTAGTGATGACAGCTGATGAAGTTGATTAGTATATGGCAGTTTATCATTGAACAGAGTTATACTCACTTGTGTAGGTAGCAAGATCGGTTGCTGTACCAGTTGCTGTACCAGTGGTAGTGCCGGTAGTTGTACCAGTTGTACCAGTAGTAGTACCCGTGGTGGTAGGAGTGGTGGTACCAGTTGTAGTACCAGTTGTACCAGTAGTAGTACCCGTGGTGGTAGGGGTGGTGGTATCAGTAGTTGTGTCGCTGGTTATAGTCTGTGTGAGCGTTACTGTGATACCATCAATGTTCGTGGTTGTTATGACGGCTGTGCAGGATTATTAGTACTCGGACACTGCCACTGGTTGACCGCACAGGCACCAGGAGAACAGAAAACAGTGCAACTTACTTGTGTATGTATTAGAACTAACAAATGCCAGTAAGCATAACAGAATACAAAACAACTTGTTCATTGGAATCGTCGTGATGTGATGATGGAAAGAGACAGCAAGAGTTTGTTGTGATCCCGGTCGAAAGCAAGGAAGAAAGGCCTAGAAAGCGGGAGAAAAACGGGTAATAACGACGACAACACGGACCCAGTTGAGCTCCTATGAGAGAATATACGAAAAGTCTTTGAACAGAACGAGCGAGAAACACAGATACTTTGCAATGTCCTGCTTTATTGAAATGAATGGTACAACGAGTAGTTTGTTGATCCCTTAACGGAAGACAAAAGTCTGTGCGTGTGTGTGTTTTTTTTTCTTGTTAGTCGCAGCCTCGAAATTGCAGAGCGAAAAAAGAAAAAAGAACGAAAATCAGACCAAATCGGATTGTTTTTTCTTTTTTTAGCACGAAAAAGAGAGCGAGACAAATTTGCGTGAAGAGCTTTTGCAACTTTTTGTGCCAAAATGGGTTGTGCAAATGTACCGGATTGCGAGTAACATCAAAAGTTTATAAAGTGAGGTTTTTATGTAGTCACAAGTGGTGTTTTGTATTACGCAGTGCATTAGATGTCCTCAAAGGTTAGGGGATTGTTATGGCGAAGTGGTTTGTATTGCGTGGAGTTAACCTTCGAAGCGCACATCTAGAATGTACGTAAGAAAACGCGTCCAACATAGCTCCGTTACTATGGGAATGTTGAAAAGAGAGCAACTGAAGGTATAAACACCATGTGTGATTCTTTCACCACGGTTCTGTGTAGTTTTATACAACGCACTGTGATCATAGAAGCAGTGATTACAGTAAGCAGTGGATCGCAATGGATTATGATCGTAGTGGACTATGATCGCAATGGACTATGATCACAGTGGATTATGCAGTGGGCTATGATCGCCATGGATCATGATCGCAGTGGATCACACTCGACCACGCTGGACCATAATGAAGAGCGTATCAGAACGGTGTCTCACAGTAGATCACCATACGCATCCCATCACACTGGGTTCACTAGGCTGTCCAAACCACCCAGCACCGTTGCTTCAACCTCAACCCAGCCATTCTCCACACATCTGGTTGCCTCAACAGAAAGGAACTCATACCAAAAAGGCAAAATGCAAAAAACGTGCGTTGGTCCCAGACACACGGATCACCGAAAAAGTACACAGAAAGCTTAAGGCATACAGTCCCTTGTAAACACACACACACCGTGCACTGATCAACCCCCTTTAATCTATTTTGATATTGATACTCTAAGCAACTTCCGCAAGTTTGAAGGACCCTCTCGCTCTCAACTGTGGCTCCTCCAATTCGTCTCTGTTAATCGACATTTCCGACCAGTTGAGCTCTCAAGGAAGAAGTCTGACCACACACAGGGATAATGTCCACACCGAAGGATTCGAGATCTCCCACGATCAATCCGCATAGGGCACAGCTCTCACAGCTGCCTAAACACATGTCACTGACCCCCTCTGCATCAAACGCCACTGGTACTGTAGGCTCCTCATCGTGTCAAGGCGCACAGGGAGTGTCCACTGGCAACGACACACATAGCCAGACATCATCTGTAAACAACACCATCAAGGCCAAGCACAGGAAGAAAAGACCGCAGATACAAAAGACCCCGAGCTACAGCACCACGAAGTACGTCTACTCGGTTGACGACGACGTGGAGGAGCTGGAGCGTGACCTGGAGCGGGAGTACCTTGAGGGCTATAACGACGCGTTGCGCTATCGCTATAAGAAGTCCATCAAGGGCTTGAAAGACCTCGGAAAAGATGAGGTGCAAAACTTGACACAGGGTGTCATTCAGAACTTGGTCAACGCTGACAACGCGTTGTCGAAGCTCGAGCAGCGAGAAGGCGATATTCATCGCCATCACAGCCCACAAGTTGAAGTTGAGGCCCAGCAGGATGAGGAGGCCACACATGAGCCTGCTAGAAGACACTCTGAGTTCAAACTGCACGATAAATACCAGCAGAGCCTGGTGAGCCACGCCGACGACAGTGTCGATGACGCCAGTAATAAGAACGATGGTAATGGTAATGCTAACAAGAAGCAAGGCAAGGACAGCGAGGAAGGAGAAGAACAAGGCGAGGAGCAAGGCGAAGAACAACAACAAGATGATGATGACGATGGTGAAGATGACGACGACGACGACGACGACGATGCAGATGCTGCTTCGTTACAATCACAGGGGTCCTTCACGTTGAGAGAACGTCAGGATGCCATCAACGAAACACATCCATTCGGTATAAGAATCTGGAAGCCTGCTCTTTACAAGAAAGTGCGTTCTGTGGAAAGAGAGGCAGATAAGGACATCCATGAGACGGGTGCTTCGAAGAAGAAGATAACCTGGGAGGTGTACCTGACCAACGTTATCTGGTCAGCAACGTTTGGCTTGCTATTCTTTATACTCTGTACGTTCGGTTCAGCCATTTTGGCAGTCTCAGGGTCGACCCCATACGCCAAAGTGCTGTTCAATTTGGGCAAGTATTTACTGTGGCCATTTGGTAAGATTGTGTACTTGAAGAGGGATTCCAATTACCTCTCAGAAGATCGTAACGAAGGCACCACTATCCGTGAATACGTTCGCTGGAGAAACGAAGAACACAGCAAGTTGTTCTTCTCCTCTTCGTATACTCATCCAACTGGTTCAGACTCAAGAGGTCAACAGAACCTCACATCTGTCCAGTCTCATGATTATAACCCACAACACCAATTGGACGATAACGCCAATGATGATGACGATGACCAACAAGATCGTAAGTTGAGACTGTTCGGACGTGGTGAGTGGTCCATCGGCAGGGTTGTGTTCTACCTGTACTTTTACCTGATCATTCAACCACTGTTTTGGATAATTGGAATGGTGTGCTGGTTATTGGTCTTCACAATTCCAATGGCTAAGGTGTTGCAGTCGATTGGAGATCACCTAAGAAGACACCCGTTGGCGATTTTTTACAAGTTTGACTCCACGTTGCTACCTTCAGACCGTAACATTGCATCCACAATCTTAGTGTGTACCTATAGATGCTTTGGCTTACACTACTACAAATACACTGTGGAGGGTACAAACATCTTCTTCATAAACTTGATGTTTGTTGTGATCATGACAATCGTCAACTTCTTTGTCTTCAAGGAGTACTTTGAATGGGAGAGTATATTCACAGATGAAACGGTGATATTTGCCTTTTGTCTCCTCTCAATTATACCATTGGCATACTTCATCGGCCAGGCAGTGGCATCCATCAGTGCACAGTCCTCCATGGGTGTTGGTGCGGTGATTAATGCCTTCTTTTCCACAGTGGTGGAGATCTTCCTCTACTGTGTGGCATTAAACCAAGGGAAGGGACTGTTGGTTGAAGGTTCACTTGTTGGATCCATCTTGGGTGCTGTGTTATTACTACCAGGATTATCGATGTGTGCAGGTGCCTTCATCAGAAAGACTCAACGTTATAACCCAGCTTCTGCCAGTGTTTCTTGTACAATGCTACTGTTCTCCATATGTGTTATGTTTGCACCAACGGTCTTCCATCAAATCTATGGAAGCTACGAGGTGAAGTGCACGCCATGCAATGACATAGGCGTAAAGAGCTCATGTCAGAACTGTCATTTCTTCCAGCCTCCTCTTCAAATCAATTATTTCTTCAGTGCCATCTTGAAGCCATTCTCTATCATCTGTGCTATTCTCTTGTTCCTGGCGTACACCATCGGTCTATGGTTCACTCTACGTACACACGCTGCGTTGATTTGGAGTACCCCAATAACAGATTCCAAACCAAAGCTGACAGCATCGCAGATCTCAGTGGAAGGTGGTGCTCAACCAACACCGGCAGAGCAGGCTGAACCGCAAGGCCATGATGCTCCAAACTGGTCAAGGTCCAAGTCCACCATTGTCTTGTTGGGTGCCACGCTGCTATATGCGATCATCGCAGAGATCTTGGTTGATTGTGTTGATGCGGTGCTACAGGACTTCCCTATAAACCCCAAGTTCTTGGGAATAACGATCTTTGCACTCGTGCCAAACACTACCGAGTTCTTGAATGCCATTTCGTTTGCAATGCACGGTAATGTTGCACTTTCCATGGAGATTGGGTCTGCGTATGCTTTACAAGTGTGTCTACTTCAGATTCCGTCGTTGGTTCTCTATTCTCTCTTCTTCATTAACCCGGACGACAGCAACAACTGGTCGGTCCGTGAATCCATGTTTACCTTGATCTTCCCTAATTGGGACGTTGCAGCGAGTGCCGTCAGTGTTGTGCTCTTCACGTATATCTACGCCGAAGGAAAGAGCAACTACTTCAAAGGCTCCATCTTGGTCTTGGTCTATGTGATTGGGCTGATTGGATTCTATTTTACCGGTGTGATTTCCTCCAGTAACGGTGGCTTTACACAGTCCTTCACCATCATGACTTGAATAGATAGTAACCCACTGATTGAATAAATATCACCATAAAATGTTTATTTCCAAGCTACTATAGAACTCAACAGTTTGCAGACTCTTTAACCTGCTCAAGAACCCACTTGTTGATCTTCGGGTACCATCTTTCACCAACTTTTGGATGGCTTTTTATACGGTTGAGGAAGACACTGTACCCGACAGGCTTGTCCTCAGCTACTTGGAATTGGAATCCGATCTTGTTCTTGATTCTTGAGGCATCACGCTCAGCAACAAGCTTCTTTGCCTCGTCGGATATTTCAACGTTCTCCTTCTTGGACTCGATGTCAATGGACTGGAAGAACGATACAGAGAGACGATCACCCTGGCCTGGGACTGGACTCAGCACACGGTGAACTGTCGAGACACATACTCCCTGCGTGATGTACTCCAGAGTCATACCAACAGCGAAGACCAGCGTGTTCTCCACCGGTGGGACGTCGATCCAGTCACCGTTATAGTCCTTCACTTGGAGGCTGTTATGTGGTGTTGCCTGGTAGATCAGCGTCAAGAAGTCATTATCACGATGCTCGCCAACACCTTGGAACAGCTCGGTCTTGAACTGGCTATTATCGAATTCCCTCTTCACAGAGGCAACATCTGCTGATCTTGACGAGAGATCGGGGTACTTGATGATCTTCAGCTTTGCCTGCTGGATTTCCTTGAAGAACTTTTGCAGAGAACCACTTGGAACGCCAATGGCATCTTCTATTGCGGACGACAGGGTGCGTGCGAGCTCAGAGAGCTCGTCAATGTACCCACTGACTGTTGGTCTGAAAGACGGCAGATAGCGAGAAGATGGCCACAGGTTTGGGCCTTCCAGGTTCTTGTACAAGTGCTCTTCATCCGTGATGATGGGCTCCGGCAGCTCGGTGGCAAACTCAACCTGTTCTCTCCAATCAACGTTCTTCGCAGTGATCTCATCGCCTAGCCCGTTATACCCCAGAAAGTGCTTCGAGTGCACCATCGCAACCTTGAGCTTCTCCTCGAGGGGGATATCAAAGAACTTCAGCGACTCAGACTTGATGTCCTGGAAAGCAGCCTCTGGCAGAACGTTCGAGAGGTAGAAGAACCCATGGTGGAACAACGCATCCCTGAGCTCTTGTAGGAACTGGTGCTTAGTCTCGTCATGAGAGAGCAGTGAAAAGTCCAATGTTGGGATCGTCTTTGGAAGCTGAGACGTCGAGGGCATCCTTTACGGTGTGAGTAGGTCAATTGAGCGTGAATGGGTAGCAGAAGGGCGAAATGCTTCCATCATTTGGGCTTTTAATGCCAGCCAATAATCCCTGTACAACTGTGGTACGTTACTATCACGCTGCGACTATCGCCAATTTTGACACATCGGGACAAAATTGCGAAAACGAGCGGCAGGAAATGACGACAACAATTTGCGAAAAATGGCGCCACACCGCGAACTCGTTTTGTATTTGCTGAGATTCCGAGAACGCGTCGGAATTGGCTTTTTTTTTAGGTTTCGCTCAACGACGCGTCTTTTTTTTTCTTTGAAGGAGTTTTTACAATCGAAGAGGGCTTCACTAAAAAAGAAAGAAAAAGCAAGTGGTGTTGCGTGGAAGTTGCGATCTGTGCCCTTGTGTGCCATCAATTGACTGTTCAGTTGTCGTTGGAGCGAGCTTGAGCGGGTTCAAAGCAGGTGAATCGAGATGGAGCTGCCTACTCAGCCCACACAGCCCACACAGGCTACACAGATGGCTGCGTTTGAGAGCTTTTCACAAGAGCAGCTGGATCCGTCAACGGTGTGTAGGTTGATCTGCACTACTGGCCAGATCCCCAACACGGATCTGAAGATCAAGAGAAATGGCGTGAAGCAGTGGACGTTTGGCAGGAATTCGCAAAACGACATCGTATACGGTGCCACTTCCAGGCTGAGTAATAAGCACTTCAAGATCTGGAGCAGTGACAACAACCTGCTGATACAAGATATGAGCACCAACGGAACATGGGTCAACAAGCAGAGGATTGTGAAGGGCCAGAACTATATACTGGGACAAGGTGACGAGATAAGCGTTGGCGTGGGTGTTCCAAGGGACGTTGTAAGGTTTATCGTATTCTTCCCCAAGATTGATGAAAAGGCTGACGATGCCACGGACGGAATCCACAAGGAATTCTCAATAAAGAATGAAGTGGTTGGTCAAGGCGCATTTGCCGTTGTCAAGAAGGCCGTTGAGAGAAGTACAGGCAAGACATACGCAGTCAAGATCATCAGCAAGAGAAAGATAATGGGCAACACTGAGGGCGTCACTAGAGAACTGGAAATCTTACGAAGATTAGACCACCCTTATATAGTCAAGCTCAGAGGGTTCTACGAAGATCTAGACAACTATTATCTGGTGATGGAGTTCGTCAGTGGCGGTGATTTGATGGACTTTGTCGCTGCACATGGATCCGTTGGAGAGGAGGCTGCTAAGGAGATCTGCCGGCAAGTGCTGGAAGCTGTGAAGTACGTCCATTCTTTGGGTATCAGTCATAGAGATCTAAAGCCAGATAACGTGCTGGTAGCACAGGACGACCCTGTGATTGTAAAGATTACTGATTTTGGGCTTGCGAAAGTCTCTGATAACGCAACTTTCATGAAGACATTTTGCGGTACACTGGCATATGTTGCACCAGAGGTGATTGATGGCCGTCACATGAAGATAACAGATGAAAACAAGTATTCGAGTCTTGTTGATATGTGGTCATTTGGGTGCTTTCTCTATGTAATTCTCACTGCTCATCTGCCATTTAGTGGGAGCACCCAGGAACAGTTATACCAGCAGATACGCAGAGGCTCATACCACGAACCCCCGTTAAAGGAAGCTGGAGTTTCTTCACAGGCCAGGGACTTCCTAGACTCTCTTCTACAAGTGGATCCCTCGAAGAGACCCAGTGCGGCGATGGCATTGCAACATCCGTGGATTGCAAGCAATTCACAGATTGCAGATGGCAATTCACAAGTCTCATTATCACAATCCCAGTCACAGCAGCAAAGGCTAGAGACGAGAATACATGAAAACTCGAATGACGCCAGTCCTGAAGAAGCTATGTTCAAAGTACCACCTTCACCTTCAAACCATGCGATGCCTCCACCTTCTTCCACAGGCTTTAACTCCCAACCTAAGATGGGTACACAGCACCGTGTTACGCCCATGAATCCGATCCCTGAAGTTTCATCTTCATTCGATAGAGCTGGATCGATTTTGGAGATGTCTGCCAATAGCATCATCTCCTCTTCTTCACCACAGGCAACGAAGGATATCAAAAGCAAAGCTCTACAAAACGTTGGAAAGGCACAAGCACCTACCGGAACCAGATTCTCACTAATACCATTGCCTAATAAGTTTATAAAGAGCCCGATCTATGTGCCGCAGGGCGTAAATCCATTTGTTATTGGCAGAAACAGTGTTTGCCATTCAAGAATTAACGAGGATAGAATATCAAAGGTACATTGCGCCTTCACAAAGAAAAGACATCCAGTGGGCAACTCTCTATACGAATCTCCAGCACAGGGTCTGGAAGATACGTGGCTGGTTGATTTCAGTACAAACGGTTGTTCGATTAACGATCAAAAAGTTGGCCGTGGTAAAAAGGCCCTTGTATTCAACAACGACGTGGTTATGCTCTTCAGTGACAACAACAAACACGAGAATCTGGCGTTCAAAGTGTGTATTGACGACACAACAGGTCTCTTCAACGGAGGAGAGAGCACAGGACAGGAGAGAAGAGTTGTACCTCAGGACAACTATGACGAGCAGCTCAAACCAGCAGTTACAAAGGTTTGCAATTCACAAAATGACCGCAAAAGACCCCTGGAGGCTGACAACAGACAGGTTAAAAGGGCTAATCTCGACAAAGGAGATGCAAACACAACGTTCCAAACTGTTCTGAAATGATCAATCCACAGTCGTGTAAATAATTACATCACGAGTGTACAGCGAGTTGTAGTTGAAATGTAAACAGCCGGATTAACTTGCATTTTGCCTCTGCAGAGCCTTTTAAGGCTTACGCTTATTTTGTTTTTGCGCAAAGGCACGTCAAGAAAAGAAAATTATAAAGGTGCATGACATGGTACATGGTTGCACCAGTAACGAACATGCTTAGCTACGGCGATTTTTCTTTGGGGTGTAAATTCAAACTACACCTGTATCCATATCGGTCATGGTTCCCTGGGACCGGAACTCCTGACTGGGCTTATGGAAATGCTCTCGTGATCAGTCAATGGGTGCAATTCTACTCCACTGCAACAATGGGCCATAGCGGAAGCTTTACAGCGTTGTGATGAGAATCACCAGAAGAATAAATACTGCGCTTGTTGCGACCCTGCTTTTCCTTGCAGTATGGCATCTATCGAGGGACACAGTGCCTGGTAACAACTCCCTGGCACGCGGTGGAGATGAAGTGGACAAGTGCTTGGAATGGATGGCCACAGTTAAAGGGGACCTGCCACTCGGCGTAGACTTTGAGAGTACAACGTTTGATCCAAGGAACGTCGAGGCTGTGAGGATCTTCAACCAATGTGTGTTTAAGCTAGGTGTACAGTGTGAGCCAGACGTCGAACAACACCTGTTCCCGTGGCTCACGAGAACACCTCCAACCATCACAAAGAATGGTAATAGAGTGCCTCTGTTTCAATATCCTGAGAAAGGGTGTATACTAAGCAGCATTCACTCACAGCTACACTCTAAGGGAATCGTCGTGAGTGCAACAGAGAGGCACTTCAAGGGACTTATCCACCTCATTACGTACCTTAGGGTCCTTGAGGTTGACATACCTCTACAAATTGTTCACAAAGGTGACATTTCAGAGTTCGTTGAAGAGTCCTTGAACAAACTGGCGAGTGCTGACCTCATCAACGATGAGGAGGTTTCCAAGTTACTGAATGTGAAAGAACTCGGTTCATCCCTACCTCCATTGGAGATTATGTTTGTTAACGTTTCAAAATCGATATCTGGGGACTTCAAGTATGCCTTCAACAAATTTGCCAACAAGTTCCTGGCGTACATGTTCAACTCCTTCAGCGAGATGATACTCATCGATGTTGATACTGTGCCCTTTGTACCATTACAAGAGTTTTTCAACTTGGCACGTTATAAGCACCATGGAGCCTTGTTCTTCAGAGATAGAACTGTCCTATCAAAGCATCCAATCGAGGGCACTCCCGAGTTCTTTGAGAGCCTGCTACCACACGCTAAGGACAGCATATATGGAATCCAGTTGCCAACAGAGAAAACACTATCGTTGCCGTTCTTTAGTGGTTTCCACCACTTACAAGAAGCTGGCGTTGTCGTTGTTAACAGAACTCGCAAGTTCTATAGCGCTCCTATGGCCATCAGCATGGTGCTGCACAAGAACTCACTGACAACAAGAGTATGGGGAGACAAGGAGCTTTACTGGTTATCGCTATCAGTATCCGGTGACGAGGACTATCACTTCAATGGCAATGCTGCTGCCTCTCTGGGTGAAATTCCAACAGATCCAGAGAGAACACACTACCCAGATTCACACCAGATTGAATTGTGTTCAAATCATCCTGGCCATATAGATGATTCTGATAACCACACTCTGCTTTGGATGAACTCTGGTTTCACGTTTTGTAAAAGAAGCGCAATCGATATAGACAACCCATTCTACAAGGGAATGAACATCACTGAGATCAGTGAATTCAACAAGTCGCCTTTAAAGATCAAACATGCACTCATACCACCTGAAGGATACAACAAACCGAATCTGGATTTCCAACAGATACCGTGGGGACCTTGGATAGCGAGAGACTACTGTGAAATGTATACAATCTGTGCTTATTATCAGGTAGGGGAATCGAAAGGACTTCGGGTTGATTTCACAGATGAAGAACAAGACAGATTTGAGCACTTGGGAATTGCCTGGTCAAATGCACCAGTAGTGATGAAAATATTGAGAAGTAGCCATGTTTATACTAGATAGAGTATAATTCCATTAAGATGATGCCGAGTTATCATTAAAGATAATGGAGAGCATATACATATACACATAAGTGACAATATGTACACCATCTTCAGCCCACATATGGATTCTCTTCAGCGTATGGATTCCCTTGACTGTATGGGTTTTGATTCTGGGCATTAGCTCCACTTCCATTGCCAACAGGTCTGCGCTGTGGAGAGCTGGAGTTAAAAGTGTTTTGATTTTGATATTGCGGCTGGTCATAACCTTGTCCAGCTGGTTGTTTGTAAGGTTGTGCCGGGCGCTGTTGATATTGCTGAGGTGGGAAAGGTTGTTGCTGAGGTGGGTAAGGTTGTTGCTGAGGTGGGTAAGGTTGTTGCTGAGGACGAGGAGCGCCATAATTCTGTGGTGGGCGTTTCTGTTGAGGTTGCGGATATCCACCCTTCCCGTAGTTCTGTGGTTTGAATCCCTGATGTGATGGGTGCCCCTGCTGCTGTTGTTGTGGTGGATAACCCTGCTGTTGTGGATAACCATTCTGTGGTGGATAGCCTTGCTGTTGTGGTGGATAACCTTGTTGTTGCGGTGGTTTCTGTTGTGGGTACCCTCTTTGCTGTGGATAGCCTTGTTGCTGTGGATAGCCCTGTTGTGGTGGTCTTCTCTGACCCTGTGACGGTACTTGTTGTTGACTCTGTGGAGGACGAGGTCTTTGTTGGTACGGACCAGAGTTTGATGGGCCTTGATGCTGAGGAGGTATTTGCTGCGGTGAGTAAGGTCTCTGTTGTTGCTGAGACATAGCATTTGGTGGTGTATATGGCTTTTGTAAGTTGGACTCTGGTGGTTCCCCTGATTGCATAGCGTACTGTGATTGTGCGACGTTTGATTTTGGAGGAGATGAACCACGGTACGAACCAGAGGTGCCAGTGGATACAGGTGGATATGGGAGTTGTGACCCTTGCTCTTGATGTCTATGTTGTGGAGGTCTAGGTCCTTGAGGGATATCTCTAGAGCTTGACCTCTGCTCACCAAATGTCTGAGAATCTTGTCTTGGAACGCTTTGTCCTGTCCTCATGGAGTTTGGCTGTTCAAATGAAAGCTGTTGTTGCTGTTGAGGTATCGAAATGCGACCATGATAATTTTCGTAAAGCTTCTTAGGCTGTGATTGGTTTCCAAAATCTTTTGGTGCATCTGTTGGACTTGGCAGAGACTTCTCATTTAAGTACTTCTGATCCAATATTGGATGACTAGTATTATTCACGCCACTAGCTGCTGAATTGAGCTTCTGAAGGTTCCCAATATCTTTCTTTGGACTATCGTCAATTGAAAGTCCTGAAACACCCTTTTGGAAAATCTCTTCATCATCAAAGTCTTCATCAAGTTCCAGGTTTTGATTCTTCCTGAATTGATCATAAGGATTCTTCGAAGATTTTGGAGGATCAGAGAGTTTGATTGGGGTGTCCAGCTTCGAAGTATTATAAGATGCAGTTTGATGGGTTAAGTAAGGATTTGACAATCCGCTTGTGCTTGATGAAAAACCAATACCCGAACCAACTGGTCTAGAGACATTCAAACTATCTTCTGACTTATTATCATGTTGATCGTGTTGCAAATCACCCATTCTAGCAACATTACTATACCCTTCGTATATCTGGCTCAGATCCGCGTCTCTATCTGGATTTGGTGGTGAGTCTTGTTCTGAACCTTGGTCTGGCGAAGCAAAGTTTCCCAGTGAACTGGATCTCGAAGCAGATGAATCTCTTCTAAACTTTGGAGCCGGGAAGAAACCAGGAGTCAATGGTGAAATGGCCCTATCCAATGCCAAGTTTGAACCACTCTTGGTAACACTCATAAATTCGCTGGAACTAATAGCTGGAGAGTTCATTGCAGCAAGAACACCATGAGATGAGCCACAACCGGTGTACCCAGATTCTAATTTTCTTCTCAATATTTCCTTGATTTTGGCTCGCCATTCAGTAACAAGCCAATTTGAAGACCCCGAATTATTGACTAATAAGATGAGGTCATCCACTTCCAAATAATGGACGTGGGGTAACGTTGGTAAACCAAATAGTAAGGAATCTGGATCCCTCTTTTCAGCATTCAGTCTCTTGGGTCTTCCATATAGGGCAAATGCATTTAACAATGGAACCAAAAATCTGATTAACGTATCGTAGCCTGGAACTGCGTTGTGTTGTTCTGGCATGAAATACACAGACGCTTCCTTTGGAAGTGCATTCTTTGACGAATCAAAGTATACTGTCCCCTCTAGTTTAATCATTGTACTATGATCAATCATCTTCACTGAGTTTGGGTATAGTGCGTAAGCTGCGCTTGCATCTCGTATAACAGCCATTGCGGTTTTCTTGTGCTTCTTTTCATCTTGATAGAACGATACAGAACCTTTGTAGACTTTACCCTTCCTGGACTTCTTCTGAGGTTGTTCAATAACTGCATAACAACGTTTCCAAGGCATTCCGGATCCGAACCGTACGCTTACCCAATCTTCGTGGTCAAACTTTGTAGCTGTGAGAATTGTTCTAATATCTGACAATTTGGGTCCTCGAGCAGACAGGATAGCACCTGTATAAGCCTCCTGAAGCGATGTGTATTCAAATGTTGCCAGTCTGAATGCAGCGTTCCATCTGTGAAAGTCCTCCAGTTCCGGATACTGAAGCAGATACTGGTTCTTTAGCGTAGTTGAAACAATGATCACGTTCTTCAAGCCGTTGCTGTTCTCGAGCTTCTCCACCGCACGGAAGGAGGAGTCTGTAAAGTTGATGTAATCTGGTTTAGAGCTTGCACTGAGCAACTTCTCAACGTCATTCTGGCATTTGTCGAGTTCCTCAACGTTCCACACGGCAAGCTGTGTTCCTAAGAGCACACCATACACTTCTCTCCACTGGCGGTTCGGCACAGGCTCACCGTCAACGTTAATGGACTGCAGGAGCATAAACACACCTTCGTTATAGCGGCGGTGGGCCTGTGTACTCAGCAGCGTCACGATAGGCGCCAGCTCTGGGCTCACCTCGCTATTGAACTTTGTCTCGCTGGGTTGCGGGGGTGGCAGCTCACCTGTGGACTCCACGGTGTTGCCGGTGTTAGATCTCGATCTAAAGTGGCCCTGTAGAACCTTTGGAGATGACGACCCGGACTTTTGTCCAGAGAAGAGACGCTTCATGGCGGATGCGTAGCCAGGATTGTTATTTGGTTGTGGCTTCTTAGTTCGTTGGTGCTCTCGCTACCGCTGTTGCTTCTTGTCCAGCGCTTAAACACAACCTAGAAAACCCCAAAATCGTACTGTGCGCTTATATAACGAGGCCTCAGTACGTGACTTATCAACAAAGACACAACAGTAAGCAGTCAAATGAGACTATTCAAGCAAGTATAGTACAACTGATACAACACTCCGCTGTTCACGTTGATCAACAACAAAGTAAACAAATAAAAACACAAACAAAAGAGTGAACAAAAAGTGGGCGGTAAAGGTGTTTGGATCGCTTTAGTTGCCGCCCAGAAAAGTACGAAGGTAATGTTTTTTTTCTCTCTTTTTCTTAGGCCAAGGCTTTGAGGCTCGCGCCCCTGATTAGGATGCGCTTTTCGTGTTTGTAAACCATCGAGGCTGGTTTCCCCAAATGTGCGCTTCGATTTGTTATGAAATTTCTCGTTACGACGAGTCTTGTGGCCAAGTTGGAGGTGGGGGGGGGGTGTTTCCGTGGAAACGGTGGCTACACATCCGTGTGATCATTTTGCGTTTCTCCGTGCCATTCAGTGATCCACGGTGCCATTTACTGATCCACGGTGCAATTCACTGATCCGCGGTGTCACTATGGGCGTGTGAGAGCGATTGTAGTTGTGACTGTGTCTGCTCTTGAGTCGATGGCTCAACCACAGGCAACCAAGCAAAGGACTTAGCGCTACGTGGCTAAAACTCTTGCGTCATTTGGAGGGACAAAATGCAGCGACACACACACACACACACACACACACACAGCGTAACAACATGTGCAGTCTGCTGGCCCAGAAAAAATATTCGGACATTTGGATAAGACATTTTTTCATAGCGGCTGTCTCTTTTCGGTGTTTTCCAGTCCCAAAAAGGAAGGACCCATCCACATCGAGGCAGGCTGATCTGGCGGCGTGGATCCGAATGAGGAAGGCGCCATCTGCCAGTGAAAGTCTTATTCCCTTCGATGGCAGTGCAAGAAAACACGCGTAGGTATAGAACAGGCAGATTTAGCCATAATACGGTGGCTTGGGGTTGGAGCAGTGCCAATGCGGTGACGGGGGCTTTGCAGCGGCGATGAATCCCGGGTGCGGGCTTCCTTTTGTCTGACCTCATTGTACACGTAAGGAGAACTTCGACGCGTGACGCGTTGACGCGTCCGGATCAACGATTCAGTCGCCATATGTGCTACGTCAATAACAACACGGGCATACTTCGCACTGGCCAGGAGAAGAAGAAGAAAAGACATGCTCATCGATGTAAATGACACATGACGTAGATACACTCCCCGTTCTGTCGCTACAGCTTCGCCACGATCGTATAAGCGTGTCTCGTCTTCACACGCAAATCGTCCGCTAAGTGCTTTGCTTATTTTAGATCAAATTCACATATACATCATTCACAGATCTGCATATGTACCACCCCACGCGAGGTTAACAGTCGAGACACTGGGGACTCAGAAGATATCAACAGAAGGAAGCTTCTTTTGAGATCTTAGATTCCAATAGTCACCGGTAAATTTCCAGTACTCCTCACCGGTTATCGGATGAACATCTTTGAAGAAGAAGTTCGGCTCATATTCAACGTTCTGCTCTTCACGTGCCTTTCTAGCTGCCCTCTGCTTCTCCTCAACGTATAGTTTCAGATCACCAGCATCGTCGTATAGTCCATCCTCCATGGCCCTTTGATCAGGCCTGAGCCTAGTATCTGACTTTGCAACCCATTCCATCAAACCTGGCTGTGGAGCGTTGAGACTTATAGCATACGATGTCAAGTTGAAAGGAACGGTTGGTCTTGGTTTAGCACTCCAGATTAGGAATTTCGAACCATCATCAACAGGACCGCCTTCAACAGCAGTCGCTTTCTTATCGATGTGCATGTCATCAGAAAGAATCTTCTTTCCATAAACCTTGGAATTCCAATGGCCACCAATGGCCCATTTCTTGTTGCCATACTTATCAGTAACCAAACCTGACATTTCATAAACTTGACCACTTCTCCAACCACGAGGTTTGAACGTGACAATGCATTGGTCACCTGTTTTATGGTTTGTAATGATCATATCTCCATAGTTATCAATGCTTGGACTTCCAACCAATATGCCAACGACAGAGGTTGTAAGCTTTTTCCAGGAATAAACCTCTTCATCACCATGATCTGGCCTCAAATGTAAATACCACGTCGCAGTTGGCTGAACGTCGAACGAACGGCCATTGAAACCAGATCGAACAGATGTTTCGCCGTAGTAATCCCATTTCGTGTGTTCTGCAATCAAAGCTGAGATAGGAGGATGGTGACTCACTTGTTCGGAAACAAATCTGAAACCAAGGTCAGGTCTGCTATACTCGTAAGTTTCACCAAGCAATGGGTTGAATGGTTTGGCAACACGGTTAATCGTGGAAGAGTATTGAGACATGTTGAAAACAGCAACGTAAAGCATTCTTAAAGAAGAATCCTCAAAGCTGGCAGCTTGTTCTAACAATGAGCTGTATTCGAAATCTTCAGCTAATCTTTGCAACATGGAGGTTGGTTCGTTGAATGCAACAGGTAATGCAATTTTGGTAATATCTTTGCCGATCATGGATTTCAAAATTCCCCATAAACTAACAACGGGACGCTCATCCACTTTGAGCCCAAGTTCAGTTCTTGGTGGATCTTCATACCCGAGAAATGACTTGTCATGCTCAATCAAAGCCAGCTTGTTCTTCTGCGCTTCGGTGTATACCTCCTCCACATGTGGGGTTACGACAGATTCGTCTTCAGTCTCTGTTGCATAACCATCGTCTTGTTGCAGCACGTTCACCTCTGTATCTTCCTCATCGTCTGAGAAATCATCGGCATCAAAGAACTCATCCTCTGACTCATCCGATCCCAAGATTCTGGAGATTTCCGCATCAGCTGCATAGTCACCTTGTTCAGCACCATCTCCAGACGATTCAGCTATACTCTCTATGGTTGGAACGTGCTCAAGGCTTGTGGTGGAGTAGCCGAATTTCTTGGTCAACACTCTTTTGATTTTTCTTCTTTCTGATTCAAAGGTCTCCAATTCGTTGTTCTTAGCTATCAACTCATTCTCCAGGTCTCTCATGGAGTTGATCCAAAGACCGTTGATATCCTTCTGTTTATGCAAATTTTTAACCAACCTTGAGTCTCTTTTCTCAACGAGGTTGATGAGCTCCTCGTACGACTCAATCATCGAATTGACTGCAGTAAGCGATATCACAACGGCTTCTTGAGATGTACCACATAGTTGCATGTTTTGTAAAAGTTCCCTCAATGCGTCTAACTGTGTCTTGAACCCACTCTTTGCCATAGATATGTCCTGTGCAAATGGGCCTGCATTCAAATCAGAATCGTCATTATCATCGCCACCGAGGAACTCATCTGACTCATCGCCTTCATCGTCATCCGAATCGTTGACAATCACAGCAGTAACAGATCTTCTCTTCTGCAGCTCAGGCTTATTGTCGATGCTGTTACCAAATGGAGCATCCGGCTCACTAGTTGGCAGTCTAGGTGACTTATAACCAAGCTTTTTAAAGCCATCCTCAACGTTCAAAGCACTGCTTGTTGATCTGCGTATCCTCTCAGCATCTTTATCCTTAGCGTATCTAATAGCACCTTGGAGAGCCCATACCCATCTGTTTGTCTCTGTAGGATGGTTGCCTCTCAGATGCCAACTGACCCCAGTTTTACCTTCGATTTCAAACTTCATCTTTTCTGAGGAGTCCAAGTGTAAAGTGGCAGTTCTCATGTTCAAACTGCCTCTACATGCACTGTTGGAGTCATCCTGGCTCTTGTAGTACGACAGCACTCCATTGGCGTCCAGGACAAACCAACGAAGCTTATAACCACCAGCGAAATTGGTCCATTTGTTCAAGTAGCCCTTAAACGTTGGCACCGTGAGTGACGAAACCTCATTCATGTTGATGACAGTTTGATTCTGGGTGGCATCTCTGAGGATCTGCTTCATCGTTTCGTTCGTCTTTGGCACCAGATCGATGGCCAGTCTCCCCTTCTTATCTCTTTTGAAAGGATCTCCTCCATGACTCAAGATCCATTGCACCATGCCTATGTCGTTCTTCTTGACGAATTCATGGAGCACAGTATCGCCTGATTCCGGATCATTGCCATTGATGTCTAGTAGCTCTGCGTTTCTCGGTTGCAAGAGTATCTCATCCAATCTGGCAAAGTCATGGTCAATGAAGGATTTCCTAAAATCAAGAGCAATCTTCTCCAGATATTGGGATTGCTCATACTGTAACAGCGCAATCATATGGGAGTCTTTCGTCACCTCGATCGGCTGCTTCCTATTATTGTTCAGTATTGTATCGTTAATACGCCCATCTCTCAGCAGTAGCTGAGCAACATCGAGCCTGTTGTTGAGCGCAGCCAGGTGCAATGGAGTGTTACCGTCTGTGTCCTGGTAGTTTATGTCAACGCCCAGCTCGGATGAGCATTCCTGGCTCAACAGCTTCTGGATGAGTTTGACGGAGGCCACCTGGACTGCCAGGTTGAGTATCGAGTTTCTCACGGAGAGGAAATCGTCGTGGTTGGGTGCCGAGTCAGCAGAGCGCACCAGGCTCTTGAGATGGTCATAGTTGTTGTTCTTCAAGGCATCCAGAACCATCAACTTGAACAACGGCGGGTTGATGGACCCTAAGTTTGGTTTGCTTTCCAGTGAGGAACGCTGTCAGTAACGCTGAGCAGGACATTGTTAAGCAGAGAGTGAGGGATCAGCGGCAATGGACTGTTGATCTATGGACTGTTGATCTATGGGCTCCTGATCTATGGGCAGAAGACCATTGCGTAAATCGGCGGGGGCTTCTGGCATCACAACAAACCCCAATCCCACACCCACAATGCTTCATTAGCTAACTCACTTGATCTTAGCAGGTGACGAGCTCATCGGATCTGCCACGTCGTCCTCTTTGGGCTCCTTCTGGGACATGTTTACCTGTGTTGATTGTACTGCTTGCCCGTTGCTGTCGGCTTGCCCTGGCTCTGTTTGTGATTTTCGTTTGGGCCGTGGGCCAGTGGGCTCACGCGGTTAAATGAACAGTCCGGACGAGGACGGTGGCGGTTTATATACCCGGGATTTACAGTTTCGCTGTGCGTCCGCGATGATGTGCGATGTGCTGTATGACCGCTTGATGAAATTTGGTTGATGGAGAAAGATCATTGTTGAAGTTATGCATTCCAGCTGAGTAAAAGGTCAAGAAAAGCGATGAGTACTCACATGTGGAAGGACTTACAGAACTGGGCTCTTGTCCAGACCCCCAAGGGCGTTAGATGGGGGTTATTGGCGTTTGTTTCGATTGCAGTCTGCCTACAGCTGTTCCTTGCTATCAGTACGTCTGAGTCTGGAATTACATCAAGTTTTAGGCTGGGGAGCGGTCGACAGGGCGTACTGAGTATTGATGAACTTCTGGAGGTTCCCTTATTGGAACGGTTGCGGTTGGCTTTCCCCTACGACGGTGGTGAGGGCGGTATCGAGAAGAATGTCATCCAGACGTCGCAGAAGAAGGAGTTCACGAATAAGGAGGTTGAGATCTGGAAGTCGACGCCTGGGTTCAACCATACTATGTATGATGACCAGATGGCGTTCCGAATGATGCTCAGGGAGTTTGGGCCTGCGTTTCCTGAGATTGTTGAAGCGTACGAAAGGTTCCCTAGAAAGATCCTCCAGGTTGACTTCTTCCGTTACGTGGCAGTATTCACCAGAGGTGGCACATACACCGACACCGACACGCTCTCCGTGAGACCGCTGCCTGACTGGATCACGTATAACGATACGATATTTGGCCGGAAAAACACTGTGGGTGCCGTTGCGGGCGTCGAGATTGAATGCGACTGTGACAAATGGCCTGGCATAAGCTCGAGAAGGGTCCAGCTGTGTCAGTGGACACTCCAGGCGAAGAAGCACCACCCTCTGTACGCGCAGCTCATCGCGAACGTCATCGACATCATGACCAATCACTATGACAAGAACAAGAAGATTGCAACGATAAACGGCAAGGACTATGACTTCAACAGGGACAGTGCCACCTGGTACGACGGAATCATGGAACTCACCGGGCCTGGCATGTTCACGCACTCCGTGTTCCAGTACATCAACACTCTGGACGTTGTCAGCGTGACTACACCGAACAATTACAAAGAGATCTTCGCAGCCCTCAAGCACCCATCTCCTTCAGACACCACTATCAGTATGAGGGACCCTCGCTGGCCCAAGTTTGGTTGGGAAAACGTCACCAATATAGTCGACCCTGTCCTTGTCAATGACGACATCCTCATCCTACCTCGTCTCTACTTCAACGGCAAGAAGGACGAGAACCCGGATGTTTGTCTGGTACAGCACAACTACCACGGCTCGTGGAAAGGCAGTGGCAAGGGTATACTCGATAACTAACAGATTAAACCACTTTCTGTTCAATCAATACAAGCTTACTGGCCTATATACTGTAGTTTATCAAGATCCGGGGTGATGGGTATTTTTCACCCCGGAATTTACCCTTTTCGGATGTTGGACGATTGGAAAACCAAAGAGCCCAATTGGCCTGAAAAAAAAAGGTGAACAGTGACGATCATCAACACTGAAGATTCGGTGTTTATTGGAGCTTTTCTATAGTTAACAACCATGTTCAGACAGGCCTTCAGAGTGTCCAGCAAGCAGTTTGTGAGATATAACTCTTCTGCGCCATCGTCTTCCGGCGTTGCGCAGTCTGAGATCGATGCGCTCTTAGCTAAGGTGAAGGAGCTGGGGCTTCCTCAGAACAAGACGGCTGCCAGTTTCAGAGCAGCTGGCGGTGCCCACAAGGGCAAGAGAGGTGCAAGAGCAAGCAGTGGCCACAGTGGGAAGTCAGCTTCGGGCTCCAAGTCCAGTGGCAAGGCACAGGCGAAGAGTAGCCAACCAGCAGAGGCTCAGGCACAGGGACAGGGACAGTCGAATGCCGCAGCGCAGAATAGACCAAAGAGACTACAAACAAACCTGGACGGATTCGATGAGGTTGCGTCGTCCTTCACAGCCACAGGGTCGGTCTCTGGTGGCTCGAAGCAACAAAGAGTTAGAGTCAAGGCCAAGGACAGACGCTTTGTGAACAGAGACGCCACTTCTACAAGTGCCCAAGGTCGTCCGCAAGGTCAAAGAGCTAGAGGCGGTGCTAAGAAGAACAACGGCAACAGCAGACGTTCAGCCAATAGCAGAGCTGAAAACATAGTGTATGTCAACCCTAACTTGGACCTCATTGCTAAACAATACATCCCAGAACCTGTCACGATTTCAAGCTTGTTGGAGACATCACCATTCACCTCCCAGACCCCAAACTCGAGAATCTTGAAGGCGTACATGGAACTCAAGGCCAATGGAGAGGCAGATGTCACCGGAGTGCTTAACGGCAAGTCCCACTTTGCTCCTGAGAGCGTGCTACAAAAGATGAAGACTCCACAGCTCAAGTTGAACGCTGAGGTTGTCATCAACTCTCTGAACAGAAACTCATCGCTGGACTACGATACAAAGATGAAGCTCCTGGGCCCTCTGACCGGACTTGCACCAGTCAAGCAACTCACTGCCTGATCATTGATCAATCCTATACATACCTGATTTGTGTTTTTTAAAGTGATTACTATGTACATAAGTTCATCCCAGTTCGAATACGGTAGTCATCTCTATTCATTATAAACAATTCCATCAACCAAGTCGAGACGAACGTTTGGCACTTCACCATTCGCACGCAGTTTCAAGAAGATGTCCTCGATATCGTTCTGTGATATTCTCAAATCTCCACTGAGTCTATCTAAAGACACACGTTTGAACGGCTTGATGTAATGGACAAGTAGTTTGATCTTGAGAACTGCCCGTATCTTGGTTAGCGTGTCGATCATGAACGGATCAGATTTCTCAGATATGAGCAGTTCCTTGTACAACGTGGTAAATCCATGGTTATCCAACCTGTCAAAGCTCTGTAATAACTTGACGAACTTCAAGATCTCGTTGTTCTTCAGGAAGTATTTCGTCTCTTGGCTTTCAAACTTGTTGATCTCATTCTTGTTGAGAATGGACGACACTATCAGATACTTCAGGACCTGGATTCTCTTCTTCTGGTTGCCAATTTCGTCATAGTTCTTGAAGCTTTCGTAAAACTCATCCGAGGCCAGCTCATAGTTCTCATCTCTCATGTGCATTTTACCACCGCACTCTTTCACAACAGCATTGATACTTGGATGTGGAATCGTGCTTTGTATCGACAACGTCTTCTTGTACAGTTCTCTCAACTTTGGAACGTTGTTTGTCTCTGAATACGCCTGAATCTCAATGGCGTACAGCTCCAAGAGATAGGCGTTACGGGTTATTTCTGGCATAGAATCCAGCTTGGTATGAAGCCTGGCGAGATACGCCAGCATTCTATCAAACTGGCGAAGCTCTAGCAGCAAGAAGATCCTCTTCAGAGAAGCCTTCATTGTGATCCTGTCGCTTCCATGGAACTTGCTCAGAAAGGTCTCAAGGAAATGGAGCTGATCCTCCTTCGGTGCTCCACTATACGCCTCCAGCATTCTGCTAAAGCTATCCTCGACATAGCCACGGGGCAACTTCTCCAGGGGAAGATCGAAGATCTTCAGCGCCCATTCACTTAGATCGTCGGCGTCGTCATGCTTGTACAGCAGCTTCAATATCTGCTTCAGAGACTTGAACTTGTACTCCACCGTCTCGGTGTTGTCACCGGCACAACCCAGCACGCTGGAAAAGATCTCAATGGCTCTCTTGGGGTCATCCTGCTTCACAGACTTCGCCTTGTAGTACAACGACTCCGGAGAGCCCTCGTCGTTTCCCTCGTCACTGCCCTCCATGTGTTGGTCGTCTCTTTCATCGTCGTCATCTTCAAACTCGAATTCGTACGACTCGCCATCGGACATCATAAAGTCATCCTCGTCCGACATGATGATGAACCTCGCTAAACAACAGCAGATCAGGGGCTATTCACAAAGCTCAACGCGGGTTCTATCGTTATGGGTGCTGTATACATTGCGAGTTGTGATCAAACACTGTGGGCCCGTTACCCGGACACACGGGCGAAGGCACGGGTCACTTCCGGTGCAGTCATGTGACTGGTGCCCCCGGTATTCAAAAACAAAACATCCGCACACCACGAAAAAGCTCACAGTTTTTTTCTCTGAGGCCTGTTCTGGTTTCGCAATTGGTGACAAATCTCTCGGTTTCATATAAAGCGGTTTTAGAATCATCTTCATCACCGTTTAATCCCCATCTCTCACACTTTTCCCAGGTATAAACCATGATGCTTCGCACAGCCCTGAGAGGCGGATCCAAGTCCCTCACAAGAACGCTCTCTACACTGCCAACGACTCAGACATCAACACTTCCGAATGGCCTGGTTGTGGCGTCGGAAAAGATCCCAGGTCTCTCCACGGCCACCGTGGGCATGTGGATCGACGCTGGGTCCAGAGCTGAGAACGCTAAGAACAACGGTACTGCGCATTTCCTGGAGCATCTAGCGTTCAAGGGCACCCAGAGAAGATCGCAATTACACCTTGAGCTGGAGATTGAGAACCTGGGTGCACATCTCAACGCTTACACCTCCAGGGAGAACACGGTGTATTACGCCAAATCAACGGAAGGCGACATTTCTCAGTCGATCGACGTTCTCAGCGATATCCTGACGAAGTCTGTGTTGGACCCAAAGGCCATTGAAAGAGAACGTGACGTTATCATCAGAGAGTCTGAAGAGGTTGATAAGATGTACGATGAAGTTGTCTTTGATCATTTGCACGCCATTTGTTATAAAGACCAACCATTGGGACGTACCATTTTGGGTCCTATCGAAAACATCAAGAAGATCAAAAGAGATGACTTGAGCACCTACATTGCAACAAACTACCACGCGGATCGTATGGTTCTTGTCGGCGCAGGTGCTGTGGACCACGACAAGTTGGTGGAATATGCCCAGCAGTACTTTGGCCATTTGACTTCCAGTGCCGCACACCTTCCACTGGGCTCTCCAAGAGGACAGCTACCTGTGTTCCACGGTGATGAGATCAAGATCCAGGAAGATTCGATTCCGACAACACACATTGCCATTGCTTTGGAAGGTGTCTCATGGAACGCCCCTGATTACTTCACTGCACTTGTCACACAGTCCATCGTTGGTAACTGGGATAGATCTCAAGGAACGGGCTCTAACTCTCCTTCAAAGCTTGCCCTAGCTGTTGCTGGCGGTGTCTCTGGCGATGGTAACGAACCAATGGCTAACTCATACATGTCATTTTCAACGTCATACTCAGATACGGGCCTATGGGGTGTCTATCTAACAGCTGATAAACATACCAACTTGAAGTACGTCATTGATGAAATCGTCAAGGAGTGGAACAGACTCAAGAGAGGCGAGTTTACTGATGCTGAGGTGCAAAGAGCAAAAGCACAGCTTAAAGCATCTCTGCTCTTAAGTTTGGATGGTTCTACTGCTATTGCTGAAGACATTGGAAGACAAATTGTCACTACAGGTAAGAGACTAAGTCCAGAAGATGTTTTTGAGAAGGTTGATGTTATAACAAAAGATGATGTTGTCAACTGGGCAAACTACAGATTAAACAACAAACCAGTGTCGATTGCAGCATTGGGTAACGTCACATCTCTTCCTCCTGTTCGTGAAATCACCAAAGCACTTGCTTAAGACCTTGTATATATGAATCGAATTTCCTGTTTTTTTTCTTCACCACTCCTCTCCTTGTATAAATTTCAATTATCCTGTTGAAGTACAAGATCGTCACCGTCTTCGTAATCCTCATCCTCATCTTCGTCCAGGTTTTCTCTTTCAAAGACACTCTCTTTTGGATACTTCTTTAAACTCTCGATCCCATCACCTGTGTCAAACAAAGGCCCAATCTTGTCTATCCATCTCTGGCGTTTTTCCAACAAAGATTTAACAGCTGCATTAGCAGCTGCCTGTTGAGCAGCTTGTTGCTGCATCTGTGTTTGTAGAGATGGCGGAACACTTGTAGCTGCTGTCTTACGCTTCTTGTTCTTTGGAACACGGATACGTTTCATATATGTCTGGTCGATTTGCTTTTCCAAGTCATCCAAAATCGAATTATACTCCTGCCATGCTAATTGTTGCTCGATAATAGGTATTAGTATTCTCTTGCGCTTGTTGTTGCGCTTTGACACTTCTCTCAACTCGCTTTGTAGAGCTCTAAGCTCTGTGGAAACTTCGTCATCTTCAGGCTTTAACCAGTTAGGCTCGCGGTCTTCGCCATCTTGTGCCTTTGATGAATCATTTCCCAAATCTGTGAAAATCCCAATAAACTTCAATTCCCTTTTCAATCTATCCTCAAGCGTGGTGTAGTCTGTATTTACACTTGAAACTTTCCAAGCAGGTTGATCTGGGAGTGTTGTAACACTGGTTCTCGTTTCATTTGAATTGCTTGTTTCGTCCTCATCATCAGAACTTTCATCTTTCATTATCGCACTAAGGAGCCGGGAAACCAATGGACCACATGATACGCTCTCTGTATCTATCGTCTCATCCGTTAAATCAGTTGAAGACATTTTTGGCTCTATTGAATCAAGGGTAATAGGCTCAACTGGCGATGTATAGTTTATAGCACCTTCCTCGTTATTCCAAATCTCTGCATAGAGTTGACCCAAATCAGGTATTAGATATGGTGTAATATTAGGATCATAGTTTGGATCACTTGACAGTGAGTCAGGGATCAAATATTTTCCTTTCAAGAACTTAAGATCTTCATCGGTAAATTGTCTGTAAAAGTTCTCAAAGAACGTTTGAAAAGTTGCAAACTGCACTTGGTTTGTCGGCTTCGACTTTGAGAAATCAATATCCGGAATTTCACCAGGTAGTTTATCTCTCAAATCAGTCTTTGGGTACGATGCAACACCATACCGTTTCTTTAAGTATTCTTCACCTGTTTCATGCAATCCACCGTCTTCCTCGTTAAACAACCCCAATGCTAACGCTGCTGCAGGTAATGTTTGCGATGTAACAAACTCAGATTTGGGGTTTTTTACCGTGGGATCATTTTCCATTCTCTCGATACTGAGCTTTCTTTCAGTTGTAGTATCCAGTTTATCTGTGGCGTCTTCAAATTTGTCATCGTCATCATCTTGCGGCCTTTCCGCTGGACTGGTTACTTCAGATGGAGCTGGTCCATATTCATCTTTGATTTCGACATCGGCACTTTTGTCATCAACAGGACCATCAACAGGGTCGTCATCATGATCACCATTATGATCATCATCATGGCTGTCTTCTTCTACCTCTTTCTCTTCTTCACCATCCTCCTGTTTGATCGACTCTTCCATCTCCCCTTCTTCCTCCTCAGGCTCCACAGTAGCTTCCTTAGTCCCTGGCTCGGCCTCTGTGTCCATATCGCCACCCGCCGTCAACTCCCTCTGCTTCTCACGCATCCGTTCGATAGTAGACTCATCGTTGTTAGACGCAATCTCCAATTGGTCGCTAAGCTTCACCAAGCTTTTCTTCAGAGACGTCAGCACTGCCAGCTCCGGAGCACGCGTCACGAAGTCACCATTGAGAACACCCAAATCGCTATCGTACTGAATGCTCAACAGAGACAACACCTCGTTGAGCGTCGTTGATGGGGCAGATACCTTTGTAGTTTTCTTCCCAGCCTGTTTTCCCGACGAGCCACTCGTTGTGGAGCCCCCACGTCTACGCCCAGAATTTCTTGTACCCATACCCTCGATACCAAAGCCTCCAATGATGTGTATGTTTCGTTGTTGTTGTTGTTGATGATGATGTTTTGTTTTGATAACGTTCCACAACACAACCGGAACCTCTGTTTACCTTTTGCTCGACACAAAAACGACAAAAAATAGAAATGTACGATTCGCGAAGCCTCGCAAACTACAACATCATCAACAACAACAACAATAACTGCTTCACTATATACACGTTTTGGTTTGCTGTTTGGCCTTTCTTATACTGTTTAGATATCTGTTTTGGCTACGTATATACAATGGTTTTATGCTGGTGACTCAGTAAGGATATCCAGTACGGACTTCACCTTCTTTGGTGCATCTTGTGGTCTCTTCCACTCCTCTGGGAAGGCATTCTTGAATACAGCGCTCTTCTTGTACTTTCTCTTTCTCTGTCTGGCTTGGACGTGACGCTGGTCAAGAGGGATGTCACTCAAGTCTTGGCTGAGGTCCTTGGAGGCCTTGAGCAGATCCGAGAGGACTTCTGAGAGAAATCTGGTGTTCTGCAATGGTTCCTCGAATCTTTCGCTGCTCATTTTGAACTCGTCTTTGCTGCCGTCGTATCTCACGCCAGCAAGCACTTTGAACTTGTGGGATTCCTTCTCATTGAGCCCAAGATCTTTCACTTTCAAAGTCAGCGTGACCTTTCTGTTGGCTCTGTATTCCTCCTCTCCGAGATAGGTGGTGTACTTGTATGTCACTGGCTTGCCCTGTGGTGGCTTGTACTCCTGACGATACTTGGCCAAGTGTGGCATCTCATAAGCTGCGATCCTGTTGTACTCTCTTTGTTCTCTGTGGTCTCTGATGATCTCCTGAGCAGCTTCTGGGTACTCGTCGTATTGGAACTTGGCTGGACTGTAGTTATCCTCATGCTTCTGACCATTCAGATCGAGAGCTGTGGACTCACCACCATAGTAAAGCTTCTCAATGATGTATGGTGACACACCGGTATGGGAAGATGTGCTCTTCAGCGCTGCCAACTCGGCATCGTCAGGCTTGAATTGGGCACCGAGGAGAGAACGACGTTTTTTGAACAACTCGAGGATCTCTTCCGCAGGTTTACCAGCCCATTTCTCAGGGTGAAGATACAAATCAGATAATCTGGATGCGCTCGATGAGAATTGTCTCGTTGTAAGTCTAAACATTAGTGATTGGTTGAAACAACTGGCTTGTCCAAACGTGAGACTACTTGAGCTTTCAAACACTTGGACAGCGTTTTTTTCTTCTTTTCTTCATTGATCGCCGGCGTAAGTTTTTTTTTTTCTGTTCTGTGTGCTGTGTCTCCTAACGATAATAGGAATATTTTGCAGTACATCACCGCTCCACCTTAAACAGTCAAAATGGTTCAGAAGCTTATAGAATTCGTTGGTGTTATATACATTCTACGGGGAAAGCAAGTTGTCAAGATCCATAGGGATAGCACTACAGATATGTAAAAAAAGAGAATATAGACAAATAACACAAAGGATGAATACGAGACACGATGGCATCAAGTATTCAAGAATAACACATCATAAAGGATTACAGCCATAGACAAGAAAAAACACATACGGAAGTTAGTAGAATGAAGGAAGCAGATGAAGAACATGGAAGAACATGAAAGAACAAGAAAAAGAAGTAAAGAAAAACAATCCAATGTATCCTGTGATTTGAAAAGAGTGCCTCATCTAGAGGGAAACACTATTCGCCGATCAGAATTCATGAGACGAGGAGATATCTTCAGGATTCTTCTTCTTGGACTTCTTGGACTTTTTCTTTTCCTTCTTTTCTTCGCCAGATCTCTTCTTGGTCTTCTCAAGGAAGGCTGGTACCGGAACTGGAGCGTGTGTTGGGATGGTGGTGTTGACAGGCAGGCCGTTCTTTTTATCCTCCAAGTACTTCTCCTTCAACTGTTGGTAGTTGGCAAGTTCAAGGCCATATGCCTCTTTCCACTTGTCCTTCTCCTGTTCGCTCATGTCGTTCCATTTTTGCGAAATCACCTGTGTGATCTCTGTCGATGATAAAGGTGGTAAGCCCTTTGAAGCGCGTTCCTCACGGATGGCCTCGCGGATATAAGCAGAGTAGGCAAAGAACACGGTCAGTGGTTTCTTTGGAGCATATGGATCCTTCTCTGCTTTCTTTCTTGCTGGCTTCTCGATGGCAGTAACTTCACCAGCAGTGTGAGTGGTCAACGGTTCACCTGCAACTGCCGCCAAAAGAGCAGGATCGGCCACTACCGATGCCAGGCTCGCGTCAGTGACAATGGCCTTTGCAGAAAGCTGGACACCGTTTGCAGCGTGTGTCAAGAGCTTAAGCGAGTCCGCCAATTCACCAAAGACGTGAGTAGCATCATCGTTATTTGTTAACGAAGCGTTATAGAAGTCAACGGCCGCTGAGGAAGCCTCCGCTGCGGCCTTGGAGAGCTCATAAAGCGACGACACTAACTGTAAACAAAGCGTGTTAGTATTGACAAAGCTCACCAAAAAAAACAAAACAAAACAACACCAAGAACCCAATTGGACGAGTTGAGCCAGGTTCAGCTTCTGGTTCAGTGATAGATCTACTCACAGAGTCCTTTGCGACTTTCAGTTGGTTGGACATTTTGTTAATTTCGTTCCTCAAGTTTAATGTTGAGCCTATTCAAGATGCCAGGCTGAGCTAGTTTCTGTTTGGGGTAGAGCTATTTGCTGATGAGGGTTAGGGGGAGCAGGTGGAAGGAGGAAGGAAAATTTAGGGGGGAAACCTACTGGGTTTTGTTTATTTTTCTGCCTAAACTCTTGTTCAACTTTTTTTGTTTTTCGTCCGCTGCCCCCTCCGCCAGCCGGCTGCTTTCTGAAAGGGGGAAGGAGGTGTTTGGCGGCCTGGAGTCAGTTTTTCCACTGTTAAACTGGTGCTGCTTACGCCCGCCCACTGATTTAACGCACCACTCACTGCCCCGAAGACTCCCGCTTAGCTTACGCCGCCCACCGCCCCGAGCCCCTCGTGGACCCACAACGCAAGTCCTCGACTGGCGCTAAACATTTGTGTTGGCGGTGCACAGGCTGCTACGCTGGCCGGGGGGGGGGTCGGCCAGAGGTTGCTAGTGAGTCTGCGCAAGAAATGGCGCAACCGAAATAAATTCACATCCTGCCTGAGTGTGAGACAGCCTGTAGAATTCTCACCTCCCTCTCCGCATTCCGTACCCACTCTCCCTTTAAATTTAATGTGTATGAGTTCTAAAAAGTGAGCCAGTGGGGGGCTAGGCACCTAATTTGTCCACGCCCGCGTAGGGTGCCGTTCTACAAACTGCTGACTGGGGGCCGCACCCCACGAAGACACTTGGGGTTTTCTGCCTACGGGTTTACTCTCGAGGAAGCGCCATAATGATGAAAACACCCTTGTAGGGCCATCACTGGTTTGCACATGTCTGCCAGCTTTCTAACGAATATACGATTAAGTACGCCATTTACAAGAGATAATGCTCTCCATTAGCTTCGACCAAAGTCGTTCTTGGATGGTCTTTGCTAAACCTTCTTGAAATGGCTTATGGCCAGGGCCCATGTTAGCCTGACCTGCACCTCTTGTATGTAGCCAGAGTTATATAGGCTGGTCAGTGTCTAAAGCATTCATTTCCTGATATATAATGTTGGTAATAGGTAATATGTGACACCACTAATGGCTGAGGACCTATGACATCTCGGTTACAGTTTCAGAAGTTGAGCTATAGATAAAGTATCGTGGCTGACCGATTATTGGTTGGTAATATTAGGTCATTGGACTGTATAAACTGCATGTAGAAGTCTCTCTATCCGGGGTCAAAATGCCCAGGTGGGTAGTTTGTGCTGCTACAGGTGTCATAAGAAGACCAAGAAAGCCTCCTTTATTACTATCACTGCCCTCTAGTTTCCCCATTCCACGAGGTGCCTGGTTTCTACACTCGCATGATCCAGAGTTGCAGTGCTGAGCTTACCAAGCAACGGATCAATTTTGCATGCATATCGCTAAGGCATCAACATTAGGTGGCTATAGTAACAAACATCCCAATACAAAGATGGTTGATCCCAATTTCCGTTGGAAAGGCATATCTTGTGCTACATGGCGCAAGTGCAATAAAATGATATGTGCAAGCACAAGCATATCACCTTCTTCGCCAGATCAGTGCCACTAGTCTTCCCAATATGATCAGATGAGCTCAGTATAACGTTACTTTAGAGGTAAAACTGGTGTGTCCGCTGAATAACAGGATCTGGCCTCAGTGCTAAAGCCACTACCTCGTCCAGGCAATTCGCCAGCCTTGATGACTGTAGCCCAAGAAACATGAGTTTCCTTTCACTACATCGGCAAGGTTCTAAGCTTCCAGTACGTATTGTTCCCAGCACATAGTAATCTCTATCTCCAGTTGCCTGTACGAAGATGATAGCAGTAATATGGCCATTGATTAGGTAAAAATACCAGTACATCGTGGAGACCTTCGATGACAATTCGGCTCCAAGCTCAGTTGCTGAGCCCATAATTTAATACTCAAACACTGTATCCATCGTTACCCTTCGTTACAACTGATCTTGCTGCAATTTTGAGACCAATCATAACTATTGTTCAAAGAAACTCAGCACCGCTTGACTGAGTCTTCTTGCAGCTTCAATCAGTTCATCGTTGTCACTGGCAGTTGCCAGTGTCAGTCTGATGAACTTGGCAGACTTGGCATACTCTGGGGTGAACGCCATATTCTTTCCCAGAACAACCTCAACGCCCTTCTCAATCGCTTTATATCTGAGGCCCTCCAGTTCCAATCTATGGTCGTCACCTTCAGGCAAATTGAGGTCAATTGTTATGAACATACCCGCGTCTGCCTCATTGTACTTGAAGTAGCCTTTCTTATAAGCTTCACTCTCCAAGAGAGTCCTGATAAGAACGTTCTTCCTCTCTGTATAAACTTTAGAAACTTTCACACACCATTCAATCCAACCTCGAGCACCACCTGAATGCGCAATTGCTGACAATACACTGACTTGTGATAACCCAGACGGGGCCTTTGTCGAAATGTTTGAATGATCGATGATACGACGAATCAGCTCTGAGTGTCCCACGATGAATCCTAACCGTGCACCTGGTGCAAAGACCTTGGAAAACGTCTCCAAACGTAGCACACGGCCATCTGAATCGTACTGGATATATGATTTCAGCAATCTCTCCTTCACAAATCTCGCAGAGTCGTACGTGTCGTCGTCAAAAGGGTTATCAACACCATCTGTGAAGGCTCCCAGCTGGATGTATCCATATGGATCATCTTCCACGATAATAAAGTCGTACTTCTTGGCCAATCCATACACCCTTTCACGCTTGGACTCCTTCAGCGATAGTCCTGTTGGGTTTTGGCCCGTTGGAATCGTGTACAGCACCTTGGGGAATGGCTTCTCCTGGTACTGCCCTTGGAACCAGCCTTCCAACAACTGCTCCAGGTAATCAACGTCAATCCCACCATCTTCAAAGTTTATTGGAACGGGGACAGGAGACCCGCCCCACGATCCAATGGTGTTGATCGTGGGGACAAAGGTGTATGCCTCCAATAGCACCGTATCACCGGGATCAAGCAACAGATTAAACACCTTGTGGAGCGAATCACCAGAACCATTTGTCAGCGTCACATTCCACCCTGAATACCCTGGCTTGTTCGTGAGCAAGACCAAGTCCTTTGCAAACTCCAGCAGCTGCGGAAACCCTTCTGTTGGCCCATAGTTCAACGCCCTCTTCAGGTCCAGCTTGGAGGCATCTTCAGCAACTCGGTCCACCACTTGAGCACCTTTGGGCTCGCCGAAGGGGTGGTCCTTGAACTCATACGTGATCTTTGTCAGTGGATAGAACCCCTCGTGTGGCCTACCGCCACTCAGCGATATAGGCGACAGGTGTCTGTTAACGTGATCTGGCAGCGGCACCCCATGGAACCCAACAACCTCTCGCTGCTGAGCCCTCTGGGAGATATGGCGCATCACTGTAGCGTCCGCCGTCATTGGTTCAATATTGCACACACCAGCAACACTTCACCAAGGGCGGGCTCTTCTAGCGCCCTCTCTGTATTTATACCCACTGGCACCAGCACACATCTCGGGCTTGCTCACCATTGCACTTATTTGCAATAGATGGGCCATTATTTGTTCACAGCCGGGAGTTATACTGGATTCGGCAACTGGTCGGAATCCTATGGCGGTTCCCACGCCCAACAGAGTACTTCATCTAAGCGCATTTCCGCTCTCTACATCATCAACACGGTAAACCTCTAGCGATTACTCAGCACAAAATCACCAAAACATTCATCTATGTACATTTATTTTACTGTTTTCATAATTGTGCTATATACACACACGTTCGCCACATTCATACCACCACATTCATACCACCACATTCATACCACCACGTTGATGCCCATGCTCTTTGCCGTCGCAATGACGCCCTTGACGATGTTCTCCATCTCGATGGCCTTGTGTCTATCGTCGGTCTTCTTGATCTTCGCAATCTCATAGACGTGTTTGAGCGAGATCTCGCCTGCAAACGGCTTGCCTGGGCCAACTTCGGCGGCTCCTTTCTCGATGCCGGCGGCTCTCAGCAGCAAGTAGCCCGTTGGCGGCGACTTGAGCTCGAACGTGAAGCTTCTGTCTGGCTTCACGATCAGCGCCACTGGGATTGGAACGCCCGGGGCGTACGAAGCGGTTCTGGCGTTGAACTCTTTGCAGAAGTCAATGGCCTTAACACCCTTGGAACCCAGCGCAGGGCCCACCGGAGGCGTTGGGGCTGCTTGCCCGGCACCCACGATGAGCTTCACGAAAATGTTCTTCACTGCTCCACCACGACTGGCCATAATTGCCCTTTTTTTCTATGTTTCTTTGTTGCGAATATGAGGCTCCGGTGTTGTGTTGATGTTGTTTGTGAAAATCACCGTCCATCAAAACTTTTCAGCACAGTGTGGTCAAAGGCCGCGAATATTTCCTAAACGGGCCAGAGAGATGGGCACTAGGCCCATCGCTCACTACGTTGTGTCTTGCTACTGCTATTGAAGGGCAAATATGGGTCAAATGGTTTCGTCTGGCGTGAGAAGTGCTATGGTGACATGTGGTTTGTGTGTGGACCTGTCGCCAACCGAGTAGGCGACGATTCCGGGCTCCTGTGAGTGAGCTGAAACGTGTGGCACTGGGAAGCACGGTGTGTCGGTAGATCTCAGCGCGTTGATCCCGATTTCAGAGTCATAGTAGTGGTTGACGGTGCCTCTCGTGGTGCCCGTGAGCAAGCCCTGGCCATTTGGTAAGACAGTTGCTGTTATTCTCTGTGCAGAGGACTTGAACTGGTCCAAGGAACAGACTGGTGAGAGACCCATTCGTACATCCAATACTTGGATATGGTCATCATGTCGTGGAATCACGTAGATGTACTTGTCATTGTCGCTTTCCAGGATCTGGAATACTCCATGTGGGAGCCTGGTCTGGCTGATTTGTTCTCCGTTGTTGGAATAGAGAGAAACTGAACCGTTCCACGAGCCACACCACCATCCGTCTGTAACAAACTCCGAGTTTGTAGGGGTCATTGCGCTCACGATCCCACTGACTCGGTCCAATTCACCGATTGGATCGGATCTTTCGATGTCAAACATCTGTATCCGCCTCGAGCCGCCGCTAAGGATGGTTTTATCGTTCAAAAACGTAAGACATGAGGTCTTGTAATACTTTTCAGTTTGAGGATGAGAGTTGTTGAACACCCTTAAAGGCCGTAGTCGTCCCTTCTCATCGGGAATGACGTTGTACAGCTTCAGTGGAACTTCCATCCCGCTGATAGCAATTGGCACGATACCGGTGTATAGTGAAGACTGTGGGTGTATACATGTTGTCGTTATGGACGGTAGGAATGATCTTGTGTACGCCAGAAGTTGATCCACAGGCTGATCCAGCAACGTCTGTGGTGGGATATACGTCCTTATGCCCCTGTCAGAAGATACGGTCAGTAACGCAGACGAATCAGGCAGCCATTCAAGCTGGGATGTTATCACTGGCTGACTTGCGTTGTTACTGTTTGGGTCTATTGGTCTCTGAAGACAAGGATACGTATAGTCTGACTGCTCCGCACTAAGTCTCCGGTAAAGATCATCTTCAACACAACTGGGCTCGGAGTAGAAAGTCTCATTAGTTGAAGCCAGTGTCCTCAGTTCCATCCGGCCATTTACAAGGATCAACTAATGTTTAATACTCGCTACTTCATGGGGATTAAGTGTTGAAAGTTTTCTTGAAATTATTTTTCAGCCTTGTATTGGCCCTCGGGGTTAACCACTACACATCATCAACACTATAATGAGAACAACTATCGTCTTCATTCGTTTAGGAATACCATTTTCTGGAGCTTGAGATTCAACAGCATCCTGCTTGCTTCTGCAGAGGTGGCCATGATGGCAGTATTGACCTCTCTTTTACGGATATTTTCGAGATCCTGGGTGATCTGCTGCTGTCCATAACCTACGGAGGTGGATGTCCGTGTATGTGGAGCTGGGCCTTCGTTCGGCTGGGTGCTAGAGGATACTTTGTTGGGCGAAGTGACGCTCTCGTCGTCCATTCTGGATTCCGAGTCCGAGTCCACCGATGGATCCACGTCGTCTCTCATGTCGGTATCGGAGTCATCCGTGTCCATTTCCTTTTCCTTCATCTTCGACAAGAGGTTTGCCCTGGAGAACGGAGACAGCTGCGATCCAAACAGCTGAGAAGGAGATGAATTCATCGTTTGAGCCAGTTCTCGTAATGAGGTTATCCCTTGGGGCATAGGAACGTGGCGTCTTTGCAGGGCAGCAAGTTCCACTTGGATGGGATTTCTGGTTGAAGGTGCGAGGTCGAATCTTGAAGTTGGCTTCTTCAAGAGTGCACTTCTCTTCTCCAGTGTCTCCAATCTGGTGTCCACGAACTCTAGGAGCCTTGATCGTTGCTCCTGGAGATCTATTGGCCCAACAACCTGGGAGATCCAGAATTTGTTCCACAGATTGGATAAGATCATATGATCAATGTTGGATCTGAAAACGTGTATCGATAAGGAATAGTACTTTGAAGAGTGCATACCAAAGTCCTTGGCCTTTTCCTGTGGTATATGACTTGAAGCAATGATATCTTTCTTCTTAGCTTTGTCGTTTGACCCGAATAACGAGGAGCCCGTGAAACTGCTGTTGGTACATGACCCAGTGGTACCTGCTCTGGTGATGGCACTATTACCAGTAGCAATAGTAGTGGTGATGTTTGAAGCTGTGTTGGTGGTAGTGGTATTAGTAGGTCCAGTTGCATTACTGCCCATGTTGGCCTTTATATATTCTTCAGTATAAGTTCTGAATGCTCCAATCTCAACTTTACCATCAGTCAGTGTTCTCATTGGATCAACAACTATCGCCAGATAAGGATCTTGGAACTGCTGGTTCAATGACTGCGTACCAACGTCAATACCTGATAGCCAGCAACCGTATCCCGGATGAGAATGGTACCAGCCAACGATATTCTCGTACCGGCCACTTGACCTCAGAGAATCCAAATACTGAACCATGAACTCATACCCTTCTGCCTGGGCATTCACTCTTGTTTCTGTGCCTTCAACTGGCAAGGGATACACGTCCATAACAACAATACCGTTTCGCACGATCTTGCCCGTGAGCATACCCATAATCTCTATGGAGCCCCCAGATTGGGCATGAAGAGTCATCTTCATCAACGCCAGAGAAGAAACGTGAACGTGCTGGAAATAATTGGCATCTCTGGTCCACGGTTTCGACGACTTCAGCATCGCCTCCGCATTATCAGTGACCATTCGATCGTACAGGTTCCTTGATCTTTCATCCAAGGGCTGCGAGAGTAAATCGTTCATGTCAACTTCTCTTGAATCGAGTGGAGTGTCATCGCCCCTGTGTAGGTGTATTTCGTTCAGCTTGTTGCAAAAATTCGATATGAAGAACGCATCCTTTCTGTAATCGTCCGGATTGGTTTGAATTGACATTGTGCCTCACCGTGATAGCCTCAAGCTCAACTGAATTGGATGGTTCATTCGCAACGGATGCAGCTGTTGTATACCGAACTTTGCCCCTGCCTCCACGGGACAGGTCCCGTTGAGAAAGGGTAGTGTCCTGTAGATCCCGGTAGCAGAGGTGTGCATCACTGGCAGGTGGGAGAAAGCCGGTGGTGTCCGGGTGTTTGCTTATGTAATCACAAACGCGTCTTAAGATTTCCCCTTGAAAAAGAAACAAAACTTTGTTCCGCAAACTCGCACTATTTTTTTCTTTTTGGGGTCTTTTTCTCTACAGAAAGCAGTGCAAAATCGGAACCATCCGAGGAAAAATAAACCAGCAAAAAACCAGCAAAAGCCAGCGTCCGGCTCTCGACTTGTCGCTCCATCGTGCTTCTCCACAAGATCAGACAATATAACAAGCACAGCTGAAAACAATCACGTCCGTATCATTTTCCCGTAGTAATTCCACGACATTTTTGGTGGTTATTCCTGCGTGCGCGTATCAATTGTTTTCTGCTCTGGTTCAAATCGATCGCATCGCCATTGCCTAAATTTTCTGTCTTTTTCTTCTCGCAGCTTTTGGCGTAAATTTTTTTTTCCCGCTGGAGTTGGACCTTCTTTGCTTTGCCTACGGAAGACGGACAGCAGTGCCAGTCAAACGAACAGACGGGCAAACATTTTCGACACAAGAGCTTTGTTCCCCACGGTTTAAGGCTCCACAGACAAGGAAAAAGTTGTTGTTGAGCGTATTGGTAACCGTTCTTTGCAGGCTACGGAATTCTAAGTGAAATCCACCAAATCGTGCTCTCACACACTCTTTTTTGTTTAGTGTGAAAAGAGGTTTTGACCGTAAAGGCGTTCACTACTACTTACAAGACAGTTTTATTTTCGCTGTGTGTGTGTGCTTGTGCGTGCGTGCGTGTTTGTGTGTGTGTGGTGACTTTGCCTGTGTGTTTTTGAACTCCAATGGGCGAGGTTGTTAAAGATAGCATCACGCCGTTAGTTCAGAGGATTCTTGCCGATCCGCTTCGTTTTATACCGGCAAAGTATCAAGAGACCCATACAAACAGACCGTCAAGTTACATCAAAATAGGCGCTTCACATTCCAAAGAGCTCGTGCCTGAACGGGCAGGGCAACAGCAACAACAGCAGCCTTTGTTGGGCTCTGCAAAGCCTGCGAATGACGATGAGAGTAAGCCACGGCCGCGGTCTTTGGCACATGCCATTGCTGGCTACACAGGGAAGCGCGTTTTAGATGATGATGATGGCAAGTTGAGCAAGTCGAAGAGAAAGAAGCTGAAGGTGGAGAGCGTTTTGGCTCAAAGCGAGAACGATGAGGACGTTGGAGAATCTCTGGAGGGTGAGGATGAGACAGCACAAGCTTCCAATGAAGATGAGGAGGCGCTGAGTGAAGATGAGACGCCGCTGAGTGCTGATGAGACGCCGCTGAGTGCTGATGAGACGGCGCAGAGTGAAGATGATGAAGAGTCTTATCAGGCTGAAGAATCAAGAGAGTCAAGCGAAGATGCTCAGCCATTCCCGCGCAACTTGGTGAGTAAGAAGGTTTACGAACAGTTTCCTTCGGAGAACAGTGATGAGTCGCGTACTGCGTCTACAACTTCTGAAGAAGATACAGGGGATGGCAATAGCAATGATGATGACGACGATGACGATGACGAAGGTGACGAAGATTATAACGAGGCACAGACAAACACCCAAGAGGAATCCACATCTGAATCATCTGAGTCCAGAGAATCGTCACAATCACCAGATTCACCTTGCGCTTCTGAATCACAAGAAGATGAGAATGAACTGCTGAAGAAAGATTTGCACAGCAAAGCTACTAGCAGCACACCACCAACGACACCTGAATCCGATAGCGAGGAGGATAAAGTGACAGGCGATCCAAACGGATCAACAGACGTGGATAAGCGATCCAAACTGGATGACTTTTATCAGATAAACGAAATCGCCAACGATAGAGGTTCAAACCATTCACAGCGTATTGTCAAAAACTGGGGTGTCAATCTCCAATTGCAGAAACCCGTGGGGCTCTTGAACCACGGAGTCACCTGTTATACTAATGCTGCAGTCCAGGCAATGGTTCACATCCCGGCAGTGCAACACTATCTGAACGATATTTACAAGAATAAGTACAAGGACACGATTAGCCAAAGATCTGTGAGCCATGTGTTGGCTGAAACCTCTGTCAGAATGTGGAACCCAGATAAGAAGAGAAGTGCAAAGTATATCAATCCAAAGAAGTTGGTTTCAAGGTTAGACGATATCAATTGCATGATGTCTGAGTGGCAACAAGAGGATTCCCATGAATACTTCATGTCGTTACTGTCAAGATTGCAAGAGGACTCAACACCAAAGGGACACAAGCTGAATGAAAGTATAATTTACGACATCTTTGGAGGATTGCTGAATCAATCCGTGACGTGTAAAAGCTGTGGCCATGTTTCAAAGACACAGCAGGAGTTTTACGATTTGTCACTTCACTTGGGGTCCACAAGGAAGAATTCTAATAGCAATGACAATACACAGGAGGACGCGGATCAACCTTCTCAGAGATACTCCATACAAAAGTCAATCAGAGACTTCTTCTCGCCAGAGCTGATCAAACCCGATAGATCTGATACGAAGAGTGGCTATGTCTGCGAGAAGTGTAAGCAACGTACCAATGCAATCAAGATTTCCAGTATTGATCGTGCTCCAGAGACACTGGCCGTTCATTTGAAAAGGTTCAGATTTAACGGATCATCATCGTCCAAGGTCAAGCAAGGAGTGTCGTACCCTTTGATATTGGATCTGTCACAGTATACCACAAGGGCAGAACCTGTCCTGTATCAACTCATCTCTGTTGTTGTACATGCCGGTCGCTCTGTATCATCTGGTCATTACATTGCACATTGTCGTCAACCTGACGGAACATGGGCTACGTATGACGATGAGTACATCAATCCAATATCTGAAAAGCAGGCCTTGAAGGACTCGTCAGCATACTATTTGATTTACACTCGTCTCACACATAAGGATAACATCAAAAAACCAACACCTTTGAAGGCCTTACAACAGTCCAACACATCGACCTCACCTGCCACCAAACCTGTATCTACGAAGTTGGATGTCAATCAATCACCAAGACACACAGCTGATAAGGACAGGAAACCACTGCATTCGATAGGAGCTGTCAATCCTTCGTCACCAAAACAACACGTACCGCAGATGCCTAAGCATAATATCAAAGCCAAAAAGCAGAAATATGGAGCTATGAGGCCAACAAATAACCTGGGTAACATATCTGGAAAGAACCAACGCAAATACGCGTCAAAGAGACCCGGTTCACGGAGGTTTAAAAAGTACTAATTAGCGATAATAAAGCTATAAGCAGGGAATAGTCTTGTACAAGTAGCTTCATCCATAGACGCATGGTCAATTATATGCAATCATAAAGAACATTAGTAAAATAATAAGACTAGAAGCTAGTATATCATTACCAGAAGAAGAAACATTTGGGGACTGTTCAAACAACGTGACATATTTGAACAACAAAGAAGAACCCAGGGATAAGAGAAGAAGATAAAAAATGAACATGAATTGATCATTGGATTGACAATGGGTCATGATATAAAGCTTTGAAAGCTTGATTAAATCGATCAACCATGGTTGAGAACTGAATTTTCGTTGTTATTTCCTTTTAACAACTCTGCAACGAATAAGGATAGGATAAATTAGCAATCATTTCTGCTTCAAAGAAGAAAATTATAAGTTCAATAATCGAGTTCTTCTTCGTGTTTTGAGCTAGAAAGGGCGGGAGTTTCCAATGGTTGTGTTTTTCCATGATCATCGCCCGCATTAGGAACAACTGGAGGAATTCCATAATACATGTATGGTGGTCCTGGTGGAATCATTCCAGGAAGCAGACCTGTTGGAGCTTGGGGTGGGTACCCTACAAAGCTGCTCTCTGGATAGTATGGGAAAGGGACATACGGAACGTACGACTGTAACTTTCCATCGTATTGTTGCATCATGCAATCTTCAGGATACGCGTAGTAATAGTATGGAGGAGGAACCATATGTGCAGAACTTGGCGATGGGATCATATGTGACATACTTCTTCTGTGAGGATGCTTTGGTGCATAGTTTGTGCTTGAATGGTCTGGATTCTCAGAAGTACCTGAAATTGAAGTAGCTGTGAACACTGATTTTGCCTCTCCATGCGAAGAGGAGTTCATTGTTTGATTGCTTGGTGATGATACTGGTGTATGCTTTTCAGTTGATGAGTATGAGTTATCATCAAACTTTGCAGAGGTGGCATACATACGACCTGCAAACTCTGGCTCAAAAGGTGGTGCACCTGCAAAGAATTTTGGAGTATGAGATGTTCTCTCTCCTGCGAGTGATAGAGAACGGCTACCAGAAAACTTTCCCTTCGATCCAAATGATGAGGTTGAGTATGAACGATGATATCCAGAGCCTCCCATGTGTGTAAAGTGTCCCATTGGACCTTTGAAGTATCCGGAACCTGTACTGGATCTTCTGACAGGCAAGTTTACAGGAGGAGGTGCTAAATTCAATCTCGTAGACTGGGAAGAGAAGCGGGACTTTTTGTGGTGAAGCTCACGATATTGGACATGCATAGTCTTATCCATGAAAACTGCATGGTTCTCTCTCTCAACTGCAGCAGCAGCAGCTTGCTCTGTTTCAAACCTGATAAATGCAAAATTGTTGCCAGCTCTCAAAACAAGAACAATATCGGCAACCTTGCCATGATTCGAGAATCTTTCAGCCAATAACTCTTTGGTAACCTTCCCATCCAACTGGCCAACAAAGATGGAACACTTGTCAATCTCAACAGAAGGCTCACCTTGTCCATCAGAAGGATGTTCAATATTCTGGGCCCATTCGACGATCCAGTTTGGGCTCAATCTGAGGTTTGCATAAGCTCTAATAGCATCATCTCTATATGCAAACTGACAAAACCAAGCTCTATTAAAGTTGGATTTTTTGTAGTTTGAGTCATTATCACCTATAACTTGTTCAATCTCGCCGTACTTTCCAAGCATATCCATCACCTCTTTGGAGCTGATTTCAGTGTCGTTGGAAGTAGCAATGTACAATGTACGATTAACTTTTGCCGGCTCACAGCGGATTGTTCTACCGTTAAGTATTGTATGTTGTGCCTCTTTGAGTGCTCTTTTTGCATCTGCATCATTAGTGTATTGAACAAATGCATATGGCCTGTTGGATGGATCCCGAAGAACCTTTATCAAAGCCAAGGTACCCCACTGAATTTCTGTTAGTAACACTTTCTTGGACTGCAAAGATAAGCAACCAAATCAACATACCTTTTCGAAATGCTTAGTAACTGAAGCCGATAGCTCATCATCTGACAACGCAGCTGCAAGACTTGCAACAAAGACGCAGGAACTTGGACGCCCACGGAATGAGCATACGTCTTCTGACTTCTCTTCACCAGCAGGGACGGCTTCCAAAGTTTCATTTGCTGTATTGTCATCATCTTCCAACAGATCCAGTTCCGCATCAGCATCACAATCAGAATCCATTTCTGAGTCCTCACTTGAGCTGAAAGTAGTTGGCAGCAGATCAGCAGCATTGTACCCTGGGTCCAACTCTGGGTCCAACTCTGTGCCCTTTTCAAACTCCTGCAAACGCTCCAAGTTCCCTTCAATGTCCTCCACAACTGTAAACAATGGCGCCTTTGAACCCATTTTAACCGCCGTGCCTCGTTGTTTATAGTATATCGTTCTTTGTATCCTTCTTCAGAGAGTTAAATGGAAGAACAGCCTCTATGATAGTAACAGTACCAACTTTTTGTAACAAATATTAACAGCACCTGTGCTAAGTAAGGACGAAGGATTGACGCCAACAGTGTGAAATGGAAATAGGAAATTCCCAAGATTTGAAAGTGAAATGGAAACTGAAGAAATCCAGTTTGAATTTCTGTGGGTATTTTGGGGGCTTTATAAACACCATTAGCCGCTGATGACATCTCTTTCAAAGCGCCCAGCTCGTGCGTCTATGTAATGATCCTATGACTTTATTCAAAAGGTTACAAATTCGTATGTTGAGGCGGGGATTTGTGGGGCAAATTTGTTCTGGGAAACTCCAGCGGGCTAAGAGAGTCCACAAAAAGCTTTGCTGTATTATCTTTGTTGACTTCTTGTTATTTGGCACTTGGAATTTTGAAGTTGAAAGTACAATGTTGATCGTTCTGGATCTACCTTAATAGTGTGCATTTCTTTTGCCTTACTTTTTTGTTGTTTAGGGCCATGCAGACAGGACGCATATCTGCAGTACCTGTGCATCAAGTATTGGACCGAATTAAGAAGGTTCCCCCAAGTCATCGTATATATACGCAAGCATCAGGAAATGAAAAGCTGTGGTGGTTGAAACAGCGAGAAAAATATGTGCATTCTTCTCGATATGTTTTATTTTTATTTTTTGGTATAGTTGTTTGCGAAGCTTTTGGCTACTGCCTGATTTAATTCTCAGTTGTAACTTTTACCGAGCATTACAGGCACATTACTGTTGAACCTTATTTCCTTCTAACCAAAGAAAGATCCATATATAGTGCATGTCATATTATGAAGCGGTCACAGGGAAGTGGATTTGTAGGCCGTGGCAAATTTTTCTCTCTGATTGTCCCAGTAATCGCCGAATCAGATACAGCATCTCAAGGTTTTCCGTTCATCTTTTCTTGGTAAACACATAACTGATAAACATTGCGTTTGGGGGTACTCTTTGTCCTGGTGATGGTGCTAATTTGGACCATGGGATTGCTTGTGGATTGGGTACCTGTAGTATGTACATGCAAGGATCTGCTTATCGCCTCATGAGCCTAGTACTTAACTTCTCGTACGGAATAACTATGGTGTACAGTATCCTGGAGAAGCTAGTATCAGACTTCGGAGTACAATTCTCTTGCAGTTTGACTATCAAGATGCAAAATTCACTATACCCTGATGACGCCATTAATGATGCAGTTTCACATTATGGGTTTCAGAGCGACAGTTATTGGTCAACAGCTGACATTTCGGGTTGTATTAAAGTCAGGTTGTTATTGGACTACTTCTCATATCATGTGTGAGCTTGAGGGAGCCCACTAATCTTAACTATAATTCAAAAAAGTTCACGACATATCTGAAGTTTGCACAGAGTGGTCCAAAACCAAGAAGGTGCGCTTCATTCTCAGAACGCCGTTGCTTGGCAGAACACAAGTGATATTTACATCCCTTAATATAGAACTCACTAGCTGACTTTGCCACCCTTGGATCTTTTAGAACCGCCGCTAAGTATTAAAATGAGATTCAATCAAACAACAATCCAGGTAATTAGTTCTGCAAAAACATTACTACGGCAACAGCTATTGCCTTAAGTTCAATTGCAGAAATGGTATGTGGGCGCATGCATGCACTTTTGGACCAAGTTCTGTAATGAAAAAATGCTGCTTGTTGCAACCATGTACAAGAGCAATGTAATACTAGGCATACCAGAAAACAGATTGTTCAGATCATCCTCTCTTCTATGTTTTCGTATTACTTCTTTTCTTATCTGCGTCTATATGATCAGAGAATGCCAACAACTTCTTGTGTGGTAGAGGTTACATGCAAGTGGGATATGTTGGTTGTGGCATCAAGTTATATCAGTCTGAGTGCGAGGATTGTCTAAGCTTTATCTGTTTTCAAGCATCATGTTGTGCAGTTGAGGTACCCATTCCCATGTGGAAATTAAAAAGGGCTTTTTGTGAAATGCGTAAACTTCTGTGAGTCTATTGATTTTGCTCTTGTGTGACGTAAGAAATGTCCTCCGTTTCCTGGGTCGTGCTGAAATGAAGTAAGCCCCTAACATTGAAAAAACTTTCTGACTTTTGGACGCTCAAGCAAAATCAAACTAGACATTGAAATAAAGTGAGTTGTCGTTGGTTTCGTGGAAGCTAAATTTTAGGGAGACAAGAATGGGCATCGTTGACCTGCGTCAAGGTTCTCCACGATATGAGTTCAATTAGCCGATAACCCAAAATTCTGTTCGGATTCCTACACAATGCATTTTCAGGTTTTGTAATATCTTGGCATTTTACACTGACAACTTACAGCTGAAGTGCATCTCACAGAGGTTTGTGAACCCAGGCTAATGAATGGATGGCGAATATGATATGCTATGCTTGTAAAGAACTACGTGAACACTTCCTAGTCCTATAATCAAACGCTTCATGTTCTCGGGAGGGAAACTATCACCATTGTACCTGAAAGACGATTTGTGTGTGTCTAAATTTGCAACAACAAAGTTTCGATTTAGATCACCTACAACATGATTGTGCTGAGCAATAATTTAAAATGGTTGTCTGTGCGATGGGCCAAGATTTGGGTGCTTATTCACTGCATGAAACTAGATCTCAAACAGAAGGCTAACCTATACATAAATGAGTGAGTATAACTATGTAAGTCGTCTGTTCTATGGGGTAAACATACAATAAGCTACTCTTTCAATCCTGAAGTTTGGTTGTAATTCGTAAGCTTTATCTTGTCACAAGCTGGCCCGAAGATGTAATGATAGGCAGAAACCCTGTGGTAATTTGGACCAGCATGATAATACGGTAACTATTGTGATATTCGACCTTCGGATTAGAACTCTGGAATTATCGGTATTTCACACCTACAGTAATGTACTGTTAAACTAAACAGTCGTTACCTCTTTTCACACCCGAAAAGAACACATCACACGAATTCTCAGAATTCGGGTGTCCTCTCCTTTGGTTTAAAAGGGAAAACCTTTGACCACTATATTTCCTTCCCTTTGACTCCTAAAGAGGACCGATCTTCTCTTATATTTTCTATACTATACTGTTTTAAGATTCATCTTATTGTCATTATATCAAGTTAGACTGGCACACCCCGAGCTAAGTAACGTACTACACAAGATCCCATTGGTAGTATAAAACATATTGTGATATCAGCATAATTGAAAGATTACGAGTTGAACCCCGAAGAGCACACTATCTAGCCAGCACATGCAGCTTCCTTGCATATCCGTACAAATAATGGTCTATGACGAGGCATGATAATCGAAAAGTTGATGGAAGTGCATGGGGAAGGGATATTTTTCGCACCAAAGTAGGAGAAAAAGAAATAAGCCATCCATACATCTACGGCATTACAGTCGATAAGTGTTTTGTCAAACAGTCCTAGGAAACCCGTATCGACATTCTTTGAAGAAGATTGGGTTGACATGGCTTGGAAGATATCGACCAACCAGCGATTCGGTCTGTGTCGGTGTTCTTGACCTGCTGAATATCCAATGCCAGTCAATGACCTGCTTTGAAAACATGTAACATTCTGTGGTATGGACGCTTCGCCGACGCTCACTGGGCCATTTGTTAAACGAAAGCTCAAGGAGGTACCATTCTATACGATATATACGTGACCCGTAAAAGCAGTGCATTAACATAGCGCCTGTGCTGTATTGCATATGTAGCCTGGTTGGCGTCTTGTGTTATGGTTTTGAGTGTATATCACCCATATGGTTTGGCAGGACTCCGGTGCCCACGTAGTTCAGGAATAGGTGTAGTACAATAATGAACGCCAACGTCTTCTACCCCAAAGTATACAACCATGTTATTGCCAGACCAAGGTAAAAGAAAACAGAAACTGACTGCCCAATATACGATCATTGCGTCTGAAAATGGTATCTTCTGCAGAATTAGAAGTTGCAATATCGGCAATTTTCTCTGACGCTCTTAATCTCAAAAACTGCAAGCACTTATACATAGCCAGTGGTGTATGGCAGATGCCTGTTAGATGTCTAAATTTGTAAGCGGCAATTACCGAATGATCTTTGGTCTGCATTCCAGGCAAACAGAAGTTCCAATTCTAGAATCTAGAGCCCTCACCTTTTTGATGTTGGTCTTTGGTAGTGATTAATTGAGCACACATCCAGATCAAAGCTAAAAAAATTCTTGGTGACATGCAAACATCCTTTCAAGTACACATGATACGTGGAAATACATATAAGCAGTAAAGGTCGTGATTAGTGGCTGGAATCTGAATCAGCACATAGGTTAATGTGCGCATTTAAAAAGGTTACCGTTTGCACATCTATTTACATATCCATTGGGGGTCTTTAATGTTCTGTGACTGTCCCAAGCTTGATTTCAAACCATTGGGTGACCACAGCAACACTGGGGTTACCTCATATTACTATGATGTCAAATTATTAGTCAGAAATTGTGCTGTCAAATGATCCACATGTCTTCAAAGATGTCTCCTATGCATAGTATTCCCATAAAACAACATATACGTACGTATATTTTTAATGCTGGCCTATAGTCCGAGACTTCTTCCTAATTAACTTTGGAACGATTAACCAATGGGAACAAGATTGCATGTGGTCTTCTGCAGGAGCAAAACTTTGGCTCAAATCACTGCACCGCATGAAACAGAGTTATTTGTGATGCAGAATATCTCACTTCTAACTTAATGCTACAGCTGTGCAAAAGGACGATCAGGGGGAAAGGTTACGAGATCATAACTTTAGTCTGTACCAATCATCCAATTGACGTCCACATCGTTTCGATATAAACATTTTCTACTGATGCCTAGTGTGACTTTGGCTCTGAAACCGCCCTCTCTATGTGACTGATATCAGTTATAACGCCGTGTGTGGACCGCCCCAGCAAGTAAGAACTTTCCAAGTAATACATCAATCAGTTCTATACATGATACCAGGTTTCGGTTGATAGATAGGCCACTGTGACAAATCGCGGAGATAAGCTGCAACGGCGCTCTTCACTAGGTGGTAACTCGTAGGTGAATTTTCTTAACCAAGGCAACGCCGAGGTTCAAACTCACACGGTTCGTCAACTTTAACCAATTTTACAAAAGCCACGATCGTTTGCTCGCTGCACAATTAAAAAGTCAAACTTATTTTTAAGCTATTAGGACCATACACAAAGAGTCACAGGATCTGTTTTCACAGACGTACACCTTTTTCTCGGTGAGCATGTCGTTTATCAACCCTTCCATCGCCTTTCCACAGCCTGACATACGGGGCTTGTTGCTATCTGAAACCAAAGGGAAACCATGGCAATCACTTCCTACACCATCGTTGGTTGTGTCGCTGCCAACTGTGGAGGCCAACTGCACTCGAATGCTGCAACGTGTATCCGCTACTGGCGCCAAATTTAGAGCCCATGTTAAGACCCACAAGACATTTGAAGGGACCATGCTTCAACTTGGTTACAACTTGGCAAACTATCAAGCCCCCAAACATTCAAGCATCGTTGTGAGTACTTTCCGGGAGGCATGGGCAGTTGTCGACGAACAAGATCGAACGGGACAACACATCGTCACCGACATTGTCTATGGCTTACCAAACGTTACAGGCGAGAGTTTGGCCCAGATCATAGCTCTGAGTGGCAAAGTTGAAGTGTTCACCGTGCTTATCGACTCCGTTGATCATGTTAGGACCATCGAAGAGTTTAAGTCTGATGCTCCCTTCGATCCGATCAACGTGATGATTAAGCTCGACGCTGGTACCAACAGGGCCGGCATCGCAAATACGTCATATCTGACAGAGGTAATTAATGCGATTGGCGAGTGTGAAAAGGTTGAACTTCGTGGGTTCTACGTACATTCTGGCCACTCGTACAACGTTAACAGCATTGAAGAGGCCGAAGCTGCACTGGTGGAGGAGCTCGAGACCATCAAGAAAGGTTTGGACCAATTGGAGGTGGTTAGTCCCTCTACGGATCTATCCAAGCTGATCGTGTCCGTTGGTGCAACCCCAACAACGCATTCGCTTGATCATCACGTTTTCCAAAAGACCAATGATCGTATCGTTGCGATTCAAAAGAGCCTAAAATCGCAGTTGGAGTTCCACGCTGGTAACTTCCTGTTTTGCGATTTGCAACAAGTCTCTACCGGGTGCATCGGCATACAAAATATCGCTGCTAAGGTTGTTGGTACTGTCATTTCACAGTACCCCGGTAGAAACGACCCAGTTGGTGAACTCCTCACAAACACCGGCGTCATCTCCATGTCAAAAGAGGTTGCGCGTCATTATCCAGGCTTCGGTGTTGTAGAGACTGATCCAAAGTACGGCCACTGGTTCATCGACCACATGTCGCAGGAACACGGTATCTTGAGACCAAGTTCCCCGGAGGGCGCCCAGTTAATCCCAATAGGCACAAAGTGTCGTATCCTACCAAACCATTCTTGCATCACCGCCAATTCCTTCAATGCCTACTACATCCTCGACGCTGATGATAAGGTCTGTGACGTGTGGATCCCTTGGAGAGGCTGGTAAAAGCACGAAAAAACGCACATGAGAATGAGCACTACATAGGTCAATTGCACGTATTACCGTTGCCATTATTACTTGTTTTTGTTTGACACTTTAAACAGCCTCAGTAGGTGAAAGAAGCATCGCTATAAGGTGGTGAAAAGGCCACGATGCAATCCACAGCGCCCGGCAATCCACCACACCCCCACAAAATTATCTATGAAGAGTGGCTTCTGCTGAGAGACTTCGACGGATGACTTAACTATAACCTATCATCATCGACTGTAATAGTTGTAAAGATCTTCTAGAAGTGTTAAAAGGAGAGGAAAGAAAGTCTCAACGTTGCAAAATTTTTCAGGCTTCGTTCCCTCCGCGGTGGATCTGGGCATAAAGCACAAACACACGGTAGTCGCCGCTTATACTGCATCGAGACCGGTGGTGGAAAAAAAATGCTGTTTTGGAGGACATTAGCTGTGCTTCTTTGAGCGGTTGTGAAGTTGTTATACGAAAATCCATCGAGACTCATTGCTTCTCTGTTGCATGGTGCGTTCTCCATGATCCACATTATTACGATATCGTACTAACAGCTCTCTCAGATGTCAAATTGGAAAGATTACTCTGCTAACCTGGAGAGAGATCTTCTCTTTACGTCTCGTAAGACCAGAGATGAGAAGTTGAAGTCTCTGGAGGCATACTTGTCCTCCAGCGCCACTGATGAGTCTATCAATGGTGTTCAAGCGTTGCTGCTGAGACATTATACACACTGGACCGACCCAAACGGCCTGACCTTGACAACCGCGCTGCTTATCAAGTCCGTAGAGCTGAAACCAGAATCTCTGCCATTGGTTGTTAAGGCCATTGTGAAATTCACTTCGAAGTACAGATCCATTGCATTCGAAGATCTCCATCTGCTAACAACATACATCACTGCTATTGTTGTTAAGTTCTCCCGTGAAGCTTCTTTCGACAAGGTGTTGAACGACGTTGTGACCGCTCTATTGCAGATCTTCGACTCTCTGTACCATCAGCAAACCGATGCTGATGACAAGCACAAACAAAGGGTACGGAAATCAATTACAAACATTGCAAGATCTTCTATTTCTGCATTGAGTGACGAGCAAATTTCATCAATTGTCGCCGTACTTGCTGAATACAAAGGGCCTCTTGAGCCTGTCATTGCACTCTTTGGCGTTTTGGCGTCAAGAGACCTTTCTGCAAATGACCAGACTGCAATCATTGGTCTATTTGTAAAGGATGTACTCGGTTCTAAAGTTCCAGTGGCAAATTTACCCTCAATGGCTCCTTTTTTTGAAAAGTTTGTCTCTGGTGAAGTCCTGAAATCATCCATTGTTCCATCTTTGGAGAAGGCTATCATCAGGTCCTCTGAGGTGTCGTGGTCCTTATCATTGGAGCTATTTAGATCACTATCGTCAACAGTCGATCTTCCAGAGATCTTAGTGGGCTCAAAGCTGTTAACTCAGATCATTTCAGCACTAAAGGGGTCCAAGGAGAATGTTCGTTCGCTCGCGTTGAACAATTTTGTCGTAATCGTTCGTTACAAGTCTTCTGATGAAACATTGGCAAAACTTTCTGATGAGCTGACTAAATCCCTCAAAGCTATCTCTTCTGCTGATATCAAGACTCTCTTCTATAAAGTTATATCCCTTGTTCCATGTTCGGAGTTGACATCGGCCAAGATCATCTCTGCATTGACTCCTCTGGTTTCTAAGGATCAAAACGAATCATCGCTTGATGCGGGTCTGAATGCTTTCTTTGCACATTTCGTTGGTCTTTTGGTGCACAATGTGGATGTTAGTGAAGAATCGAAAACTGCGGTGTTGAATGGTCTAAAGGACACCAAATTGCAGCTCAGAAAATCCTGGTACTCTAACCTAGGCTCTCGCCTTGAAACCTCTGAGGTTACTGAGCCACTTAGAGCACTCATCATTAATGTTTTCCCAACAATGTCCGCAGCATCTACAGAGATCTTGAACAACCCAACAACTCATATCAAAGCTATTGTGGTACCATATGTGACACTCGTGGTGTCCAAGATCTTCAAGACTGACGTTGACTCAAAGGATCTTGTTACTAAAGTTTTCGTGGATGATGAGAAAAAGCCCTCCATCTTGCTAAACTCTCGTGTTTACAGTAAATTCACTACTGATAATGAGAAAGAATGGTTCATCAAAGCACTAGGCTCTGTTGCTGAGGATATTACTGATACCAACGCTGATTTTGGAGTTGCCTTTTCTGCCTTCGCCATTGCAAAATCTTCTTCTTCTACTGTGAGAAAGTTGAACATGAATGTTTTGCAAGATGCATATATCAAAAATCAAAAGTTCGTTGGTGACTCTTTGATTGTTGGTGTGTCGAAGCTTCTTGCAGGTTCAGCAGATGAAAATATTCTTGAGCCGATTTATGGTCGCTTGACAACAGTTCTTTCTGTCTTGTCCAGCCGTGATAAATCTTTGAACGAAGAAGTTCTGCTCTCTCAGCTGAGCGATGCTATTGTTCCAGCTCACCACCAAAGCCTTAGCAAATCGTCTTGGGTTTCCCTTGTTTTGGCTGCTGATGTTGATCCGGGATATATTGCAAAGGCTTTTCATGTCCAATTGTTTGAAAACATATCGGATCTTCTTCTGAATGCTACAAAGGCTACTCACGATTCTGGAATGTTCAATGCTGCTGCAGAATCTATTGCTACGCTCGCATTTGTAGATCCAAATGCAGTTGGCCTCTTAGTGCAGAAGCTGATTGAGAATGATCTTTCTACTGATCTTTTGAAAGATTTGACTTCCCAGGATGTCGAAATCTTCAGAGCTTCAGAGGGAGAGCTTGTTGTTAATGTTCTTGAAGGTAGGAAGAAAACCGTCGAGGACAAGAACTCCAAAGATTATGCCACTCGCAAGTGGGAAGAAAGCGTTAGAAAGGATATAGCAAAAAAGAGCACTGCCACTAAGAAGTATACTAAGGAAGAGCAAGCCTTGGTCAATGCTCAATTAGAAAAAGAGTCCGAAATCAGACGCCATGTGAACAAGATCTACAATCAATTAGACCGCTCATGTTCAATCATTGATGCACTCTCGAAGACTGGTGATTTTATCGACAATGGTAAAAAACACTGGGTTGCTGCTGCCGTTAATGGCTTGCTTGGAGTTTTAGCCTACTCTGTCTCTGAGAATCTTGTCGGATCAATGTTGACTAACTCATTTCTCGCCCTTTCTAATGTGATTTCCTCGAAACTTGGTCAGTTGAAGTATTTTGTTGGTGTGGCAACCTTGAGAATCAATCACATCGGATCACTGGAAGAAAGATTTGAGCAAGAGGATATTCTGGACCTCATCTCAAGACTCCTTTTCAGAATTAAATTTTTGTCCGTTCAACAACCTTTCGATTTCATCACTTTGACCTACACATTGCCTTTGTTGTCTAAGGTCCTTGAAGATGGTAAGGCAGTTGCTATCAAGAATGCCCTAAAGCCCGTCTTAAAGAGTGAATTTGTTGAGGAAGATAAAGAAGAAGAACAGTTGATGCTTGTTCTAGAAATCATCAGTACACATGCTGAGCTATTTAGAGATCCTGCAATTCCTCGTGAGCAAGTCGTCAATGTCCTTCTTTCACTTTTGGCCCTTCCATCTAAATCGAAACTTGCTAAAGATTGTTTGATGACTCTATGTCAGCATATCTCGATCAACTTTTCTGGTGAAGATTTAGCTGTTCTTTTCAAAGGTTTGTTATCACCAGAGAGTTTTGTCCGTAATACTATTCTGGAAGCCTTGGATCAAGAATTTGATCTTTCAGAGCTCAATTATGCGGATCAAATTTGGATCGCATGCCATGATAATGAAGAAGCTAATGCTGAGATCGCTTTGACCATATGGGAGGAGAACGAATTCGAAGTCAGTATCGAATCAGTGAAGTCATTATGCTCTTTCCTTGACAGTGCCGACAGTGGTATCCGTCTTTCAGTTGCTAGAACGCTCTCTGATTCGATTCAAACGGTGTGTTCCAAGGGGGAGGACTTCCTGCCAATCTTGAATGACCTTTTGAATCTTTACTCAGAGAAGGCACGTCCACCAGAGCCTATCTTGGATCGTTTTGGCTTAGTGATTAAAAGCTCTCAAGACCAAAGAGATCCATGGGAACCTCGTAGTACCATTGCAATCACTCTGAAATATTTGGCTCCTCTCTTTGATAACGAACAAGTTGTTACTAAACTCATTGAATTCTTGATCAAAGAAAAGGCTCTTGGTGACAAGGAAGCAGCAGTGGCAGAAGAGTTCAAGGAAGCAGCAATTGCTGTAATTGACTCTCATGGAGCAGAGAGCGTTGAAGCTTTGGTGCCAGTGTTCGAAGCTGCATTAGCTCCTTCAAAGGACACTGATAAAACAGAGGAAACTGTCAGAGAGAACGTTGTGGTTCTTTACGGTTCTCTTGGTAGACACTTGAGTGCATCTGATCCTCGTGTCAGTACGATTGTTGACAGACTGCTCAAGACCCTTGTGGCTCCATCTGAGAGAGTTCAACGGGCTATTGCCGAGGTAATTTCTCCATTGGTTCCTCTCTTCAAGAATGAAGTTTCAGCTTATCTTCAAACACTCTTCGATGAACTTTTCAAAGCACAGAGCTTGTCCCGTAAACGTGGTCTCGCTTACGGAATTGCAGGTCTTTGTAAAGGTTACGGTCTTGCTTCCCTCTCCGAATTTGACATTATTCGTAACTTGAGCGATGCTGCCGAAGATAAGAAAGACCAAAAGCGTCGTGAAAGTGCATCCATTTTGTTTGAGTGTCTTTCAAGATGTCTTGCCAAGTTCTTTGAGCCATACGTTATCGAAACGCTTCCTATTGTCTTGAAGTCATTGGGTGATGCTGTTCCTGAGGTTCGTGATGCCACTGCAGAGGCATCTAAGGTCATTATGCAAAACACCACATCTTATGGTGTTAAAAAGCTGATCCCGTTGGCAATTGAAAACCTTGACGATATTTCTTGGAGATCAAAGAAAGGTTCTGTTGAGCTCCTAGGTTCGATGGCTTACTTAGACCCTGCTCAATTGTCTGCTTCTCTGTCTACCATTGTTCCTGAAATTGTTGGTGTACTAAATGACTCTCATAAGGAGGTTAGAAAGGCAGCTGACCAGGCTTTGAAGAGATTTGGTGAGGTTATCCGTAATCCTGAAATTCAAGCATTGGTTCCAATATTGATCAAGGCCATCGGTGACCCAGCAAAACATACCGAAGAAGCTTTGGATGCATTGATTCAGACCCAATTTGTACACTACATCGATGGACCATCTTTGGCTTTGATTATTCATGTGATCCACAGAGGTATGCATGATAGATCGGCCAATACTAAGAGGAAATCCTGTCAGATTGTCGGTAATATGGCAATCTTAGTTGATACCAGAGATCTCATTCAATACTTACATCAACTTGTTGCTGAATTGGAAACTGCGATGGTTGATCCTGTTCCAAATACCAGGGCTACAGCTGCAAGAGCACTTGGTGCTCTTGTTGAGAAGCTGGGTGAAGATCAATTCCCAGAACTTATCCCACGCTTGCTCGATACTTTATATGATGAAAGTAAAGCCGGTGACCGTCTTGGTTCTGCACAGGCTCTTGCTGAAGTTATCTGCGGTATTGGTCTTCGTAAGCTGGATGAGTTACTGCCAACTATTCTCTCTGGTGCTACTTCCTCCCGTGCATCTGTTCGTGAAGGTTTCTTACCATTGTTGCTTTTCCTTCCTGTGTGTTTTGGTTCACAGTTTGCTCCTTATATTAGCCAAATTATCCCTGCCATTTTGAATGGTCTTGCTGATACCGATGAGTCTATCCGTGGTACTGCACTGAAGGCAGGTAGACTGATTGTTAAGAACTACGCTTCCAAGGCTGTTGATTTGCTTCTGCCAGAACTTGAAGCCGGTTTGCTTGATGTCAACTACCGTATTCGTCTCTCTTCTGTTGAACTTACAGGTGACCTGTTGTTCCAAATCACTGGTATCAGTGGTAAAATGGAACTCTCTGAAGACGACAATGAACAGTCTGGTACTGTCAGTAAGCAGCTTGTTGATTCGCTTGGTCCTGAACGTCGTGATAGAGTCTTGTCCTTGTTGTTTATCTGCCGTTCTGATACAGCTGTTGTTGTACGTAACGCAGCCATCGACATCTGGAAGGCACTTGTTGCTAACACACCACGTACCATCAAGGAAATTTTGCCATCTCTCACCAGTATTATCATTCGCCGTCTTGCTAACCCAGATGAAGCACAGCGTAGTATCGCTGCCCAAACTCTTGGTGAGCTGGTGCGTCGTGTTGGTGGTAATGCAATGTCACAACTGTTGCCAACATTACAGGATTCACTTTCAACAAGCGACTCGGATGCCAAAGGTGGTATTTGCGTTGCTATTCGTGAGCTTATCGAATCATCGTCTGACGACACTTTACAAGAACACGAAGACATTTTCGTTGACATTATCAGATCGACATTGGTTGATTCTTCTCCATCTGTTCGTGAGGCTGCTGCTGCTGCATTTGACAACTACCAGGATCGTGTTGGTAAGTCAGCTGTGGACAATATTATCCCATTCTTGCTCAATATGTTGCAGTCTCCAGACTCCGAGAATGCTCTTGCTGCACTTCAAGAAATCATGACTACTAAATCAGATGTCATTTTCCCAATTCTTATCCCAACCTTGTTGGAGTCACCAATCGACTCTTTCAGAGCTCGTGCTCTCGGATCATTTGCCGAAGTTGCTGGTAAGGCTTTGTATAAGCGTTTGAGTGCAGTTATCGGTACCTTGATTTCTGAGTTGATACGTGATGACCTTGACTCAGAAACTGAACAGGAATTGAAGAGCTCATTTGACAAGGTGGTTCTGTCTGTTTCTGATGAGGAAGGATTACACCCACTATTACAACAGTTGATGTCGGTTATCAAGGGTGATGATTCTAAAAAACGTGCTGTCGTTTATGAACGTTTCGGACCATTCTTTACAGAAACCAAATTGGATTACAGCATATACACTCAGGACATTGTGACCCAGTGTATTTTATCGCTGGATGACAAGGATCCTGATGTTGTCAAGGCTGATATTATTGCACTGACAGCTGTTGTTAAGCAACAACCAAAAGATACTCTTGAAAGACTTGTCAAACCTGCTAAGGAAGCTTTGCAAATTACTGGTGTTTCAGGCACAGATCTTTATGGTTTCACCCTTCCAAAGGGTGTGAACTCCATCTTGCCAGTCTTCCTTCATGGTTTGATGTATGGTACAAGTGGAGAAAGAGAAGCAGGTGCTCTCGCAATTGCAGATGTTATTTCCAAGACCCCTGCAGCACAGCTGAAATCGTTGGTTACCGTCATTACTGGTCCATTAATCAGAGTTATTGGAGAGAAGTATCCATCTGATGTTAAGGCTGCTATCTTGTACGCTCTTGATATGATCTTTGGAAAGATTCCGCAATTCTTGCGTCCATTCATTCCTCAATTGCAGAGAACATTTGTCAAGTCACTTTCGGATGCCTCCAATGAGACTCTACGTTTAAGAGCTGCTAAGGCTCTTGGAACACTTATTGAGTACCAACCAAGAATTGATCCTCTGGTTTCTGAACTTGTCCTTGGCTCCAAGAATGCTGAGACATCCGGTGTTAAGACTGCCATGTTGAAGGCGTTACTGGAGGTCATTGCTAAGGCTGGTGAAAAGATGAGTGAAAGTTCGAAAACGAGTATATTGGATCTTGTTGAATCTGAGATGTTGGAAGCGGATGATAAACTAGCTGTTGCATATGCTAGATTAGTCGGTTCATTAGCCCGTATTTTGACTCCAGATGAGGCTGTTCAAATTTTGAAGACCAAGGTTTTAGATAACGCTTTGAGTGATGATTCTTCAAAGTTCTCGATCTTGACGTTGAACGCGTTCTTGAAGGATGCACCAAACCACATCTTCGAGAGTGGTCTACTCTCTGCTGTCACCGAGGTATTGACATCAGCTGCCAATTCCCCTGTTCCATACATCAGTGACAATGCCGTTGTTGCCATTGGTAAGATTTTCCTCTTACACGGTGAAACCTCATCTCCAGGCCAAAAGCCAACTGTTGAAGTGCCATTTGAACTGCCATTCCCACTGGTCTCGGATTTGGTGAATGAATTGGCATTGACGACTTTGAAGCCTGTGAGTAGCTCTCTCGATACACGTCGTTTGTCACTTGTAGTGATAAGAACCGTTGCAAGAACAAAGGGTGCGCTCCTGAAAGCTCATTGGGATGTGCTGGGTGCCAGTGTTTTCGCTTGTGTCCGTGATGTGATCATTCCTATCAAACTTGCTGCAGAGAAGGCATTCCTTTCGCTGTTTGGATTGGTTGAAGACGTTGAAATGTCTGAATTCCAAAAATGGTTTGCCGATGTCAACACTAGGGGTTCCTTAACCACTGTTACTGGTACTGTCATTCAAGCGAGATCCATTGGTGACTATGCCAAACGTGTTGGTGCCAGATTAGCTGGTGTTGAACGTGAGAGAATTGAGGCCGGTGGTGATGCTGAAACAGTCTTCAGCGACCGGATTGAAGATGAGAACGAAATCTGGGCTGTTGGTGGTGTTGATTTGAAAAAGTTTTGATTCGAAATCATTTACTCATCTACCTCTTCAATTGAACATTAGTATATAAGTAATACAGATTTTAACTAGAGTACAGTTTATATATGCGGAAACACAACTATAGAGAACCAGTTCCTTGAAGATCCTAGCAACATTACCAACCAATAAAACATCCCTATCACATGGATGATAAGCACACACCCACACACTCCATAGGGAAAACAATCTAGTGATGAAAGAGATCATAAAACAAAACATACACACGTGCAAAATTAACCATCTTGTAGTCTCTGGGACAAAGCCTTTTGTTCCTTCCGCCTCATTTCCTCCCCTCGTGTTGTTGGTTATAACTATAATAGCTCTTCTGGTATGGATCCTGGTAGTGGTACCCGTACGAGAACCCCTGCGAGCCTTGTGGTAACTCATGGCCCTGTTGATCCTGGGCCGCCGTGGCATTGGACGACGTATGTGGTGGTTGAGGAGTGCCTTGGGGAGTCGAATGTGCTTGGGACTGGGACTGCGAATGGGCATGGGCCTTTCTCGAATGCGCACCAGGGGTGTACGCTGACGACGTCACCGTCACTGGAACGATGTTCTTTGGGTTTGAGTTCGCTGCCGCCGTGAGCCCGCCAGAGTATTGAGGGCCCTGGTATAGCTCCTTGATATCCTTGACAAAGAGCGGGTACAGTAGATCAACAATGCCCTCGTTACGAGCAAGCTCGAGCGCCCGCTCAAAGGGGATCCATACGCCCTTAAGGTTCATCGCACCAATCTTCACAACGTATCGAACCTTCTCGGACTTGAGAATGCCATCACGACGGCCTCGTGTCATCCCGGCAACGTTCAGAAGCTTGGTGCCGTTGATGAAGTTCGTGTCCTCACGACGACTCACAGAGATGCCGCGGGACTCAACTTGGTAGCACACCGTCCCCTCATCCTCCCAAAACGTCGTGGTCAACTTTGGCCTTTGCGGCTGAATATGCTGTGGATGCTGAGCTTGTCCTGGTTGCCCCTGTTGCACTTGCTGTGCCGCCGCCGCTGCTGGTGCCAACTGTGAACTTTGTTGTTGAACGTGTTGCGCTTGTGCTTGTGCTTGTTGTCCCGGCCCGCCAACATGTTGGGGTTGTCCGTAGGGCTGCGGTTGTCCTTGCTGCTGCATCGGGTTATAATGCTGATACTGCAGAGGTTGGTACTGGTACTGTGGGTAGTATCCCGAAGCTGCGCTCGGTTGGAGTTGTTGCTGTTGTTGTTGCTGCTGTGGATGCTGATCGTAGGAGTAAAAAGAACGATGCTGTTGTTGCACCTGGGGCACTTGCTGGTGCTGTAGAGGTTGTGCCAGTGGCTGTGCTCCTGGTTGCTGTGCTGCTGTCGACTGTGTTTGCTGCTGTGGTGCTAGAGGTGTCGCCTGTTGCTGGGCATTCAAGGCCCCAGCAGTGCTCTGGGACGGGACTCGTCCATGGCCATAGTAGCCATACGAGGACTGATCGTTCTGCATTGTAGCTCCTCTCCTTCTCTCTCGTTCGGTACAGGTAGTTATGTCTCTTTCTGATAGATACAAGCCGTGGTTTTGCTTGTTTCCGTTTGTTTTTCAAAGAGTTGCACGCCTGGAAAACTGTTTTTCGCCTCGTTTTTTTAAGGTAAATTCCGAGAGTGTTTGTTTTCGTCCTCTTCTCTTGTTCTTGATAGGGTCTTTCCCTTGCTCTGTGATCTCCTTCCTTACAAATTCTCTGAAGATTCAACTCAATGGATCAATGACCAACGTCTGATGGTGTTGCTCAATACTCAAAAGAAAAAAAAGGGGGAAGAGACAGCGTGTCTGCTCGTTTTATAGCTATACGTTTTGATCTGGTCAGGATGTGTGTCCGTGTCTGTGTGTGTACACTTTGTGTTTTGTTTCTTTTTTTGTCTGTGCTTTTTTGCTTAACTTGCCTGTCCGTTTGTCGCCCGCCAGGAAAATAGGAAGATCACACTCGAAGGGGAAGGTCAAGGACAGAAAGAGAATCCAAACTACAATGTGAATTTTGTGTTTTTTTTTTCGTTTTTTGCAGTTTGGCCATTTTAACCAAGGGGCGGAAACCGGGTTATAAGTAGGTCTTTGAGTTTTGTAAGTCCACGGTTGGACAAATTTCTCAAATTCATGCGTTGTGGTGCATAGGCACCAGCGGCTGTGCGCGGTGACTACATCGTAAAGCATCGAACCTACCCGTGTTTCAAAGCTCGAGTGCGTATCAAATATGTATGACTACATACCTGTTGTTGATGCTCTTTCGTACAACTGGTGCCTCCACCACGGCGACATACATAAGGGAGTAGCATATATGACGGTTGCATCCTTGGGGGGGGGGCTCCCTTTAGAATGATTTGTGGAACGTGTGTGTATCAACTGCAGCTGAGGTTTCAGTTCGATATAACTCGAAATCATTTGAGACGACTGGAGAGAGCCCTAACTACCCACATCAAGGAAGAGAGGGGAAACCCGGCCCATTCGCTTCCTTCGATGTTCTTCGTGAACGGTTTAACCGCTTTTGCAGTTCTAACTTTCCAGCTCCCAATAATCGTCATTCGTACAACTTTAATGCTAATGGCCTTGGTCCGACACCAGACCATACGTTAAAAAATAAAAGTGATGGTCATGTACGCAAAGCTCTCCGTAGTTGCACAACGCCAATGGCTTGATCGATTCTACAGAACAGCGGTCGAGACTTGAATTATTCGGGAAGGAGGGTGATGCAAATTGGAAAGGGAGACTGGTCCAGGGGACCCAAAGGACAAAGTCTGGTACTGGCGTGGACAAGTTTACAGCAGGCACACTTCGTCTATTGGCATATGAAAACGTTCTGAGCCACCAAAACTTTTCTCTCCAACGCTTCCTGCCCGCTGAGCATTCGCTCGCAGGAAAACACTCAGATCTGAGCGTCAGTATGCCTACTTTGCTGCTAATGTAGTCAAATTGAACGCATACTGATGCAATACACCCGCATTAAAGCGCGCAAAGAGGCAGTGAACCTACTCCCGGAAGCATAACACCTCTCTAAGGTTCTGTAATGGGGAATTTTCGCGGGAAGAAGTTACAAAAAAGAAACGGGAGGTGCATAAGCGCCTAAAAAGGTTTCTAAATTCTCTGCTTTCCCACTGGAGCAATTTTGCTCTCTCACAAGGTCAAAGGAGAACTGCCTTTAAGCATGGGCAATAACTCCATCGTTCAACGTGTAGTCCTTGTACAAGTGAATTGGATCCAAGATTGCGGCGTACGATTTCAAATATCTCCGTAAAGTTCGTCGTGGTTGTTATAGTTTTTTCTTACTTTTCGCTTACACAACTTCGAATGAATTACGGGTGGGCCAGCCGTATAAAAAACGTTACAGCGTGGCATGTACTTGCTGTCTGTCCGTGTGTGGGTGTGCTTTTAACTTTTCATTTCTGGCCCGAAACCAAGGAGGCGAGAGAAATTGAACAAAAATCCAGGACGTTATCTCGAGCCCACGCAAGCCGAACCTGATTCACTTTGTTTATACCTTTCCATACAAATAATATTCGAGCCAAATAACACAACTCCATGTCAGATACTATGTATGACCCCTATCAAAAGCTTGTGGTATACATATGTGATATAACTTGTCTCACATACCGGCTTCTATTACAGTTCAAACTCTAAATTCTAGTGTACGTGCATAGAAGTGGGACATTTCATACAGAGGGAGTGAAACCCTATGAAGGGTCCTTTCGGTTCGCTGTGTGAGTTTCTTGCTCTTTCGTCGAGCACATTGTAACTCAGCAACTGTGAGGATGTTGTTACTTATCACCTGAATCCACGTCATCAGTATGAGACGTTTCTTGGGCTACCCAGGGCTTTTATTGTGTCCGTAGATCCAGTCTCGATTTTTGAGTTCCAAACCAGTCCAGCGCTTTAACTGTCCCTCCCCCTAAGCTCACATAGGCTCTCCCGCGTACAATTCATGTTTTGCACTTTGGAGTTCGTTTTGGTCGCCAAAGGTAAACAACAAACGCAAGTTACTGTGCGATAATATGGAGACACGTTCTATGAATCACACTTGCACTGGCTCAGCAGGACGTAACATCTGCCATCCATACAGAACAATCTTGAGTACGCTATGGTGGTGCTCATGCCATACACTGACCGCTGCCTCGCAGGAGATGGTTGGTTGCTTTTAGACGTTGGCTGCAAAGGCGGTTAAGCCTTTCGAAATGCTCTAGCATGTGTCTCATTGTGCCGACAGAGTTCAAAAAAGTCCAAACCAATGCAATCATAATCCTTGAACTGATGTCCTCACTCCTTGAGATCATCTGGCACACATATCGCATTCAAGGTAGCGAGATCCAGCACTATCCTCCACCAGCCTGTTGAGTTACCAAACAGTGTAACTATGTGGTCAATTGGGTTTTAGCTCCTGGAGTGATGGAAAAAAAAAGAAACAAAATATTTGATCTCGGTAGTCCTGCAGTACCTTCCAAGCAGATGAGTATCTTAGAAGGTTTAAACCTTCTTCCATGCCGGCGGAGTCGTCCGTAGAACAGAACGTTGTGGATATTATCGTGGCAGACAATCCATGTTACTATACTTTAGCATGTAATTGTACTGGGCCCACTTGTTCAGTTGACAAACTCTGGTGGAGAAATCGGAATGTATGACATTCCACAAAAATTTTAAGCACTGCATGGATCGAATTGATAAACTCCCTCAACTCCCGAGCATGATCAAAACAACGCCGGGTAAAGTTGAGGTTCCGCCATGGAAAGCAACGTAAGGTAACTTGGGTTCAACTAACACTTGCCCGCCCACGCATGGGAGCTGTAAACGTTGCACAAGCTCAAAACTCTGTTATTTTTCTTTTTATACACGCGCATATCAGTCTGTAGATTGCTTGAACTTTGATCCCCTTTCAACTCATTAGCCATGCACATCACCGATGTTTTGGGGTTTTTCCGTAGCGTGGCCACCTCTTTCCGCGGCGGAGATTGCTCTCTCTGGTAACGGGCTCTCCTACGTACTGCATTTTCCCTGCCTCAGTCCGTCGGCCATATGTATTGTGTACATAAGTAAATCATACAGGCAAATCCCAAACTTTCAGGGTACTATATCACTCATCAACACTTGTCAACAAGCATCATACTGAGAAGAATAGACTGAAAGATTTGGTCTGTTTTGGTCTCTGTTGGTTTCTGTTGGTTTCTGTTGTTCAAAGCTGGATGATGTGTCTTGGAACTAAGACAGGCTGAGCTGGGGTTTTATGAAACCCGAGACAATCCATGTCAGTCCCTAGTTCGCATAAGGAGACAGATTATGACAGCAGAAGTACTACAAATATAGAGTTGACAACGAAAAAAACAACACTATGTTGGGGAAAGCAGTGTTCGCATTCCTTGATCGTGACTAGGGAAATCTCTTCAGATGTGTCCTTTGTTATCTTGTTTTTCTGGTTTGAACTTTGTTTTTGGGGTCTTTTGACATCCGCCTTTTGTGAGATTCTCGTAGTCCTGGTTAACAGTTTTAGTTCAATGTTTACCATTTCGATTCTCGCTAGATGTACACAGTAAGTGTCTCAAAGATATACCGTCTGCTTGAATATACATGCTGTGTATATATACTTTTAGATAATAAATCACGCTCTGCGCATGAAACCCAAAAATTTCTTCTTGTCCCTGCTCGTAGAACTTCCAGGAGCTCTTCTATCATCAGTACCGGCTGTTGATGGTTTCCGTCCAGCAGTTGAGCTTAAAGATACAAGCGAGCCTATCCTTGGAAGTTTGGAACGAAGTGTTCTTCTGGATATGATAGACTCGGTATCAAATGCAGAGGAAGCTGCAGTTGCAGTAGTGCCGGCAGTTGCCGTTGTCTCAATGGACTCACCTCTTCTCATAGTAGCTGATTGTAACTCATGATCTATATCAACAGATGTAGACTCTTCTGACTTCACTGATTTCACTGATCGAGGTTTCAGTCCTTCATTTTCAATATTGGCAGGTGTCAATGTCATGTCACGCTCCAAATCGCTCGCTAACAGCCTATTACCAAATTCCTCAAGTTCCTTTAAGCATTCGACTTTCTTCTGCTCAAGAGCTTTGGACATGTCCAGTGCATTTGAACAGCGTAACAACATTTTCATATCACATGCAAGCGCAGCTGTTTCATATATTATTTTCATTAGAGAATCATCTGGTGGCGGTGAATCTGGTGCTGCAATCTTCTCCCATGTAGCCAAATGTTCCTCATCTTCTTCTTCTTCATCATCTTCTTCTTGGTTGTTCTTGTCATTGGTTTTGTCTGTGGAAGATTTCTTTTTCACTGTAACATTGCTCACTAGACCAAGTCCAACACCTAAATCATCGGAATCAGATGTTGTTTTGTTATCGGTATCGTTAGGTGACGAGCTTGATTCTTTCACTTTCTGCTTTTCCATTGAAAATTCACCTTCTGGTACTGTTAAAACAATCTTACTGTTCTGAGTCACATCTGCATTGTCTTTTGGTGATAAAGAATCATCGTCAATGACACTTGATACTGTTTTTGATAATGGATCAATACTGTCCTCAACCTCAACCTTCTTTAATGATGATCGAGACATAGAATCTGTACGAAACTTGATTGGGGATCTGTTGACACTCACGTGCTCCACTACACTGTTCTGATCATCACTCTCTTCAGTATCATAATCCATGTGTCTTATTTCCCTTGACAAGCTTGATTTACCAAGACGGGTACGACGAGCAGATAAACGTCTTGGTGATGCGTCACAGCTGCTTCTGGGGGATGACGGTGTGCTGGTTATAGTGCTGGCTTTCCGCAGTAACTCCAAATTGAAATACCCATCGTCTACGGTGGCAAGGTATCCTTCAATTTGGTCAAAACTGGACTTAATATGAGCATGAGTGGTGCAAAACGTGTTGATTAAGTCATCATTGTTATGACAAACTTCATGGAGCTTCTTTTTAAAATCGTTAATCATGTCAACATATGCTTGCATCAAAGCGCTCTCTTTCTTCGAAATAACTGTGTAAATCACCTCTGAAATCAAATCGTAGAGCAATGGGAGCTCATAGAATTTCGCAATCAGTAACATATCTGTTGTAGTGGGTGTTAAAAGCCACTTATCACCCAATTGTCCGGTAAACAGAAACTCTGTGAGGGCTCTCACTGTTACTGTATGGAAAGGAAGATAAAGAGCTCTTGGAATCAATAGAGGCTCTAAAAACCCTTTCAAAGTATCATCACTGAGTAGTTCGGACCCGGTGTTTGAAAAGGTTTCATCATCGATGTTCGGAACACTTGAAGATCTCGAGGTTGCGCGTCTTTTTAACAGTGAAACCGGTGTTTTCAGCTCTTTGGGTCTCACAGCAGACGTGTTTGTACCTCCTGATGCTAAGGAAGCACCACTTATAGATCCTCTCATTGGATCGCGAAGATAGTCCCTCGAATTCATTTGCTTCATGGGTACTCTCATGTCAAGCGGCGGCACCGGTTCTGTAGGTTCAGGCTGGACGGGTGGAATATTCTCAAAATTGACCGAGTCTGGAATTTCAGATGTGGATGTAGACAGGATAGATTCTGCTCCTATTGAAACCACGCTTTGTTTTCTCGATTGTGTATCACCAGAAGTTGAAAGAGGTGTTAGTGGAGTAGGAGGTGTCTTTTCTTGGAAGGGAAGGCGAAACTGTGGTGAATCAGCCCTATCCCGAGTATACGACGCTTTGTTAAGCATAAGAACAGATCTCTTATTGGATCCTGACATGACTGAGGTGGTGTCATCTTCCTCATCTGTAGGCTCTTTGCCATTTTCCAAAGTTTGTACAGCCCTCGAGTAAGCTTTTGCAAGTAACATATCAAAGCAGCGGCCCCATCTCTTTCTTAACAATACGAGAGGAACATTAACCCTATCTCCATCTGCCGTTACAAGTTCGAAATCCGTTAGAGAAGATCCAAATCTCTCGAAAGCGCTTCTCCCAAGGGTCACAGCATACGTCGGGAATACAGACCCCATGGTCCTAATCTTAGATGTTGGTGCAATATATTTCGAGTAAGCCTCAAACGTTTTGCTCTTCTTCAGATTGCCAAAATTTGGGGTGGGTTGTTCTTTTCCTTCATTGTCTGCCACCCCACAGAATGAATTTATCATCGGTTGATTCACCAGCACCATTGTGTCGAATTTCTGAATGGTGTATCCCTCTGACGAGTCTTTTGGGCGGGTCGCTGATCCAAGAATTAACACTTTGTGATGGGAATGCCATGAGAATGATCTCCAAAGGTACATGTTTGTTCTTCTCTTGTTGTTATCAACGTTCAAACGACACCATTTATGAGATGGTCTATTGAATGAAAACACTTCAAATTCCTGTGTAGCTGAATTCGTACCTGAAACTATAATGTTTGATCCAAAGACATCTCCTGTTGGGCGACACAGGCCACGGGGCACAACACTCTTATTGCTGTGGAAAGATTGTGATAAGGGTAGTCTCATACCAGAAGCGTTAGGTGATATTGGCAATGACACTATTGGATTTTTGCCATGTTCGATCACAGATATATCTTGTGACAGGACGAAAAACTCATCTTTCAAGCCTTCTCCGGTTTCTTTTGAAGAGCCTGAAATGACAAAACTATTGTCTTTGGACATCTTTAGTTTTGCCCTTTGCGTCCCCGCGGATACATGGGGATCGACCGATGATCCAACACTGTCATTTCTTGTCTTTAATTCGTTCAAGCTTAGTTGCATCTCTGTGTTGTTAACGTACTGTTTGGATTCCAAATCAAATATGGATATGTGCATCAGTTCTTGGTTCAGTTCGCCTCTTCCTCCAATGATTGCGATTGCAGGGTGTTGCTTGTGATCCGCTGGTGATTTATAACTCACTGCAAGAATACTATGATCGAATCGGCTAACAATGCCAGAGTGCAAGCCATCGTCGAGGCAAACCCAGGCACCAGTGTCTATAGTAAGCTCCCAGAGGTCATTCGTGGGGACAAGTTTGTCTGCGTTATGGCTATCAAGGCACAGCCCGCCAAAGAGGAAGATGGAGTCTCCTGTAAAGGTCAGCGAGTGAAACAGACGGGGACAAGGCTTCACCGTGTTGTCTCGAAGGAGAAACCTGTGCCAGCTTCTCGTGATGATGTTCAGGTAAAAGATCTCGTTTGACAGAAAGTCGCTCCACGGTGTGTCTCCACAGCGTTCCCTCAGCGCCTGCTCCACCGTCTCTATCGACACCTTCGGTAGCGCCAGCTCCATAGCCAGCCCGCCGTGTATAACAACCGCTGAATAAGTGTAGGTCAGCGCTGCGCCAACCCTGGCGCTGAGATTAAGACGAGGATCAGGGCTCTCGTCAGGGAGCGAAAGCGAGTACACTTTGCTCTCAGATGGAAGCAATGGCGCCATATCGATGTGTGTGTGTGTGTGTGTTCCTTCTGGCTCGTTGATTATGATTGTTTACCCTTGTTTCTGGCGATTTTGTATCCTCTTGCTCAACTCCTTTGTTGTCTATGTGGGTGTGTTTTTTTTGGTTTTTGTGTATTGGGATATGTCAATTCCTTCTAAACAAATGTTTGTCCGTTGCCTGTTGGTGTATGAGAGTTTGTCTTAACCTCGAAATGGGACAAACCGAACAAGACGAACGAAAAAAAATCCGCCCAACGTCAGCACTGGTGCATGAAAGTGCGGGCCCATAACTTCTGAGCAAAGTTAAACACAAAGAGGTTTTGGCGGGCTGGGAAGGCGGACACGTCGGAATTTCTATGGGACGGGGAAGGAGAGAGCATTCCCGAAGGAGTTACGCTTGGTTGAGTTGAGAGGAACAGCAGGGAAGAACAGCAGAGAGAAACAGCGGACATGAACAGCGGAGGAGGACTACTGTGTTGAGGTGTCTTATTTTGTTGCGCGTTTGTCCGTTTTGATGGTGTACAATTTTTGTAGACTTTACACTACGTGATGGTCCCCCATGCCACCATCGAGGCCACCATCCAGGCCGCCATGGCTGAGTGTGGTGGAATTTTCCAGTAGGGCATTCACTGTAGGCTCTAACCCGGTATTCAAAGAGTACCTCGTTCAGTGGCTGTGGCCGTATGTTTTGTTCTGCTAGCCCTTCTAGAACGCCGCTATTCGCCTGAAACTTTTAAGAGTACATTTTGTATCAGTTTTATCGTGCCGGACTCCGGCGCGTATTAAACTCGCATGTACTACAAACCACAACCAATCAATAAGCGGGAAATTTCGAGGAATTCGTCGTGAATATCGCCATCTGAAGGTCACTGCAATATATAGCACACTGCCCTGATTTCGATCGAATGAATCATGTGTCGGCTGGCATTAACTCCAGTGTCGAATATAATAACTCTTTGAGGTGGTGATCCATATGCCCTTTCCTGCCGAGAGCTACGCATTTGGATACGCATTGGGATATGCACTTTGCATGCTAGACCTGTAGCTGTGACACAGTGGCACTGGCAAGTTGTTGAGCTTGTGCGTTATATTATAATGGAAAGTATCGGAAAGAATTCTGTCGGTTTTTAAGGAAAAGCTTATACTTTCCATACAATTGAAACCGATTGCTTCGAATCAGAGAAATATGGGGTCTATCGATAATCTTAAAGCCCGGAACCAGACCTCCATGCTCTACGAAACAACGCACAAAGGAGGGTACACCAGAACACCAGGAGAATGCACTTGTCAGGGTATTAACAAAGTCGAGCCAAGATACCTCTAGCATGGCTATCTGGACCGATCATTGTGGTTGTAGGGGTTGGTTTCATCAACGTTTGCTGTGCAGCGTGTGCTATGTCTACTATTCAAACAAAAGGGAGCTGGAAAAGGAAAAAGATATTCCCAGTTATAGTTCATTTGAGGTGTGTAGAGTTGTATCTCAGATAACAGGTTGCGCTATGTTAGGAAATATCTTCCCTTTGTTAAGTCGTAGCTCGACTGATTGAACATGATGGATGTTATATCATGCGCATCTCGGCACAGTCTTAAAAACAGCTGCAAAATCAAAATGATGCTTGGAGCACGCTGATGAGCCCCAAGTTTGTACGGATTGAGTTATAGAGGGTCTCCAGAAACTTCAACATAGAGACTGTTTCAGGAACCAAAAGCCTCTAAACGAAACCTCCATTGTTGGCTTGCATACAGTTTAGCCTGAAATTAAACCGTTTCAAAAAGATTTGATGCCTTATAGCCTGCGAATCACAAAGGAAATGAAAGGACTAAGGAGATGATAACACAACTTGCAGCTTGGTGACTGGATATATTGTTCATGTCCAAATTCAGAATTCTCTACATGACAACTTGGCTTTTGTTCGCTTTTTGGAAAATATTAAATATTCTTCTTAGTTCGACTCCGATGATTATTTGAGTATATATTAGTTCAAGATCTAACTCTTAAATTAAAAAAATATTAGTGCAAACTTTTGGTATTTATCACTAAATTTCAATGAGTATGATCATTCCTGTCTCACAAGTATACATAAATATGATATTTAAACAAATGAATAATGATCTAAACCAGAATACTTAACAACATGGAATAGTTGATCTTAACACCTGGACATTAAGAGTTTGCGCCACATTACACCTGGACACCACACTGCTCCAAATAAACCAACAAGACTGTTTCATAGATTACAGTTGGTACACTTTCTTCAATCAGGGCCACGAAGGGTAGTTGGAAATGACAGTCACGGTAGTTCGATCCCGGTAAAACCATGGTTGACACCAATATGCCCTGTTTTTTTCTCCCATAAAATATATTTGACGTCGAACGTGTAGCATGCCTTTCAACACCTATATATATAACACCGTGGACAAGATATTCATAGAGACGTGGTTATCGTTGACGACAAACGCCATCTTTATATCTCTACTCCATTATGCAATTAATGTTACATAAATGTACAAGTGAAACGAATAATATAAAACTGTTACTCTTTCTAAAATTCTAAAATCCAAATGGATTATCAGCCGAAGCTTTACTGAGATCAGCCTTTTTAAAACCATCATTTGATGGTGTATTACCAAACCCATAACCAGTAGGCTGCGCTTCCAGTGGCTGTTGCTGAGAATAACCTCCGAATGTTGCTTGTGGCATCTGTTGTTGAGGTTGCTGATTAAACAGAGCTGGGGCTTGACCAAATGAAGTTTGAGGTTGACCAAATGGTTGCTGACTAAACTGTTGTTGACCGAATGACTGTTGTTGTTGTTGTGGTTGTTGACCAAACTGTTGCTGACCAAACTGTTGCTGGCCAAACTGTTGCTGGCCAAATGACTGTTGCTGCTGTTGTGGTTGTTGACCAAATGGTGTTGAGATAGATGCATTCTGGAAAGATGTTGTTAAGTTATTCATCTGTTGACCATATATAGGTCCATTTGTGTTGAAAGTTGGCGGAGATGATAAGCTGTAACCAGTTGGGTTAGGACCGAATGGCAATTGCTGCTGCTGTTGTTGGAAACCCGTGTTTTGTACACCAAATGAGGTAGTTGGAGGTTGGTTCATCTGCTGTACACCCAAAGCTGGCTGAGTAACACCAGTCATCTGAGCCCCAAATGAGGTTTGCGGTAATCCACCAGTCATTTGAGCACCGAATGAGGTTTGCGGTAATCCACCAGTCATCTGAGCCCCAAATGAGGTTTGTGGTAATCCACCAGTCATTTGAGCACCGAATGAGGTTTGTGGTAATCCACCAGTCATCTGAGCCCCGAATGATGTCTGTGGTAAACCACCAGTAACCTGTGTACCGAATGATGTCTGAGGTAAACCAGTTGGTTGTCCAAACGATGTCTGAGGCAAGCCACCAGTTCTTTGCAATGGAAGCAAACCACCAGTGAGAGCAGGATTAATTCCACCTGTTCTTTGCAATGGTACCAAGCCACCAGTTAGAGCAGGATTCATTCCTCCAGTCTTCTGTAATGGGATCAGACCACCAGTTTTTTGCAATGGCACCAGACCACCAGTTAAGGCAGGGGCCAAACCACCAGTCTTTTGTAATGGCATAATTGTTGGCTGCAACCCAATGATACCAGTCTGCTGAATTGGGAGATAGACAATACCACCAGTCGTTAAAGGTAGAATGTTTCCACCACCAGTCTTGAAAGGATCCAATAGAGCACCTGTGGCCTGTGCAGCTAAGCCTGTTGGTTGAGAAGCAATGGTGCCTGTCTTTACTGGTTCAATTGGTTTAGCAGGCGTAGCAGGCGTAGGAGCAAATGATTTTGCAGAAGAGGCCGTTTTTGTTGGTTCTAGTGGTTTCAAATTGACCAAGTCTTGCATAGAGCCAGTAAACTGTGCTTGTATAGGAGCAGTGGAAGCCTCAGCCTTCACAGCAGGTTTAACAGTCCAGGCATCATCATCAGTAGGTTGTGGTTGTGCAGCTGTTTTCGTTGGCGATGGAAGAGAACCAGCTACTTGATTAGCAGAATCAGGACGGTTAACTTTCAAAGCACCTGTAGAGTCAGTAAAGAGACCACCGTTCGATGTAGACGAAGCACCTGCGACATCCGCCTTCTGTTGACGATCAAACTTCTGGTCAATGTACTTGGTGACCCTGATTATATCACCTTCACGTAAGCCCAATGTTCTCAACACTGATGCATCGATAGATTCGAGAATGCTTGGGTCAATCTGTTCATTCGAAAAGTTGTTGCTATATCTTTGACACTGGTTGACATCAACACCAGCTTCCAAGAAGAATTCAAACCAGTCATATTCTTCTTTCTTAGAGCCAGAAACAGCTCTTGAAGATGGTCTGTCCCTCGACGTTGATCTGTCCCTTGAAGTTGATCTACTGTAGTCATTTTCTTTGGAAGCCATATCAGCAAGTTTTCTCTTAGCATCAGCCAGCTCATGGCGCAAACGATCTCTTTCTTCCTTGTCCATTTCACGTTCTCTTCTCTCCAGTTCACGTTCTTTTCTATCACGTTCACGTTCAAGTTTCTCACGCTCAGAAACCCTCTCCATTCTCTCACGCTCATACCGAATACGATCACGTTCCTGCTCATCACGCTCCTTTCTCTTGCGTTCACGCTCCTTTCTAGCTCTTCTTTCACGATCGCTTTCACCAGTGTCCTTCGAGGATCCACGCTTGGCTTTGTAAGACTCTAATGACATTCCTGTAACTCTTTCAACAAACTCCAAGTCTGCAAGTGAAAGCTTTCCTGCATCAACTGCAATCTTCACTCCATTTGTCTTGTGCAGGTGGATTTTACCTTCAACGACACCGAGGAACTCGGCATCCACTCTAAAAGTACCCGAGCGATCCTCCCAAGTTCTGACACGAGAACTCTTCGGTAAGGACAACTTTGATCTCTCCTCTTCTTCCGGCTTGGCCTTCTTCAAGTTATCCTTCGATTTGGATCTTGACAGTTTGAACTTACTGGCCAAGGAGCTCTTTGGTTTCTCTTCAGCCACGGGCTCGACAAACTGTGCAGGAACAACACCCGCCTTTCCAGTGACGGTGTTTTGCACCAGCCACCAATCCTTAGACTTTGTGCTGTTTATAATGGTGACAGAATCACCTTCACGAACACTCAACTCATCAGCACCTTCTGCTTCAAAGTTGTAAAGGATTTTACCGCTTCTCTTCTTCGAGCCTTTCGACGATGAAGCATCCTTGATCTCTTTCAACCCCTTTTGGGAAACCGAACCTTTCAAATCACCCAGCACTGACAGTATCTGGGCTGCAACCTCATTAGTACCGGCGTGGATCTCCAGCGAGTAGAGAGGGTCCTTGAACTCGAGAAAGACGTGCTTTTTCTCAGAACTGAAAGAAAGGAGGTCCTGTGCTCTCCATTGCTGTGGGGATCCTCCGTTGACAGAGTCTGGCGAGAAGTAGATGTTACCATTACCAATTGCAAGCATGGCCTTCTTCTTCTTTCTACCGTCAACCTCACTGACCGCCCACGTGTACAAGTCACCGACATCATCGTTGAAGCGCTGTGATGACGAGGAGCCGTCCTGCGTGGTTGGCCTTGATGGCTTTGGCGGCGGCGCCTCTTCTTCTGAGGAGTAACGACGAGAGCCTTGATCAACGGACTGAGGTCTTGGCTTAGAAGGCAACGCAGGAGGAGTCTCCTCCTCTTCCTCCTCGTGGTCGTCGTATCCCTGCTGTGTATTATCAGAGCTCGTTGGTCTGTCGTATCTTTGCGGAGGCGGTTGCAAGACCGGTTCTGGCGCAGCCTTTGCCGGCGTGGACGCAACCGTTGGATGCGATGGTGGTGGTGGAAAGGACTCAAGTGGCTGCGATTGAGCCACTGGGGCGGCAGTGGCACCAGCAGAGGCACCAGGTCTCATCTCGATGTAGTTTGCCGGGACAAAACCGTACTCTTGCGACTTCGATACCAGGATCCAATCCGGGTCCTTATCGTCGTACACTTGGAACTGGTCGTTCTCCTTGAATGAAAGCTCCTCATCTGTCTGTCTATCATAGTCATACAGTGCACGAGCAGTGCCAATGGCATCGGCAGGAGCGATATAATTGGAGGGAACCAACCCAACAGGCTCCTCGGCGTCAGCACCCACAACTCTTTTCTTCACAGTCCACCAATCGTCAACCTCCGACTTCTCCAGCAGGTACAGGAGGTCGTTCTCGTCAATCGCCAGCTCCTGGTCGTTCTGAGGCACGTACGCATACGTCGCCTTGTAGATACCCAGAAATGACATGGTCCAATGCTACAGAGATCAAATGGCAATTGGAGATCTTTGGTGGAAAAGGCAGAGTATCAAGCAAACAGAAAAACACCCCCCCCCGTTTTTGTCCAAATTTTATGTATAGGAGTGCTTTCGCTAGCGGGTGGGCCCTACGGGCCAAAACGAGGAAAAAGACAACACACAGAGGCAGAGGGAGCGGAATCTGCGAGGAGCAGGCACAAAAGTCGATTTTCTTGCGCGCTGAAACGGCGTTGGTTGTGTTTTCCGGTGTAGTTTTCCGGTGTAGTTTTCCGGTGTGTTTTCCGGTGTGTTTTCTGGTGTAGTTTCCGCACGGGGCACACACCCGCACACCCAGACACACCAGCCGGAGTGTCCCAAACGGGAACAAATTCGTTGCAGACGACGCCTACGCCTTTTCGTGTGCTGCCCATGAAATAGGGGAAAAGCCAACGGGGAGCAGGCAAAGTGTCAGCGCATGACAGTAGCGCACGGGAAGGGAGAGTGGGCTGGTACAAAACGAGCGGTTGTCTCTTCAGGGAAAGGCAATTTTTACACGGAGGAGGAAAATTTAATACCCAGCGCTACGACAACAACCCGATATAAACGGCAAAATAAAGGGCGCTTGGTATAGCAGTTGAATGATCAGAACCTTCACCATGTCCAACCAAGTTGCTAGTAAGCCTTCGATGTTCTCTCTTGCGTCTGGCCGTGCTGGGACAAGCGCGCCAGTGGCGAGTGCTAGCGCCGGCCACGGTAGCGGTGGCGCCCATAGCATCAACAGGAGCTCAAGACCGTGCTCGAACTGTACGTGTTCTCCAGGGTTGTTGTCCAGACAGAACAGAAGAAAGTCGTTGTTCATGCACCAGCTGTCGAGAAGAAAGAGTTCTACTCCCGGGTCTCCAAGAAGATCCATGTCCGCGGAGAGCATTTACTCTTCAGATACGCTGTGCACCACGAAGAACGTGAACACCACCAAGAGATTGGAAAAGTTGAGGTTCAAGATGAAGGAGAACGACCTGGCGGTTTACATTGTTCCTAGCGAGGATGAGCATAGCTCCGAATACGTCTCGTCCGCTGACCAGAGAAGAAGCTTTATCTCTGGGTTCACTGGTTCCGCCGGGATTGCCATCATCACCAGGGATTTGTTGAATTTCAACGACATTCCAGAGGGTAAGTCTGCGTTGAGTACTGATGGAAGATACTTCAACCAGGCTGGCCAAGAGCTGGATTTCAACTGGGTTTTGCTCAAGCAAGGTGCAAAGGGCGAACCAACATGGCAAGAGTGGGCAGTCCAAGAGGCGATCGAACAGTCCCTTGGACTGGGAAAGAAACTTGTCAAGATTGGTATTGATCCGAAAGTTATCAGCTACAAGGATGTTGTCAGTTTCCAGAACACAATCAAGACTAAAGTGGATGAAAACGGAGAAGGATCTAAAGTGGAACTCGTTGCCATTAAAAACAACTTGGTTGATGCTATCTGGGGCGAGTTTGAAGAAGTTCCAAAGAGGCCTTCAAACAAGTTGATCCATTTGACAAAGGAATACACCGGTGAAGAATTCAAGAGCAAACACCAACGACTGATCACGGAACTGAACAAGCACAACTCCAATTCCATCTTATTGTCCGCTTTGGATGAGGTTGCATGGCTCCTTAACTTGAGAGGTTCTGATATCGAGTATAACCCTGTCTTCTTCTCTTATGTGATTGTTGACGGTGAGACCACCAAGTTATTCACCGATAACCCATACTCCGATGATGTTAAGACATTCTTTGCTGAAAATAACATTACCGTGCTTCCATATAATTCCATTTGGACTGAACTATCTTCGGTAACCACTGCGTTGAAGCAGAAGTCTGCATCCATATCCATTCCAGAAACTGCGTCTTGGGAAATCGTGCGTAATTTGAACAACTGTAAATACAGACAGATAGTTTCACCAGTTATTCTGTTCAAGTCTGTGAAGAATAAGACCGAGATTGAGAATTTCTCCAAGGCACAGTTGAAGGATGCCGTTGCAATAGTGAGGTTTTTCGCATGGCTTGAAGACAAACTGGTTCGTGGCGAAGGGTTGATTGATGAGTATGCCGCTGGTGAAAAGCTCATTGAATTTAGACAAGAACAAGAGCATTACATGGGCAACTCATTCGAAACCATCTCCGCAACGGGTGCAAATGCTGCGGTGATCCATTATGCTCCACCAAGTGAGAACTCTGCGATGATTGACCCTTCAAAGATTTATCTTTGTGACACTGGATCCCAGTTCATGGAAGGTACCACTGATATTACAAGAACTTTACATTTTGGTGAACCAACTCAGGAGGAGATTGATAACTACACGTTGGTGTTGAAGGGTAACTTGGCCATCGAGCAGTTGGTATTCCCAGAAGGTACAAACGGTTATTACATCGACATTCTTGCCAGACAGTTCTTATGGGCCAAGGGGTTAGACTATAGACATGGTACTGGTCACGGTGTTGGTTCTTATCTCAACGTACATGAGGGACCTATCGGCATTGGATTGAGAAATGGGTTGATCTCATACCCATTGGAGAAGGGAAACATCGTCACCAACGAGCCTGGATTCTACGAGGATGGCAAATACGGTATCCGTATTGAAAACGATATGCTCGTTGAGAGCACAGACTTGAAGTTTGGTGAGAAGTCATTCCTCAAGTTTAGAAACTTGACATTGGTTCCATACTGCAGAAAGCTAACAAACGTCTCGCTCTTGACCCACGAAGAGAGAAAACTAATCAACAATCACCATAAAACCGTTTGTCAAATGCTTTCTCCTTTATTGAAGGATGACCAAAGAGCCTTCTACTGGTTGAAGAAGGAGACAACGCCTGTTTAACCCACAAATTTACTACATCTCTTTGTTAATGTGTCTATTAATGCTTGTCTTTTTTTTACTTGTGTGTGTACGGATGTATGTGTACGGATGTATGGGTACGGATGTAGGTGTACGGATGTAGGTGTATGGATGGCCATGCTGGTGAGTAGTAGTTAGGCAAGTTAGGACCGGCTTTCCCTTAGTCACGGACCTAGCAGTTTAGACGAGGAGTCACAGCTTTTGCGAAAATCGGGATTTGCCAAAGAAAGGACACCTTTGGAAAAATTCGCGAACATTGTGGTAATTGGCGTGAAATTCAAAATGCTTACACTTTCCCCTTCTCTCATTGGCTGCTTTTGAGTCACACTGATGACATAATCACGCCCCCATTTTATATTTTGTGTTTGGAACGTTTGGCGGTGCCACGCCCGGAGGAGGGTTTTTTTTTGTTTTTCTCCCTTTCCTGGCCCTTTCTTTGCGCTCAAAAGCCAAGGACAATAACTGTAAAAAAAAAGGGAGGGTCATTGATTTTCTTTTCCTCTTCTTTCAACTTGGTGAATATATTCTCCCTATATCTTTCATAGTTATCTACAAGAATCTCCATTATTCTTATAGACATTGACGTTTGACCACGATCCCCAATTCATTTGCATTATTATATCCAATTTCAAGTTGTTCTCTAGGCCATATACAGCAGAACGTTCAATAGAAGAATACACCCGTGGCAGCGCCTTTACACACACAGATCATATACAAAGCAGATGTTGAGAACAGTACCACAGATTTCAGATATGTCACTACTACTACGCAGAAACTTCTCTTCTACGATGGCAAACTCTACTAAGAGATTTTTGCAAACCACACCAATGCCCGTCCAAGGTGTGAGCTACGTGCCGTACAAGATGTCCACACAGAGTTCGGAAGGGACTAGTGACCGCAGCACAACGAAGAGTTTGGGATCGACCGGATGGGCCAAGCACAGTCTACCTTCTAGAAGCTTTGGAGATGTTTTGAAGAGAAACAAGACCGCTGAGGCACCAACCGAGGCAAGCAAGGCGGCTTCCACCATTACCAGTACCACTACTACAACACAGACCATACCCCAAGAGGCAACCACTGTTGATGCCAGCACCACAACTACACCAAAGAAGAGAAGAAGAAGAACATTGAAGCCACGCAAGGCACTTATTACGCTATCCCCGAATGCTCTTGCCCACCTCAAAGGTCTCCTGAACCAGCCGACTCCTCAGATGATTCGTATTGGAGTGAAGAACAGGGGCTGTTCTGGCTTGACATATAACCTTGAATATATCGAACAGCCACAGAAGTTTGACGAGGTTGTCGAACAAGACGGGGTTAAAGTTGTCATTGATTCAAAGGCCCTCTTCTCGATCGTTGGTTCCGAGATGGATTGGATCGATGACAAGTTGAGTTCAAGATTTGTCTTCAAGAATCCAAACTCTAAGGGAACATGTGGTTGTGGTGAATCCTTCATGGTATAAGCTTTTCAACACAGATTGCATAAGCGTACCGCTTCTTGAAACTAGTACGCATTTCATAAACATACAAGGGGTGTGAGTGGGTCTTTTCTGTCTTTTGTTTTCATGGGTTTTTGTTGTTGTTGTTGTTCAATTTTATATTTATTCTTGGAGAGTGTTCCTAGGCCAGGCTGGATTATACTCATATTTTTACGCAAACTGACTTAT